GAGCATTTCGATCGGGTTTGAATTTGGGTACTTTTTCGATTGTTGGCCGATCTTTGCAGCGCAGGGTGTGCTAGTGGAGAGATGGACAGCCAACCAACCACAAGCGCGATCTGAAAAATGCCATCGCCGTGGAAGGCAGCGAGGCGATGGTCGGGATGGACGGAGGTAAGGAGAGAAAGGGGGAAACGAGCGTGGACCTAAGATTGTCGCCCGATTCGCATTTTCCACGTTCCCGTCTTCTCGTGTGTTCCATCCAGACTCCAGCAGCACAGTCATCACCGCGCTCAACAACCACGCGCGTAAGGCTTCTAGACAGAGAGGATGCATCCCAGAGAGGAGTAGGGGACCAGCGCTGGTTACGATATTGGATGAGGCACGAGGGGAGGGCAAAAAACCAAACCAAAAGACCGCAACAAAACCATAAAAAACCCCTTCCAAACCCCCTTCGCACTCTGAAGGTTGGGAAAATGCCGCCTGGGAAACGCACGTCACCCGGAAAACGTCACAAAAAACAACGAGAGAATTGGGGCATGGGAAAAAAGTGACGGAGACGACGAATACGTGGCAAGATTGAGCGCGAAGGGGATTGGAGCAGTGCAGATCAGCAGGGGTGGAAGGCGCGAACGCAGTGGAAGGCGAACGAATCTGCTGCGGTTTCCAAAACGACGCGCGATCGAACAGACGCAGCCATCAGTGAGTGATGAAAACAAGGCAAAAAGATCAACGAGAACGCACAAAGAAGCGCAGAGATCAGCGAGGCAAAAGCGGGGAGTGGCGATTGAATGAGCTGGGGTTGGATTCGGCGAAAATGCTCGTCATCGATCGCTCACTCCTCGCCAACGCACACAGAGTCGACCTTGGAATCGTGCTAACGTCGTACCGTACAAAAGCAAGCAGACAAAATAAAACTCAAAACAAAAAACGCGCGGGGCGTTCTTGGAGAGAAGAAAGCTGAAGAAAATCTTCAGAGTTGACTCAAAGTGAACGCCTCGCTCGCAAAAGCACCGCCAAACCACAATCAACGACACACATAACGGTAACATGTGCAAAAGAAAGAAGAAACGGATCCAACCAAGAGGCGGTGAACGAATGATAAATGCACTCAAAATTCAGGAAGCTCAGAAACAAGTTTCATCATCATCAGCATGATCATTCAAAGAGACCAATCAACAAGACACGCATAAAATAAGTCAATACACACACGCACAGAACAAAACGAGAAAAAAAACGATCTTGTAGTAGCGACAACACCAACAAAAAAATAAAACCGAAACAGCGGGAGAGACAAGCACGCAAAAACGAGTGTCCCTTCTTCACTTTCCTCAATTGCCACTCTCTTTTTCTACACATCATCCCGAACACCAGTACGAGGATAGCAGATGCAGGGAGAGACGCGGGCAGACAGGGCGAGCATGCTGTCGTCGGCGACCGTCATGTCGAGAATGGACTTTGGAGTGATGGGATTCCAGTTTTGCAGGCGCGCACCCCACATGTGGTTCATGCGGTACTCGCTGGGCGGGGCGTCCTGGGAGCTGCCCGTGCGCACATAGTTGTGGTGCACCTGGCAGCCTCCAAGGTCGGCGTTGCGGTACGTGGGCTTGACGAGCGCATTGTGGGCGTGCGGGGTACGCCGGCGAATGCGCTCCATGAGCAGATCGTTCTGAGCCTTGGGAATGGGTCCTTCGAGGAATAAAAAGTTTTGCGCGGTAATCTCGGACACGTGCGGGTTTTTCTTGGAATACTCGCGAATGTAGCGGGCAAAGAATCCCGGCTCAAAGTCCTGCAGCACGAACGGGTACTCGTCAATGTCCATGGCCACCGTCCAGGTGCTCTCCCTGCCGTGGCGGGTGAGGCAGTCCTGGTAGGCGCGGACCTGGGTGCCATCGATCGAGTACGGGTTGTACCGGGACCAGTCATAGTAGGTAATGTACCCGCCGTCAATGTACGGTTTCAAGCGCGCCTCTTGCTTCTCGTGGGGCATGCTCTGAAAGTAGGCATCGTACACGTAAATGTGCTCGACGCCCGCGTACTGCATGTAGGCAATCCATTGCAGCATTTCCTTGAACGTCAAGTCCGCCTTGTCCTCGTCGTAAATTCGCATCAGCAGCACTCCCGTCAAAAAGTACGGCTGGGCTGCTGGCGGCGGGTATGCGCGCCGCTCCATTGAGCACCATGGGTCGCACACGTCGGAGAATCGGTTTGGCGGGCCACCCTGGACCGGATCGCGCCCGACACCCTCTGCCTTGTCCTGAGCCTCGTTGTTCTGGTTCTCATTGTTCTTGGCAGCGGCGGCGTTGGCGAGCCGTGCATTGAGATCGGCCAGCGCGTTCGCCTTGACCTTCTCAACCTGCTGCTGCTGCTGCGGCCGAGCAGGACCGCCGTGGTTGGCCTTCCTCAGCTGCGGCGGAACCTGCTCCCCGTTGTTGTTGTTGTTGTTGTTGTTCTTGTTGATCAGATCGAGCTTGGCCAGCCTGCGCCGCTCGTTATGGGACAGCCGCGGCTCGAACAGCGGCGGCTGCGCGACCAGTCCGTCGTCCCGCTCGTCGTCCCGCTCCGTCTCATTGTCAATGTCGCTGTCGTTGCCGGCGTCGTCGCGAGGCTCGTCGGCAGGGTGTCGCCCGCCTGCGTGGCCGTGTCGGTTTGGCTGCAGTGCTGCTTGCTGAGCGTGCATTGGATTGCGCTCAGTCACAGCGTTGCGCAGCCGACGCGCGTCCAGCGAGTCAAAGCTGTAGTTCATGCTGACGACAATGCCGATCAGCACACACGCAGCCAGCAGCAGCGACAGAACGCGGCGGCGGCGGCGCAGCAATCCAAACCCCAGCATTAGTGAGAAATGGGGAAAAACAAAAACTGAGAAATGGGGAAACACAAACAAACTCAGACAGAAAATATTAAAGTACAGCAAAATCGATTGTTTCAAGTAAAATCTACAAGTACAGTACAGTACAGAACAGCACAATCACAACCAATGTCCTCTTGGTTTGATCTCGCTCGCTGCTGACAGTATATCAGCTCGGGCGGTTGGCAGACAGCGGGCGGAGAGTGTTGAAGGCATCGCGCGTCTCGGGCCAGGCATAGTTGTAGGCAGTGCGGCCGTACGAGTCGCGCAGTGTGATGTCGGCATCCGACCACATGAGCGCGTGCACGGCCTCGACATCCGCAAGCCGGACTTGCATCATCAAGGGAGTAACGCCGTCCACGGTGGTCGCGTTCACATTGGCGCCGGCCTTGAGCAGCGTGATGATGCAGTCGACGCTCGACCGGCCTGTGAACGGCTCGCGATTGCCTCCGCAAAGATGCAACGCAGTCCAGCCATGCGCGTTGCGCGCGGCAACATTCGCGCCCGCGTCGATCAGAAATCGCAGCAGATCGTCTCTGCTCCGAATGGCTGCCACCATCAAGGCTGTCATGCCGCTGGGCGTCGCATGATTGACATTGGCGTCACGTCGCAGAAGCGGACGCAGCGCGTCGGTCGTTGCCTCGTTTGACACCTGGTGCATCAGCACAGACCAGCCAGCATCGTCAACCGCACTAACGTCCGCACCTTCGAGCAGCAGGTCATCAATGCTGTCAGCCGAAGCGTGCATGAGTGGCACGCGGCCGTCCGGTAGTCGGGCGTTTGCAAGTCGGCTCAGAGCGCTCGGCGGCAACCACAGGGCAGCGCCTGCAAGCATTGCCGTCATTGGTGTTTCTACGTCCTGTAGCTCTGGCACTGCCCACGCCGAGTCCATCCATTCCATGTTCGGGTCTAGCACTCTGGAATCCGGAGACGCTCCATGCCGCAAGAGAATCCGAACGGCCTTCATGTCGTTCCAGCGTACCGCGACAAGGAGCGGCGAGTTGCCGTCGCCCAGCGCCTCTAACTCGCGCATGTTGGCTTTGGCACACAGCAGCTCCAAAACGTCGTACTTTTGGCGACGCATGGCCGCCAGGATGACATTGTAATCGACCGGGGCGTTGGCTTCGAGAAGCAGTCGAATGGGCGTCAGGTCATCGTGAAAGAGAGCGAGTGCCTTCAATAAGGCCGAGGGATACACGACGCAAGCGGGATTGGCGCCTGCACGCAATAGCAGCTCCAAGCTCTCGGGATTTCTCATTCGCAGTGCCAAGGAAATTGGGTAGGCAGCAGCATCCGCTTTGCGAGCGACGGGCATATTGGGCGAGACCCCGGCCTCCAGCAAGAGCGCCGTGGCAGGCGGTGAGTGTAGCTTGGTCACAAGCGGCGAAAATCCAAGATGAGGGTTGGCCCCCGCGTCGAGCAGCAGCTTGGTGAACGAGAACGATGTGGCGAGCGCGAGGGCCGTCCTTCCCGTCGCGTCTACCGCATTGATATCAACAATAGATGGGTGGTTTTTGCTGTTACTGTTGCTGCTCGAGTCGGGATGGCTGGCGTTGGCCAACAGTTGCGCGTTTGTTTGCAGAATTTCCCGACCAAAGCTCAGATTGTCAAATCTGGCTGCCCAGCCAAGCGACGTGCAGCCCAGCGAGGCGCCCCAGCTAAAGTTCAACAAGTGAGCAATGCGTGCATTCGACGCGTTGACGGCCCTTCGGAACGCCCAGGTCTTGTCGTCGTCGGTCGGCCTGACCGTCTCGGCGTTGAGCAATCGGACGGCCACCTGCTCGGCCGCGACGTCCCAGGCCGGATCCGCAGCTCCGGGGTGATTCGACTGCAAGATGCTCTCCATAGCCAAGCGGAAGATGCGATGGCTGGCAAACGCGCCAGAATCGAGCAATTGCAGAATGACCACCGGGTGCAATTTCGCCTCGATTGCTTCGCTCAGAATTGCATCCGACAATGCAAGCGCGTCGTCGCGGAAGACTTGCATCACACCCGGCCGTGCTAGGAACGCAGACAAGGCTGCTTGATCGGTCGCTGGGTCGCGCTGCAGCACCAACGCAGCAAATTCGTCCGCGTGCATTGACTTGGAGTTTGGCTCGGATTCTGAGAGCAGCTTTTTTGGAAGAGACAACAACAAAACAAAAAAAGCTGACTGAACCAGAAGAAAGCACACACAACGGAATGACAGCTGATTTTGATTATTGTAATGCAACAAAAGCTGACTGGACACGAGTGGTTGGTGGATTGGTGAGGACGGGGTGGGACACGTAAGCGTGTGCTTGTACGAGCTGTTGAACGTCGAGTGCTTGTTGTGGATGGTTGCTCAATATACTGTACTTTGTCTCTACCTATTCCTCCTGTTGGCGTTGGGTGGAGATCTCACCGTTGGAGTCCGGGTGCACAGGCGCACAGTCGCTCAGACGCTGGTTTGGAGCTGTTTTGGAGCTGTATTTGTACCACATCCAACGCTAATCTTTGCTAATCCTTTGAGATTGGAGGATGATTCTTGTTTGTTCTTCTTTATTAGTATTTCCTCATCGCTCAGTTCTTTGCCATGCACAGCGGCGGCGTGTCGACAGGGCCAACAATGGCTGCAGCCGCTGCATTGACATTGACATTGACAGTGGCTGCGCGTTCTGCTGCCTCCATCCGACCCATGCCATCGCCATCCCTGTCCTTCCATTCCTCCTCAAGGCACTCATCGTCGTCTGCTTTCACTGCCAAGCCAGGCTGCTCATCACCGACGACGCTGACGGCGCTCTCGTCCTCCGCTCCCTGCTCCGTCGCCCGCGATCGCCTTGCTCGGTCACTCCACCCACCGTCCCATGACAATGCACTGGCCACAAGCACATCGCCGCTGCGGCTGCTGCTGCTGGGCTCCCGCGCAACACGCTCCCTGTCCTCCTCCTCCTCTTTTGCTTCTCGGTCATCACCATTGCCTTGTCTTGGCGTTGCGCCAGCCATCTCGACTCCTGGCACCGCTGTCCATGCGATCGCTGCTGTAGCTGCAACAGACAAGCAAGATCCATCCACGCTGGCTTCCTGGCTGGATGCTGCGCGCTGGATCAGCCGAGCTCGATTCTCGGCTTCGACTTCGACGCCAAGCACGCTGCTGCTGCGCTCGAGTCAACCAAGCATGGATCTTGCAGACGCGAGTCTAGTTCAAAGCTCTGGCCGACCCGTACCAAACGACCCAACGCCGAATCGCCCGACAATGGCGTCGTCCCAGCGACCACCACCCAACTTTATCCCGAGTAAGACAACTTTTTTGAACGCAACACTTGTCAAGTGCAAAGCATATCGTTGTTCAGGAAGCGGTAGATGAGGAGGAAAGGGGGAAAGTCTTTGTGCCATTGTCTGACTCCATGATGTACACAGACGACTCCAACGAACAACGACAACAACAACAACAACAACGTCCACCCGTCGTGCCGCCGCTTCCTTCATTCGACTCGCCCACGCCTGCCCAGTACCTCATCATGGTGCTGGCTGTCGTTGTTCTGGCCGTGATCAACCGCATGGTGGAAGATCGCAGCCTCAAACAAATCACTTGGCAAGAGTTTGTGACGGATTATCTCGCCAAAGGCAACGTCGACCAGCTCCTTGTTCGTACCGGGTTTGGCACGAGCGTTTATGTGCACGTCAAGCCTCATCAGTCGAAGGCTGCTCACAACCGTGGCGAACTTGATCATGTCGAGGAGCCACAGCAGCAGCTGGCTTCGTCGCACCGCACCCCGTCTCGCCCTTCGCAGCATCAGCTGCAGCAGCAACCACCGAGCGCGCCACCCACTCACCCAACGGAAATCTTTTACACGTACGACTCGGATGAAGCTCACAGTGGCGGTGGCGACAGTACTGCTGCCCGTTCTGCCGACAATGCTGAGCCTGCACCACAATCCTCCTGGGATCGCGTCCGAAGCGCACACCCAACAAAATTCGGAGCTGAAGGTGCCGAGCCAGTGCACTTCCGCAGCACAACACCGCCGGTCGCCTACTTTACAGTGGCAGACGTGGAATCGTTTGAACGAAAGCTTGCCGAGTCGCAGGACAGCCTTAGGTTTGGCTCTGCAGATCGTGTCAAGGTTCTCTATCACGATAGCAAGACTGAAGTCATGTATGAGATCGCGTATGGTGTTGTCACGGTGGCCGCCCTTTGGAGCTTGAATCAACTCGTGCGTCGCGCTTTTCTTGCCTCCTCGTTGCAAGCTCCCACAGCTGGCGCTGCTGCTCGCGCGAGAACAAGCCAACAGTCGGCTGAGTCTGGCTCGAAAGAGGCACACAAACAGCAAGAACAGCACGGCCAGAAGCAGCAAGAGCCAGAGCAGTCCTCAGAGAGCTCTGGGTCGTTTGGCCCGTTCGGCAACATGTTTGGGCTTCCCCCAGGCATGAGCAAAAAGACCTTCAAGGTCATTCCACCCAACGATTCGGCACAGCGAGTGACGTTCGCGGACGTGGCTGGCCTCTCCGAGGTCAAGGTTGAAGTCACCGAGTTTGTCGACATGCTCAGCAAACCGGATCGTTTCCGAGCCCTTGGCGCCAAAGTCCCTCGTGTAAGTAGCGTCCCACAGTTGCGCTGTTGTTGTTGTGTGGAGAATGCGAAGCCGAAAATATGTAGTTCTTGTTGTCGTCTCACCTGATAACCATTTCCACAGGGCCTGATGCTGACTGGTCCGCCTGGCACTGGCAAAACGCTGATTGCGAAAGCGATTGCTGGCGAATCTGGAGTCAATTTTATCAGCGCTGCAGGCACCGATTTTGTTGAAATGGTTGTTGGTAGGTGATGCTGTCGCCGTATGTGATTTTTTTTGTGGGTGTGTTTGTGCTTGGTCCTTTGGTTGACCGCCTTCTGCTTTGCTCTTTGCTAGGTGTCGGCCCTGCGCGCGTTCGAGACTTGTTTGCGACCGCAAAGGCCAACAAGCCTTGCGTCATTTACATTGACGAGATTGACGCCATAGGCAAGACGAGATCTAGCGCAAAACGACCGATGGGAGGCAACAGCGAACGGGAAAACACCCTCAACCAGCTTCTGGTGCAAATGGATGGTAGAGAATTTCGTCGACCGCCTGGCTGTTGATTGTGACACGCGCTCGGACAGGATCTGATGTGTGTGTATTTGTTGTTCTGTTTGGGGTGTGCAACCGTGGTTTTTTTTCTTCATTCTAGGTTTCAACCCATTGGAAGACGTCCTCGTCTTGGCATCCACCAACCGCGTGGATGTGCTGGATCCGGCCCTGCTGCGACCCGGTCGCTTTGACCGTCAGGTGCATGTCGGGCTGCCTGACATGCGCGAGCGCCGCGAAATTTTGCATGTGCACATGCAGCGACTCAAGCTCGACATGCCAATGGAGCAGTACTCCGAGCGCATTGCCCAGTTGACACCCGGTCTGAGCGGCGCACACTTGGCCAACATTTGCAACGAAGCGGCCTTGCATGCTGGTCGCCACTTGAAGCCTGCTGTGACCATGGCTGACTTTGATCACGCCATTGATCGCACCATTGCTGGCTATGCCAAAACAACTCGAGTTGTCGCGCCCAACGAGCGGCTCCAAGTTGCGTACCACGAAGCCGGCCATGCCATTGTTGGATGGATGCTAGAGCACACGGATCCCTTCTTGAAGGTATCGAGTGCTTTTGTGAAATTGCGCGCTGGTTGTGTGTTTTTTGGTTTTTGTTGGTTTTGCCGCAAAAAGTTTTCACTTTTCCTCTGCTTGACAGGTTTCTATTGTGCCGCATTCTTCACGCGCGCTCGGCTATTCTCAGTATCTGCCGTCCGATCGCTACATTCGGAGCAAGGAAGAGGTACAGTTCGCAAACGTGACGCACGAATTCGACCTTTTTGTCCTCCTCGCTCACTCTTTCACCTTTTTTTCTGAGCAGCTGTTTGATCGAATGTGCCTGGCTCTGGGTGGGCGTGCCGCTGATCACCTTGTCTACAACCACTTTACCACTGGTGCGCAGGACGATCTTCAACGGGTGACTCGGATGGCGTATGAGCAGGTGAGGTCCCTGCTGCCTGCTTGTTTCCGTGCGTGCACCACCACAACAACCACCTCATCCCTTCACGTTCTTTGATTAGATCTCAACACTCGGCATGGGCACAACAATGCCTGGACTCAGCTTCCGCTTGCCCAGCAAAAGCCAGCTATCGCGTCGGCGGTACAGCAATGCACTGGCCGAGGAGGTCGATGCTGAGGTTCGAGCGCTTGTCACACGAGCTGAAAAGCGCGCCACAATGCTACTGGTTGAGCACCGTGCCAAACTGGATGAGCTTGCTCGCGTATTGAACGACCGTGAAGTGGTCGACTACGAGACTGCAGTGCAAATCCTCGGCCCTCGCCCGTTCGGGAACGGCCTCAGCAAGGAGCAGATCGACGCGGCAACCCGCCCGTCGACCACCAGCAACAGCGCACCCAAGAATCCGCCAACCGCGCCCAACACCCCCATCGACCCGAGCGTCCTCCACACTAGCTCGTCGCACAAGGACAAATTGTGAACGCCACCCCCCGCCAAATAAATAAAGAGAAAAAAAAAATGGAACGTGAAATTTCAAAAACAAAAAACCGACATGACATCGAGTCAAAACCCCATTGAAGAACATGGGCAAAAACAACACATGATAGGGGACGAGTTCTAGGTAGACGCCGGATCCTTACTTGGCAATGAATTGGGTGTAGATGACGGCCGCTGCCACAATGAGAAGGGGAACCAAGAGCTGAAAGCTGGACGACTGGTTGGAGGGGGAAGGGGCAGACGAGCTGGGCTTGGCGGTAGCGGCAGAGGCGGGCGAGGCAGCGCCCTTGATGCTGGCAGCGCTGGCAGCGTCGAGGTCGCCAATGTAGTACTGCTCGAGCATCTTCTTGGCGTCGGTCGAGTGGCCGACATCCTCGAAGGCGGTGGTCGAGTCCGAGCCGGCGTTCTCCAGCAAGACCTCCTCGCCACCGGGGTGCTGTGTTTTCCAACCACAACAACAACAACAAAAAGTAAGCAAACAATCGAGTGAAATGAGTGAAACAACCCGACGAGAGGATTTTGTCAAGCTGAAATTGACGTATTCTGAGAAAATCAGGCTTTGCTTTTGTTGGATTTTTCTCTCTCTCAAATCTCAGAAACGAAACGAAAGAAAAAAAAACCAAACAGACAGGAACGAACATCACAAAGGGAGAAAAAAAAAAAAAAAAAAAAGCAAGTGATTGACATTGCATTGAAAAATGAGAGAAGCAGAAAAAAAAAAAAAAAAAAAGAAAAAAAAAAAAAAAAAAAAAAAGAAAAGCACGAGGGGAAAAACGAATGAAAGGAGAAAAATCCCATCCTTTTGCTCTATTGTTCTGTCTGTCTCTGTCTCTGTCCCTCTCTCTGTCCCTCTGTCTCTGTCTCTCGCTATGGCTGTTGAGAACAAGTTTGTCGCCTTGCACTCGAACTTGACTGACTCAAAATGCAATGCCGAACAAACTCAAAACAACACCACAAAAGCGGGAAGAAAGAATCGTTCGATTTGTGAGTGTTGGTTCTTCATGTTTGGTCTCATTCGACCCGTCACTCTTCATCACTGTACTCCAAGCAGTCACTCCAAGCAGTCACTTGGATCTGTGGTTTGGTAGAGAAGAGAGAGAGAGAAAGAAAGAGAGAAAGAGAGAGAGGAGAGAAGCAGCAGTCCTCCCCGCTTCTACCTCCCTTCCCCTTCACCCTCTTCGCCCCTTCGCCCTTCTCGCTTCATCATCCACGCTTCACACTCTCTCCACGTTGAATATATACAAACCTCGTTGAGGAACTTGGTGACGTCGTAGACCTTGCCGTGGATGGCAAACCAGACGCCAGCAGAGCGCTCCTTGTGCTGCTTGAGCTCGGTCAGAGTGATGGTCTTGGACATGTTGCAGGGAATGACAGAAATGGAAGAGTGAACTCGAACTGGATTGAAATGTGTTTATAGAATATAACAAGCATTGAATGCGAGATGGATGGATTGGCTCAGCGTAATGGTAGTCTCATACAGTACAAAGAAGTTGGCAGTTCAAGTGTATTCCACTCCATTTGATCGTGCTGGTCAGTCATTCATTCGTGATTCTTGTTCATATCACTACGACTATTTGCTAACTGTCATTCGTCAAATGCACATCCGTTCATTCGCACTAAGCGTGCTGCTGCTGGCATTGACCATTGCGGCTGAACGAGCCAACGCTGCATCGCCCTCGTCGTCGTCGTCGTCGTCGTCGTCCTGCCGCGACCTCGGCTTTTCATCGTCACTTCTGGCAAGTTCAGTTCACCTCCCAACGAGCGATGCGAAGATGGCAACGGGATGGCTGGGGATTGCGCGCTTTTGTACTCATACGATTGCTTTGTATTGTAGTGCTCGAGCTGCGACAACCTCGACACGTTCTCGCTCGGATTCATGAAGAGCGACTGTCTCAGGTGCTGCCAGTCCGAAATGAGCTCAGAGGAGGTGAGTTTGTTGGCGCAGACTTGACCGACGATCGGGAGCAACCATTGGAAAGTCATTCGTGCTTTCAAAGTCACAGCGCACATATTGGCAATGGAATACGTCAAAAGAGCTTGAGCTCTATCGTGATCTACTCTGGAGAGCAGGCGCAAGGGTGGTGGAAAGCCCGCCCGATCATTGCAAAAATCGCTCAACGAGGTTTTTTCTTCGTTTTTGTTTCTCGTGTGATTTGTGGCAGCGTATCATGAGCGCCAAGAGCGGAAGAATTCACATTGAAGTGTGCCAGTGCAACTGGGCACGTTATCCCGATATCAAAGGTAGCGCATCGGGACGGTTACTGCTTGAATTGCAGCAGGATTGATGCTGATTCTGCTGCTCCGTTCGTTCCAACCAGATTTCATCACGCAGGACGCCGTCAACTTTCCGAAACTCGAGGTGCAATACAAGTCTGGCGTGTTGCCTCAGTTGGTCGCAACCAATTCTGCCGGTCAAGAGGTGGACCGCAAGCCGTACGTTCAGATCCTGTTGGTTGTTGGTTGTTGTTTTGTGACGATGCTCATCTCTTGCTCATTGTCTGTGCTCGTCGTCGTCGTTGTTGTTGTTGTCGTCGTCGTCGTCGTTGTTGTGGGCTTAGGATTGGTGCTTGGAAGCGGGACGTGCTCAAGGAGTATTTGACCACCGTTTTCTCATAGACCGCAGCAGCGTTACTCCTCGTGCCCCGAGCCCACCACATGATGCGTGCATAGCTCACTGTGATTCTGTATGAATCGACTAGCGATTGTTGCCCCCATTCCCTTGTACCCACGTTGCAACTTTACGACGTGTTTTCTCAACCCATTGTGTTCGTTTTCATTCCATTTCCCACCTGTACCCTCAATAATAATGAACCCAACCCCACATCTAAATCCACACTGCATCTCCAACATCCCAAATTTGACATTGTTCAGTCCTTCTCTTTGTCCAGTATGCCGGCTGCAGACGCGACCCATCTCACGCTGCTGACTGCAGGCGCGTTTGCCGGCGCATCGGTCGACCTCGCGCTCTTCCCGCTCGACACACTCAAGACGCGCCTGCAATCGCAAGCTGGCTTTGTGCGATCGGGCGGCTTCCGCGGTGTCTACGCCGGGGTCGCGCCCGTCGCCATCTCGTCCATGCCGGGCTGTACGTGACTCTCACCCCCTCCCAGATCAAACCATATCGACGACGCCGATGATTCAATCATAATAGCAATCAATCATAGTCATCATCATCATCATCATAGTCGTCATCATCGTCATCATCATCAGAGGAATGGTGGCTATTGCGGGGAGCGTGTGGGTGTGATTTACCGTAACGTTGTCGCTCAGCACTCAGAATGGAACACGTTCGATCAGACAGTCTGAGTCAATCAGCAATGGCGGTTATTGGGACGTGCGTGGGAATGTTCCCTCGATTTGGATTTCAAGCGTGTCAAAAACACTCGCTCAGAACTAACTCAGACTGACACGTTTTGGTTTGTTTTGTTGTTTCGTTGCAGCGGCCGTGTTCTGGCTCGTCTATGAGAACTTGTCATCGACGTTGAAGCCGCTCGTTGGCGCTCAGTACGCACCAGTCGCTCAAATGGCTGCAGCATCCTGTGGCGAAGTTGTAAGCACAAAAAACAAACTCGAAACTATCAACAAATGAGCGATTCAGAAAATCTGTCATTGTTGACAAATCATCGTCGACCAAAAAAACGGGTCAGACTCACATCATTGAGCATTGAAACTACCCAAAAACTTCTCCGACAATCAAATCAGATTGCCTGCGTGGTTCGCGTGCCGTCGGAAGTCGTCAAACAGCGATTGCAGGCTGGCGTTCACAAGAACATGGTCGCTGCTGTGCGACACATCCTCCAGACGGACGGCATCGCTGGCTTTTACCGAGGGTACTCATCAACGATTCTGCGCGAGGTCCCCTTTTCGTTCATTCAGTTCCCCATTTATGAGGCTGCCAAAGTAAGCACGAAAATGGCCCCCTCAAGCACGGTTTTGCTTGCGGCATTGATCTTTGACATGACACATCTTCCCCAACGAACGAACTTATGAACTTGGATTCGTTTCCATCTCCAGGCTTGGCTGCAGAGGGGTCGCGACACACAAATCACTCCCCAAGAAGTGGCGCTCTGCGGCTCGTTCGCAGGAGGCATCGCTGCTGCGGTCACCACACCATTGGATGTTGTGAAGACTCGCATCATGCTTTCCAAGGTAAGCGTTGTCGAGAGCGTGCGATTCGGGAGTCCACATGCTCATCTGTCCACTTCAATCTCATCCCCACTTTTTTTTTTGCATGCTCGCAGGATAAGAAGCTTCGTGTGATCAACACCTTCCGGAGTATCATTGCCGAGGAAGGCGTTGGGCGATTGTTCAGTGGAATCACGCCTCGTGTCGGATGGATTAGCGTCGGAGGGTGCATTTATTTCGGAGCGTACGAATTTGCCAAGCAACAGCTATCAAAGCACCTGTAGCTGTGTTCTTGGCTCTGCCCTGGAACGTTGGAGTAATCGATTGAATGATTTTGTAATTTCGTACTGTACTTTTTTTGAGACTTGCCATGCAAACTCGGGCGAAAGGCGAGTTCAAGGCTTTGCATCAACCACAAGTAATACAGTAATCTGAGACACAAAAGCTCCATTTTCATCGCTTCATGCTTCATTGAATTCTACCAGTTGCAGTACGTTAAACAATGTATACGCCCAGTCTCAAGTCAGTCCCTTTTTCTCAGAGCATGTCGGTCGTCACGCGAGCTTGGGCGGAGACAATGCGTCGCCTGCAGCGCGAATGCAACTCGTTTCAACAACCAGGTGAGCGAAGCGCGATTCAATCGCTTTTTTTTGGACCACACCCCCTCGATCGTCCCTTGACAACTCAGACCAAACCACCCTTTTTTGTTCTCTGATGACTCAGGCTCGTCCAAGAGCATCTCGCACAAGTTTGCCGTCGCCGGAGTGCACCTGGGCTACTGTCGCCCTGCTGATGCCCAGGCCATCCTCGCTGCCGTGCCTGGCGTGTTTGCACTGGAGCCGTCGACCGTGGCGAACGAGCCTGCCGTGCTCACGCTGAGCCCAGCGCTAAACCGCGACTCGCCCGCCGCGCGCACCGCCGCCGTCATGGGCGTCATGCAAGCGCTTCGTCGCTCGAATACCATGGAGGCACTCGCGGGCTGGCGGGACGAGCTGTTTGCAGTCGCGCCAGAGTATGGCGGACCGGTCTACTTTGAGATTGAGCGCGCGGCTGCCAGCTTGCTCGGAGTCTCCCAGTTCGGCACCCACTTGAACGGCTATGTGCGAACGGGTGCGTCAGGCAACCCAGCGCAGGATTTGAAAATGTGGGTGTCGAGGCGCAGTCTCACCAAGCCGACATGGCCGGGCAAGCTCGACAATCTGTGCGCTGGCGGCCTTCCTTCTGGCATGTCGCCGCACGAGAACATGCGCAAAGAGTGCAGTGAAGAGGCGTCCGTGCCTGCAGAGCTGTCCGGGCGGTGCGTGGCCGTTGGCACCGTATCCTACACGAGCGAGCTTTCGCGCGGCATCTTCCCAGAGTGCCAGTTCGTGTACGACCTGGAGCTCCCCGAGTCATTCCAACCAGTCAGCGCCGACGGCGAGGTTGGCGAGTTTTACCTCTGGGACGTGCCGACCATTCTCCACAGCATCAGCACGCCCGAGTTCAAGCCCAACTGCGCGCTCGTGTTTCTCGATTTCTTCATTCGCCACGGCATTCTGACTCCCGACTCGACCCCGCTCTACCCCGAGCTCGTTTCCGGGCTCCATTACAGCGGGCCGTTGGCTCGAGATTAGAACGAGCTCTAAATCTGATTTTTCGAAAATCACGAAAAAATTCTGAAACTCTCGCGCACTCGCTCGGACGAGCAAGCTGTCGGCAACAGAGGCTGGAAATGAATGTCTATTATTGTACTGTATTAACAACAAAAAGAAAAAGAAAACACAAAAACTCTCGACATGCACGGATCTAGTCTGACAAACTGGACGGAGTCGCCGGCTCATCATCATCGTCCGACATTGAGGCAGTGGAGAGTGAACATGCAGGCGTGAGGGGTCGCAAAGCACCCGATGCAAAGGCAGGCGCATTGTTGGGCATGTTGGCCCACAGATCGACAGAGGACTTGGCGGTGAATTGCGCGACAAGTTCGTTTTGCTGGGCCTCGGACAGGAAGGGCGATGCGCGAAGGACGGCAATCATGGCATTCTGCTGCTGGAGGAGTGCGTCTGCGACCTGGTTGGGAGCACCGTGATGGTGCAGTGGCGGTTGTTGCTTGTGTAAATCTTCGGTTGCTGCTGGCGCTGTTGGAACAGCGCCCGAAACGCGTCCGTTTGCTCGCTGGAAGGTGCGAATGTACGACAGCGTTCGCTGGAGCACCGACGCCTTGGAGTAGCACGACGAGCAATCCGGCACGACCGTGCGGAGTTCGTCAAATCCGACCTGAATCGAGTCTCGCCTTCGCTTCTCAGACGCGACGTGTGCCAGCTTGACGCGGTTGTCCCGCACACCAGCGCCGGGCGACTGAGCACGCACGCCCTCGTTGAAACCGGCGGGCGATGCAGCGCTGTGGCTTGGGATGTCCAGCCCGCGCGTGGTTGGCGGTTTTGGCAATGGCGGCGCCACAGCCAAAGCCAAAGAAGAACGCTCGGAGATTGGTGTCAAGTAGCTGACGGGCGGCTCCGGATGCGGCTGGGTGTTGCTGGACGGGACTACTAGACACACACCTGCAGACGGCGCAGCTTGGGCGATGGCGTGGAGGGGAATTGCTTGGAGCCTGAGTTGTTGCAATGGAGCAGCAACAGTGATTGTTGGCTGAGGCAGCAGCACGCGCGGTTTGCAGCTACTTGCACTGGATGGTATTATCGTTGATGATGATGATGATGATGATGATGATGATGATAATGGCATTGCTGTGAGTGGGGCAATGGGGATGGGATGCGATGCTCCACCTCTTGCTCTGGCTGTGGCTGTTGCTGGCGCGAGCGTTCGTTCCTTGCGCGGTCTTCCTCGCTTTGCTGGTCCCATCGCGCTACTCGCCCACCCCGCTGCTGCTCCTGCTCCTGCTGCTGTTGTTGTTGTTGACGTCGCTCGCTGGAGCTCTTGTTCGACTGCCGACAGCAGTGTCGAGTCAATGGTCTGCATCATCATGATTCAAAAGTGCGGCTGTCGGCTGTTTTCGGCTGTTCTTCTTCTTCTTCTTGTTGCGATTTGCTGTTCGTTCGCTGTTTCACTCCAATGTCTTGTCTCACACAATGCGATACTAAATGCAATACTAAAATGCAAGTGCTACTGCAATGACAATGACAATGACAGTGACAAAGGACTGAGCTTTCAATGGGCAAAAGAGAAAAAGGGAAGCAATGCAGCAGCGAACAAAAGGTTGGCTGGTCCATCGCGATTGGCTGGAAATCAAATGGAGACGACCTCCTCGCGTCTCATTGGTCGGGCTTGTTCTCCCCTTGCTTGCTTGCTGACAGCCAGAGAACAGAACAAAAGGCCAGCATAGCACCAAGAAATAAGAAAGAAAGAAGAAGAAAAAACAAAAAAAGATAGTGGAGCATGACGAGCGAGGTGACGGTGGGGACAGGCGAGGAGGTCAATCGACCGACAAAAAACACCTCAGAGCTCATGCTTCGGCTTTCCAAATGCTCATTGTCGATTCAAGAACCATCTCACCACCAAAATCCATGCTGTGGAGCATTGATTTGGGATACTATGGGTCTCGGTACTGTATTGGCTGCGGGCGCCCGTTTGTCCCGTTTTTCTTTTCAATTTTGAGCCGCTTGGCCTCCGATTTCCACGTCCAACCACGCACCACCGCCGAGATCCTGCTCTCGACATGGTCAAAACAAACGCAGCCTTGAATTCTCTTTGAATTGATATGCGATGGTCCACGGAGCCTCGGGAGGTGCATTTACCCCCAAAACTGCCTTGTTTTGTCGCTTGGGTTTCTGTTTTTACCACGCGCGACTCATCCATGACGTGCTGACCACCTGTTGCTGCATGCAATTTTATTCGAAGCGCGTGATGTTTCTCATAGCGAGTATTCCCTCGAACGTTCGACAGGATGAAGAGAGCGAAAATAAATACATAAAAAATAAATCAAATCGTCGTTTCCGCATTTGGCTCAGAATAAAAAAAAAAGAGTTGCTTTTGTTGAAAAATAATAAAATTTTCATTTTGGTGTCGTTTTGGATGACTTTTTGTTGATGAATGCGAATTGCCGACACATCTACGGTTGAGTGCAAGACCACGGTGATCCACTTCCCCAGCTCGATTGCGGTGTCAACAAAGGGAAGAGGTGGGAGTTAAAGTCTGCTGAGCCGACCCAAACCACATGTCGGCGTCGATTCAAGCGACTTCCGCCCCCGTTTCCCCCCTCTCGCATCAGAGTTTTAGAGAGTGCAAAAATGAACGCATGTCTGAATTTCAAAGCAAATCCATTTTTCATGAACCTCGTTTTTGATTTTCCCCAAAAGAATCGTTCTTTCATTTTCATTCATTTTTTTTTATTTCTATTTTTTATATTTTTGTATTTTCTGGGTTGGCGGTAATTCTTTTTTTTTTTTTTTTTTGTTGCATGTGTTTTCCTGTGTTTCTCCCCTCCTTTGCTTTGTGATTGGCACAACGCTGGCCATCCAGAGTGCCATCTGCAGCCCCCCGTTCAGCCTCACCCTCCAAAGCGCGTGTACTTCTCACCCCCGCCCCGTCACAGCCTTCCCAGCTCGACCGCTGCTGTTACAAAAAACATCGGTTTTTTTTTTTTTTTTTTTTGGTTTTGGGCGCCTTTTTCTCTTCGTTTGTGCTCCTTCAGGCGTCGTCGGAGCAACACGCCCCCCAGAGGGTTGGCTGCGTCGATCGTCAAGTGCGGCATTGCGCATCTCGCATCAGCAGTGGGCGGTGGCCGTTGCGCGGGATTTGCGGTAGTCCAAGCGTTTTGTTCCATACGACTTTTTTTTTTTATTTTACTATCGCGCAATAAGCAGCAGCAACACGAGTGATGATTGTCGAACGTCGTCCTCTCCAATACTCAATCGTTGATTCACGCATTGTTGGAGTGCGACTCTCTTGGTTGGTGGGGAGATGATCAAGGACCGCGACTGTGACTGTATCTCGTTCGTGCTCCATTTTCCTGCTGCTTCTCCCCTCGTTTTCACACCCCACTTCTTCGCGCTCTGTCGAAACACTCACTCACACTCTGTCTCGTCCAATCTCCACAGACCAGACCAGATCCGATCCGATCTCCAGCCAACGTTCCACACTTCTTTCCTCGTTCGTGTGTGTGTGTGTTGAGTGAGTGTGCCATTTTTTTTTCTTTTTTTTTTTTCTGTTTCTCTCTTCTCCTTTCTTTCACTCACCATTGACGGCGTTCCATCGCAATCCCGCGCCCAACAACACAGCTCATCACTCAAGCGACTGCCACACACACATACACGCACTTGTCATTCGAGCGACGGGGCCCCTCCTTCCCAGCGATGGCGCGTTCAAGCAGCAGTGCGAGCAGCGGAAGCGAGGACGAGGACGAATGGTCCGCTCCCGCCAACAATGCCCAGCCAGCCAAGAAGGCCGCATCAGCGGCATCGTCGTCGTCAGCGCCAGGACGGCCACGCCGCAGCCAGAGCAACGGCGCCGGCGCCCAGCGTGGATCGGCTGCGTCCAGCGCCAAGTCATCCGCCCGACCATCGCGCAAGGCAGCCGCCGCCAAGGCAAAGCCCAATAGTCGTGCTGCCAAAGACCGAACGTCCTCAAAGGAGTCGTCCAAGCCAAGCTCAGCGCATAGCACATCGCCATCCTCATCCTCATCATCACCGTCCTCATCGCCCTCATCGTCAGCGTCGCCGTCGTCCGAGTCAGAGGATGAGGAGCGCTCGTCGTCCACGGCAACACGAGCCTCCTCTCGAAGTGCGTCCACAAAGGCACGCTCACGACTCACCAACGCCATCAACCGGTTGCAGCGAGACTCTGACGACGACGATGATGGCGACGACGATGCAGGAGCCGCAGCGCAGGCAGCAACATCGGCTGCTGCACGACGCAACAACAACAACGGTAACACAAACGGCGGATTGCGTTCTGCTGCTGACAGGGCGGCAGCATCGCGCACACAACGAAAGCCATCTGCACAAGCTGTTGTCGTCAAGAGTGGCGACCAGCAAGGGCTCGTCATGATGGCGCCGCCACCGCCATCGACCTGCTGCATTGTTTGCACTGATGTGCTGCGTAGTGCCCTGCCCCCGCCAGCAGTCACTGAACCTGAGACTGCCTCTGCTGCCTCTGCTGGTTCTGCTGCTGCTGGTTCTGCTTCTGCTCCAGTTGCTCAAACCGATGACATGCAGATCGACGTGTCAGGAGCACCACCAGCCACAGCAGCTCCGCCCGCAGTCGCAGCAGCTCCCATCGAGCCCATGCTCACGTACACTCTCACAACATCACCACAGGGACCGCTCACCCTGTCCGTTGCCGACGCTGCACACATCCAATGCTCACGCTGCTATGCATTTATGCACGTGCGATGCATCGAGAACGAAGAGAACAAACACCAGGCCGTCTACATTGCCGCTCGCTTCCCGACCAATCGTCGTGCACGCGAACTTGCCGACTCGTGGACGTGCGATACGTGCAAACAGTACCCGGGGCAGCCAGAAAAGCTACTCATGCACCGCGTCATCTCCCAGGACGCAGATGGAAGCAACCAAAAGGTGGACATTCTCGTCAAGTGGGAAGGGTGCTCGCACGATGCCAACGCATGGGTCTCGGGCGACTGGCTGACGCGCGCCTACCGCTTTAAAGTGATGGGCTATCGCAAGCGGACGGATCAGCCGACGGACATGTGGGTGAGCGAGACAGGGGACGCTGAGAACGATGTGGTGCGCGCAGACTGGATGGCCGTGCATCGCGTCATTGCCCGCAAGCCAGGCGCTACTCCGTCGGCACCCGACCAGGTCCTTGTCAAGTGGCGTGGTCTCGGCTACGAGGCGTGCACCTGGGAATCCTCCCAATCCGACAAGGCAGGTCTCAACGAGGCAATACAAGCGTTCACCGCTCGCGAGCAGCCAATAGCCGAAGCAATCGCGTCGGCTGTCGCAGCCCGTCAAGCTATGGCGAACAAATCGGGCAGTGCCGCCAAGAATCTCCCCGTCATCAAGTTCCACGAGCTCAAAAGCCAGCCCGACTTCCTGCAAAGCGGTGCGCTGCACGACTACCAGCTGGACGGTCTCAACTGGCTCATTTTTTCCCGTTCGCGCGGCGTCAATTGCATTCTTGCCGACGAAATGGGCTTGGGCAAGACCATCCAGACAGTGTCCTTTTTGCGGTCTGTCTACGCGCAAACCCAACTGCATCCCTTCCTTGTTGTCACCCCGTTGTCGCTGTGCAGCAACTGGGAGCGCGAATTCGGCCGATGGACTCCCGATTTGAACGTCATTGTGTACACTGGCTCCCAAGAGAGCCGCCAGGTTTTGCGTCAACACGAGTGCTTCCGCGCCAGCAGCAGCAGCAACAACACCACCACCACCGGGTCTGGCAGCCAAGGTCGCGTGCCAAAGTTCCACGTGCTTGTGACCTCGTACGAGATCTTGCTTGCCGACATGTCCTTCCTCAAGTCCATCCTGTGGGAGGAGCTGGTGGTCGACGAGGGCCACCGTCTCAAAAACCAAGAGTCCAAGCTCTTCAAGGCCCTGCAAGCCTTCAACATTGCTCATCGCCTGCTGCTCACCGGCACCCCGCTGCAAAACAACCTGCAAGAGCTCTTCAACCTCATGTGCTTTCTGGATTACGAAAAGTTTGAGCAGCAGCGCGAGTTTATTGTCGACGAGACGCTCATCACGTCTGCCCCCGACGAGGACACGACAGACCGCGTCCGGCGTCTCCACGACATGTTGCGACCGCACATCCTGCGCCGTCTCAAGGACGACGTGCTGCAGGACATTCCGCCAAAAACGGAACTGGTCGTGCCGTGCAAGATGAGCGCGCTTCAGCGCCAGTACTACCGTGCCATCCTCACCCGCAACTATGCAGCGCTCAACCAAGGCGTGCAGCAAGTGATTACAGGGACGAAATCTTCCATGGTGGTCCAGCCGCAGCAACAGCGCGTCACCCTCATGAACATTCTGATGGAGTTGCGCAAGTGCACCAACCACCCCTACCTCTTCCCGGGAGCCGAGCCAGAGTTTGCCGGGGATTCCGCCGAAGTGGCCGACATGCAAGCCCAGAGTCTTGTGCAGGCGTCTGGCAAGCTTGTTCTGTTGGACAAGATGCTGCCCGGCCTTCGCGCGCGCGGCCATCGTGTGCTCATCTTTTCGCAAATGACGCGTGTCCTCGACATTCTCGAAGACTACTTGTCGCACTTGCAGATGCCATTCTGCCGGTTGGACGGCTCGACGCTCAACACGGATCGCCAGCACTTGATTGACAAGTTCAACGCGCCCAACTCGCCCATTTTCTGCTTTTTGCTCTCCACACGCGCGGGAGGTCTCGGCATCAACCTGCACACCGCCGACACCATCATCATGTTCGACTCGGACTTTAACCCCCACTCGGACATGCAGGCTCTGAGTCGCGCCCACCGCATTGGCCAGAAGAAGCCCGTCACCGTCTACCGCCTCGTGACATCGGACACCATCGAGGAGGGCATCTTGCAGCGAGCCCGCAAAAAGCTCTTGCTTGGTCACGTTGTCGTCGAGAAGCTCGAGGACGGTATCGATGCGCAGGGCATGAGCAATCTGCTCAAGTACGGCGTCCAGTCCTTGTTCGAGTCGGACGATGCCAAGCAAGAGCTGAACTTGATGGCGAGCGGCTCCACCGTTTCCCTCACGACCCACGCTGCGGCGATTGCGAGCTCCACCACCAAAGCCATGTACGAGGACTCGCTGATCGAGCAGCTGCTCGACAATCCGGCCGCCTTCCTGCTGAGCAGCAGCGGCGGCGGTGAGGATGCAGCCAAGCAGCCTGCCAGCAAGTCGGGCGATCAACAAGAAGGGTCGGACTCGGACGCCATTCCCGGTGCCAGTGGGAGCGCGCCCATCGGCGCAGTCTCGGCCTCTGCTGTTGACGCACTCAAGAGCTTTGCCCTGGCCAAGGTCTGGCAAGAGGAAAAGACCGAGGCGGAGCCCACACCCGCTGCGGACGAGCCAGAGCAGGCTGTTGACCCTGACGCCCAGCCGGCAGACCAGGCGGAGGATTACTGGGAGAAGCTCCTGCGCGAGCGCCACGAGGCGCTCAACCAGAAGCAAGAAGAGCAAGAAACCGGCCGGCGTGCGCGCAAAAAGATCAGCTACCTGGACGCCGACCTCCTTGCCAAGCGGCAACGCAAGCTTCTCCGTCAGAAAGACAGGGAGCGCCGCTTGGCCATCGCTGCTCGGCGCGCCAATGGCGAAATCGTCACCGATGAAGAGGACGAAGACGATGACGATGACGACGACGAGGACGATGACGACTCTTCGAGCGAGGACGAGTACCTCAATCCCGACAAGGTCAACTCTGATGAAACGGACGAAGACGACGATGAAGATGGCGACGGAGGCGGTGAGGATGGCGCAGCCGCCGATGCTGCCGACCTGGGTGACGCCAAGCCGAAAATGTCGCACGGCAACTCGATTCTCCGTGGATCGCGTCCAAGACGTGACAGCTCCAACTCGAACGAGCCGCGCAGGCGTGGCCGACCGCGCATCTACCCGGATGGCTACAAGGCGGCGCGCAAGCAAATGCGGCAACGCGGACCAGCAACCGCCTCGACCGGCATTGCGCCCGTGGCCCAGCATCTGCCGTCGCTCCACCGTCTCGCAATGTCCCAAGGTGGTATGCAGCACGAGCGACCTGGCGGTAGCTTCCCGGTCAGCCCCATTGTGGCGTCTTACACGCTTGTGCCGGCCCCGCGTGTGCCCGGAGAGTCTGGCGTCCTGCTGCTGGGCAAGGACAAGCTCCTGTACGAGCTGCACCTTGATGACATTGATCCGTACACTGATCAGTTGACGGAGGCTGGCCAGCGCAAGCTCGACGCGCTCATTGCGGAGAATGCGAACAAACCACCACCGCCAGAAGTGCCAGCAGCGTCCGAGTCTGAATCGGCTACAGTCACAGCCAATGGACAGAGCGAAGAGCGACCCGTGCAAGAGGCAGTCCCCGCACCACCAGAATCAGAGCCAGAGCCCGAGCCAGAACCAGCACCAGCACCAGTACCAGTCGTATCAACCGCACCGCCAGCAATCATTATCAGTTTGGACGACGATTCCAATGACAGCTTTGACTCTGCCGAGCCAACACCAACCAAGCCAATGCAAACTGATCCCCTTGCTGCTGCGGTAACGGCTCGCAATGCACCCAAGAGCGACACAAAGGCTCCTGGCAACCTCGCCTCAGCAGCGGTACCGGCCGAGATTGCCAAGTCAAGTGAAACAGTGGCGGCTGCTGCTGCTTCAACGGCAAACCCACCTCCACAGCAGCAGCAGCAACAGCAGCAACAGCAGCAACAGCAGCAGGGCCCCTCCGAAACACCCGCTTCGGAAACCAAAGAATACACATTCTGGGAGCTGTTCGTTACACCAGATGAACAATTCATGCTTCGTGAGCTCTTTACCCCGGAAGGGACGGCCGCCAAGGAGCAGCCGCTCGAACCAACCGCCAAGCGCGCTGGTGATGCAAAGTGGGAGGTCCGCCCTCCCAAGCGGCAACGGATGGATGGCGTTTTCGAGATTCGCCCAGCTCTTCCGCCGCGCGGCATCGCTTTCACTCCAGCTGGAATACCCATTGCTGTTAAGCGCGCTCGAGCGTACAAGTCTGGACGCTTCAATCGGTCTGACACCAAGCCGGTGGGCATGGAGAGCAAGTTCCACCAGTACAATCCGGCCGGAGCAGACACGAACAACGCTGCTGCTGCCAGCGCGTCTGCTGCGGGAGACTCGGCCTCAGCAGGTGCCATCATGGGCGCTGAAGGCGGCGGCTCATCGGTGGTGCTGACGGCCAAGAAGACGACGGTCGATCCCGCGCTGTCCCACCAAAGCTCTCGAACGCCTTCGGCTTCCGACTCGCCAACGCCCTCGAGCTCTCGTCCGCAGCCAAGTCTCCCGCAACACCCCTTGCATCGGCTGCAGCAGCAGCATGCTCAAAACCTCCAGTACCGCCACCCGTACCAACAGCAGCCGTCCTACGCCTACCACCAACCTCCAGCGATGGATTTGAACTTTCCCCCGCCGCCTCCGCCGCCGCCAATGTTCCACGACCCCAACTATGCGCACTTTATGCAGCAGCATCAGCAGCAGGTCATGTACTTTCAGCAACAGCAGCAACAGCTCCAGCAGCAATGGCAGCAGTGGCACTACCAGCAACAACACTGGCCGCAAGCACCGCAGCAGTGGCAGCAAGGGAATGGCGAGTACCAATATCCGCAGCAGCACTCTGGTGGCGATCCGCAACACGAGCAATCGCATCCGCAGCAGCAGCAGCAGCAACAGCTGCAGCAGCAGCAGCAGCAGCAGCATTATCAACAGGCGCCGCCGTCGTCGCAGCAGCAGCACCCACAACAAGCTGATCACCAGCAGCACCATCACCAGCACGATTCTCAGCAGCAGCAACAGTATCAACAACACCAGCACGATCATCATCAGCAGCAGCAGCAACAACAGCAACAGCATTATCAACAGCACCACCAACACGAGCCGCAGCAGCACCATCACCAACACGATCCGCAGCAACAGCAGCAGCAGCAGCAGCAGCAGCAGTACCCGCAGCAGTATGCAACTGGATATTCGGATGCAGCTGGCAATGCGTACGTTCCTGTCGTGTTTGTCGATGCATCCTCGATGCAGCAAATGTATACTGGCGGCTATGTCCAACCTCAGCAGCAGCAACAACCACAGCAGCAGCAGCAGCAGCAACAGCAACAACAGCTGCAACAGTAGGAATTGATTTTGTCGTCCCGTGCCTTCATGTACAACAATACTTTGAATCCTTTTCTAATACCATCTGATCTCTGCACTGAATCTTTGCTCTTGTTACCCGTATTTTCCAGTGACGCTGTCGCATTTTTTGCCGTGATGTATGGATTTTGCATTGCGCAGTCTTTTCTCTTCCTCCTCCTTTAGCCACAGTCTGTTCATCTTCCTCTTTTCGTTGAGTGTCTCGCTTGCCACACTCGCTCCGCTCACCATCTGCTGCACACCTCTGCACCCCTTTTGTTTTCATCTCCAGGATCCAACCACCATGCTGAGCGGCCTGGCCCGTACGCACTCTGCTGCTGCTGCTACTGCTGCGACGAGCACTGTGGCCCTGCGCGTCCACGCGTTGCGCAGCTCTCTCGGCTCGGCGCTCCAGCCGCGCTCTCTGGCCTCCTCTGCGATCGCCCGTGCCTCGCAGCAGGGCGTTCCTGGCGTGATTGCCGTGCGCCGCGAGAACAAGAACCGCTGGGAACGCCGCGCGCCCATCTCGCCCGCCAACGTGCGCACGCTGCTCGAAGCCCCGACTGCGCCAGGAACCCCGCCCGTGCGCGTCCTCGTCCAGCCGTCCAACCTGCGCGCCTTTGCAGACTCAGAGTATCAGAAGGTGCGTAGTAAGCCCACCCCTTCCCCCTTTCCCCTTTCCTCTGAGATTGCAGTCATTGTTGCACACTCTCAACCATTGAAAAGTGGAGCGATCAATCAAAAAAAAAAAAAAAAAAAAAAAAAAAAAAAAGTCACGCTTTTTTGTCGCAACTGAGACAACTGAGATTCAGAATTTGTTATGATCTAAGATCGTTCCACGAAGATACGAGTAATGGGTTGAAGTCTCTTGTTTCCCGATTATTCCTCTCATCCATAACAGAATTCACAACTGAGAGGAAAAAAAGAGAAAAAGAACACGCTGCGAGAAAAAAAAAAAAAAGATTCAAGCTGCGAAAACACTTTGCACTTTGATCAGATCAACATGCGCGATCGACTTGTGGATTGTTGAGCACTTTTGGTTTGAATTTTTGAGCCGACAAACTAACACACACTTCTTCTGCTTTGAACTGCACGACAATGAACAATAGGCCGGCGCCGTCATCACGGAGGACATTAGCCAGGCAAACCTGATCATCGGCGTCAAGGAGGTCCCTGTCAAGGAGCTGATTGCCGATCGCACATACATGTTCTTTTCGCACACGCACAAGGCTCAGCCGTACAACATGGGCATGCTTGACGCAATGCTGCAGAAGGTATTTGCGAGCTTTCTTTGAGTAGTTTGTTCTTTGTTTGAGAGACTGACCCGTTCTTTGGGAAAAACAAACAAAAAACACTGACTGCAACAGAACGTTCGCCTGGTCGATTACGAGCGAATGGTCGACGACAAAGCTGCCCGCGTTGTCAAGTTTGGCGATTATGCAGGCGTGGCGGGCATGATTGACTTTTTGCACCTCCTCGGCGATCGCTTCCTTGGGCTTGGCTATCACACTCCATTCCTGGTGAGTGCACGCTCGTCGCGGCGATATTTATTGGGGCCGTTATTTTTTTGTGGTGGTCTAACTCTTTGAACACTCTCCCAGTACGTCGGCTTTGCGCACAGCTACAACCGCATCGAGCACGCTCTTAAGGCCATCAACATGCTGGGGAAGGAGATTGCCACGAACGGCATTGCTCGCGACGTGGCGCCAGTCATTATTGGCTTCACTGGCGACGGCGCCGTCTCCCGCGGTGCTCGTCAAATGTTCAGCGCTCTGCCTCATAAGTGGGTGACGCCCGAGGAGCTTCCCGCCATTGTCAAGGCAAAAGGTGAGCCATTGACCGTTGTTTGCACGAGCTCATTTGAACAAACGGCTGACTCTGTGTCGTTCGCTCCGAACAGATCCTTACACCATCTACGCCGTGCTGATCAAGTCGAACGATTACATTGAGCCCATTGATGCAAACGCAACCTTTGATAAGCAGGACTACTACAAGAATCCCCAGAAGTACCGCTCCGTCTTCCACACCAAGGTTGGTAGCTCGTTACTGGTTGATCGAGATTTTGTCGAGCAGTCCAAAGACATGGCACACGGTTCCGCCAAAAAAAATTCACTGACCACGCCCTATTGCTTTGCTTGATCTCGTCAGATTGCCCCGTACTTGACTGCTGTGGTGAACGGCATCTACTGGGAACAAAAGTATCCTCGTTTGATGACCACCAAGCAGACCCAAGCCCTCGCTGCAGAGAAGAACCTGCGCATGATTGGCCTTGCAGACATTACGGCAGATCCCAATGTGAGACACGACGTGTAGTGCAGGCGCGGTCGTTTTTCGTTTTGTTCGGCGCGACGTTTGATCACTCACTTGTGGCACTGTAAACAGGGATCCTTTGAGTTTATGACCCGGTGCACGTCGATTGACGAGCCCTACTTGATCTATGACGTTGAGAAGAACGAGTCTCACACCAAGTGAGTGGTTGGTCATTTGCGTTGTCTTGTTTGAGGAAAAGCTTTTGCTGAGGCAAAAAGTGCTTTGATTTCGACAGCATGGAGGGCAAGGGCATCATGATTCTCTCTGTGGACAATCTGCCTGCCGAGCTGCCCATCGAGTCCAGCGAGTACTTTGGCGACCGTCTGACTCCGTTCTTGCGAAACTTGGTAAGTGTTCGGGTCGGGTCGGGTCGGCGTCCACTTTTTTGACGCACAGCGAGCCTGCATGCTCACCTCGGGCTTGCGTTTTGCCAACCGCGCTTTTTTTCTTTTGGGTGGCTTTAGTCTCTTTCCGATGGCCTCAAGCCGTTCCAGCAGCAAACTGAGCTCGATCCGGTTGTCCGTCGAGCTGTCATCACAGCCAACGGCTCCCTCACGCCAAACTTTGCGTACATTTCGCAGCTTCGTGCTGCCTACCGTGCGCGCCAAAAGAAAATCCTGCTGCTCGGCTCAGGCTTGGTCGCAACTCCGCTTGTCGACTACCTCAAGCGCTTCCCAGACACCATTGTGACTGTTGGTAAGCCGACAAGCCTTGGAAAAATGAAGCAGCGCGTGTGTGTACTGTTTGGCACTCACCCTGAAATGCATCCCAACACAGCCAGCGTTGTTGAAGCTGAGGCGAAGGCTTTGGCCGGTGACCATCCTCAAGTGTTTGCCAAAGCGCTCGACGTCAGCAACAAGCCGGCACTGGAACGCTTGGTGATGGATCATGATCTCGTCGTCAGGTAATTACTTCTATTGCTGCCATGTTCTTTTTTATGCGTGGAGCGTACACACACACAGGAAGAGGCTCACGCACACACACACACACACACACACACACACACACACACACACACACACACACACACACACACACACACACACACACACACACACACACACACACACACACACACACACACACACACACACACACACACACACACACACACACACAGGAAGAGGCTCACGCGTTTTGTTGATCGAATTTCTTTTTTAGCTTCATCCCGGCCACCATGCACGTCCCTGTCGCTGAGGTCTGCATCCAATTGCGCAAGCACATGGTGACAGCCAGCTACATTTCACCTGCGATGAAGGCGCTTGACGCGAGGTCGGTTTTCCAGTGTAGATTGCGTGTTGAACTTTTGATTTTGATTTTGACTTTAACTTGGTCTCGACGTTTGCCATCGACAGCGCCAAGGCAGCTGGTATTACGATTCTCAACGAGATCGGCCTCGATCCTGGTATTGATCATCTGTCCGCGATGAAGATTATCGATGAAGCCAAGGCGGCTGGCGACAAGGTTGGTGGTGGCGTTTCCGACACGACTTGCATTCTTTTGCATTGCTACAACAAACCCTCTCACCTGATTGTTCAATGACCCTGCCCCTTTGTTTATATCTTCTTCCCTGTTGTGCTTTTGCTTCGCTTCGGTAGGTCACCTCGTTTGTGTCATGGTGCGGCGGCCTGCCTGCGCCTGAAAACAGCAGCAACCCGCTTGGTTACAAGTTCAGCTGGAGCCCGCGCGGTGTCTTGCTGGCTGGTCTGAACGCCGCTCGGTTCCGGCGCAACAAGCAGTTGGTCGAGATTGCCTCTGGCCAGCTCTTCCGCCACGCCGAACCCGTCGACATCTACCCTGGCTACGCGCTCGAGGGCCTTGCCAATCGCGACTCTCTGTCCTACGCCGACACGTACACCATTCCGGACGTTGACACCATGTTCCGCGGCACTCTTCGCTTCAAGGTGCGGGTTGTGTGTGGTTTTGGTTGTTTTTGGGCGACATTCTGGATTCTCGGTGTTTTTGACTCACGCCTTCTCCGTATCGATTTCTTTTCAGGGCTTTTCTGTCCTCATGTCTGCGTTGCACTCAATTGGCTTGTTTGACGTCACTCCCAACGAGCAACTCGCGCAAAACCAAAGCAAAACTTGGGTAAGTTTCGGTTCTTCGACAATTGCTTCCAATGGGACGCGAAACACTCACTCACGTTGTCACTTTGACAGCGCGAGGTCATGCAGACTTTGATTCCTGCCGGACAGCGCACCGGGGACATCCAGTCTTACTTTGTCGACAAGGTTGTGGCGGCTCATCCTGGCTTGGATCAGCGTGAGCTGCAGCGCATCATTGACGCCTTCTCGTGGTTTGGTCTCTTCTCAGACCAACCCGCAGGTCTCCGTGGCACGTACTTGGACACGCTCTGCGAGCTGCTACAGCGTCGGTTGGCGTATGGCAAGGGCGAGCGCGACATGGTTTTGCTCCACCACGACATTTTGATTGCTCGTGCCGGCAAGAAGACGCCCGTAAGTTGTTTGTTTTTGCGCTAGGGACCGAACGTGGATGTGTAAATTGCGTTTGTGCTCACGTATCGATCTATCGCTTCCCGGCCTGACAGGAGCGTCGTCAATCCACTCTGATTGCTTACGGCGATCCGAACGGATACACTGCGATGGCCAAGACTGTCGCCCTTCCTGCCGCCATTGCGGCTTACTCCATCTTGGACGGCACGATCAAGCGTCGAGGCGTTCTTGCCCCTGTCAACAAGGACATTTACGAGCCGCTGTTGACCAAGTTGGAAGCCGAAGGCATCGAGTGCATCGAGCGCACCATCTAGTCATTCGTCATAAAGTGGTTGTTTTGATGTCAACGTTCATACATTCGAATTGGGATTGTGAAATAATGGGCTGGCGGCGGGAGGGAGCGTCCTGCTGAATGACAGCAAGTGACCAACGGGGCCAAAGCACAACAAGATGTGGATGATGGGACTTTTGTAGGGAACGGAGGTACATGATACAACAAGAAAACAACGAGCTCAAAACCAATAACAAAATTTGCGTGACCCATGGAATCACTTGCGACCACGCGTGGATTTTCCTCGAGTCGCCGCCTTGCCTCGGCCACCGCGAGCGGCGGACTTTCGAGGAGCCTCTTCCTCCTCATCCTCGTCCTCGTCGTCATCGGCTTCATCTTCTTCTTCGTCGTCGTCGTCGTCTTCTTCTTCTTCTTCCTCTTCATCTTCTTCGTCTTCCGCCTCGTCCTCATCGTCTTGGTCGCCAGACATGTCGGCGGTCATCAACTGCTGGACTTCGAGTGCTGTCTGCTTGGGAACAGTGCCTGGGACCAAGGAGTTGGCGTTGCTCAAATGCTCCAACGCCCGCGCTCGCCAAGCGTCAAATTCCTCGTCTGGGCACACGTCTGCCATGTGCACCGACGTGTTCATCAACTGCAGCAACATCATCACCCGAGAGAACAGGGGTTGAGTCCATTTTCCGGAAAAAAAAAACCAATGCCTATTTTCCATTTTCAGTTTTGCTTACATGTCGCTCAAGCCGCGCCTTCTCGGCGTTGGTCGAGCAAAGAGCAAGACCTCGAGTGAAGCACTTGACGGCTGAAAATAAAGAGCGAGCGGCACATCATGACATAGGGTGAGCGCTCGACCAGAAGAGCAAACGAAACAAAACACATCATTTACATACCCTCCGTAAGGTGACCTGCTGCAGAGTCTGCATCTTCAGCCTCGACGTGCGCGAGGCCAGCATCCGTCAGCGCTTGTCCCATGATGGTCAGCAATGAAAGCCGGTTGCCGTCCACTGCATCAAATCTCCGTTAGAACACAGTTTTCAACAGTTTTCAAAACCAATAGACGTTGCAGCTTTTCTTACGGTCAAGAGCAACGCTTGCAATATCACGAGACTTCAGTGCAATTTCTTCACGCTCCTCGACGGGCAGGTAGGTCGAGTAGTGGTGCAAGGCGCTGGCAAACTCTTCGAGGAAACTGACATCATTCACAGTTGCAGTCTTGCGAGTCATTGCAGTCGCATGATCCGGCACCGAGGTGGCTGGGGTTTTGCCAGGTCGCGCATACAGCCCGTCGACAATGTCAAACGCACGGCGCACGAGAACCATGTCTCGTTGTTCTTTGCTGTGCGACGGAGCCTGGAGAAGCGATTCCTCGTCCGCAATTGCCTGAATGATGTCAGAGTGCCAACACAGAGTTCCATTTGGTTGGTGTGTCGCACCAACGCACATGTACACCAACACAAAAAATCAATGACAAACAATTTTCCAAACCTTATGCACGAGCGTTTGGCTCAAGCCTTGCATGGACGCTTGATCTTCCGGATTCAGTTGCAACGCGTGCTCAAAGTGGGAAATGGCATCGTCAAAGTACCGTTGCTCGCCCAGCAATCCGGCGAGCTGGGACCAACACAAGCCCAGATAAAAGTAGTGCTGGAGGATGAAATGCAAGGCGTCAGTTGTCATTCCATTGCATGTTTGCAGAGTTCGTGGCGGCTGCGTGATATGCATACCTTATAGGTGATGGGTGTAGCATCAGGAACACCAGCTTCACTCTCTTGAATCTCGCCATGAAGCTCGTGCGTGGCGCCCTGCAAGAGTTTCATCGCCACATCGGTCGCGCCGGCCGCTACCAAAGGTTCGGCAAAAAGCAAGTGAGTATTCATTCTATGACTTGAGTTGCTTTACCACAAGTCCCACTTTGCTCAAAACTCACCGAGCTCTGCCATGGCTGTCTTGAACAATGCAATGCCATCGGAATCGCCATCAGCAACGTTCACTGCCACGTCCTGTCCGACCAAAAACAGTAAAAATTCACAACAGATCAAAAGTCAGAGGGTAGACCAACCATGCAAGCACGTGTGTGTGTGTGTGTGTGTGTTCACCACAGCGACCGCGTCATGACAAAAAAAATGAGGATGTTTCCGAGCTGCTAAGAAACCACGCCTTCTTTTGTGTTTGTTTTGTTCTTGATTTGTTCCCATTTGCGTTCTCAACCCCACCGCACCCCAATATACATGCCATGCGATGTCTGCTCCTCAATCTATGCGAGGTCAATCTGCCAATGCTTGCTCGCTCGCTCGGTGTGACGCGGGGGATTTTGTTTCCTACTTTTGTTTCAAATCCCGCTGAAGAAGTGTCGTTTCGGCGTTTCCCACATCACATCACCTCCCTTCGTCCCCTTTGTCCGAGCCGCTTCACTCAGGATACCATTCACTTGGTCGGCAGTTTTTTGTTCCGCGCCCCCCCCCCTCCGAGTCGTGTGAAGCGAAAGGGGAGAACGAGGTCCCTTACAGCGTGGTTTGCGTCGCTCGCTGCCTCGTCGTGGTCTGCGCTGTGACCGTTCGTTGCGCGGCTGGCTGCTGCGTGGGACGACGTTGCATGGCTCACTGCGACCACTGCGGCTGCGGCTGCTGCGGCGTCGGCGTCCGAGCTGGTGCGCGCGACCTTGCTCACTGCGCCATTGCCACTACTGCCACCGCTCGTCGTCGTCGTCGTCGTCGTCGTCAAAGCCGTCGCCGCGCGTTCATCCAGCAGCTCGGCAGCCGCAACGTCCGAATGTGTGCGCTTGCTGCGGAGTCCCGTCGGTCGACTCGAGCTCTTTGTGCTGCTCATTCGCGCGGAAATAAAAAAAAAATGTGAGAAAGTGAAAATGTAAGACTGTCTCAGAAAAACAAAAAGGCCAACGACGACGAGGGTTTCTCAGAAAGCCCAAGAGACTCATCATCATCATCATCATGGTTTAAACAAGTTCATTCATCACACGCTGTGGTGCTACGAAAGGAGGGGTAGGGGAGGGCAGAGGAGGGAAGCGAAGGGAAGAGATTCTGAGCAAATCAGACGAGAGATCCGTTGCTTTGCTTTGTCTGCCATGTTCGATTATCCCCCCCTCCTCCCACCACAACCTCCCCAAATGCCCTTCCATTCTCCATTCTCGTTCTCAGTTTCCCAAGTCTTATTCCCCATTTCTACGAGCCACTCCTTCTTACCCATCGAACCCATACGTCGAATGCCGCCATCGCCGACCGCAACCTCAGCCTCGGCCGCTGCTGCTGGTTCTTTATCATCCACCTCATCGGCAACTGCTGCCTCTGCCTCAGCCTCGTCCGCGACCCTGCCGGACAAGCCATCCGCGAGTAGTGCATCGGGCTGGGCGGCGACCGGCGAGGTCCTTGCGCGGTCCATTGCGCGCATCCCGCATCCGCCGCTCTGGCTGCCAGTCAGCGCAAGTCTCTTTGCAGGAGGCGTCGTCGTGTACCACGTCCTCTTCACATACGGCCTGTCGACAGCCATCTTTGCCTACCACCCGTTGCTCATGGCCATCGGGGTACGCCCAGCACATGTTGACATTCTGAGAATTAGCAAACTCACTTGACATGTCTCAGATTATTTTTGAAGGTCGCTCATTTCATTTCATTTCATTATGTGTGTATGTGTATGTGTATGTGTGTTTGTCGCTGTTTGGTAGTACTTTATGTTGCTCTTGCCAGCTTCACACTTTCTGGGCAGATACTCGCCGCTGCCGCAAGGCCAAGCAAGCTTCCCAAGAGCGCGCAAGGTGAACTGGCATTGGATTGCAATGGCCGTGGCGATGGTTGCCATTGTCGGTGGGTTTTACGCCATCTACGAATCGCGCACCAGAAACAACAAAATCCACTTCAAGTCGTGGCACGCCAAGATTGGCGTCGCTGCGATCGTCTTTGCCATCGTGCAGGGCTTCTCGGCGCTGCCAATGCGATTCCCAAATCTCCGACCTGCTGGCTTTGATATGGGCCAGAACGTGCGCCTTCACCGCATCTGGTCGGTTGTCGTCCTTGCCGCAACGGCCGTCTGTCTGATTCTGAGCTTTTTCACCGGCTGGTTTCTCCGGAACTCGTCGCTATCCATGGCACTCGTTATGGTCTTGTGCGTTGTTGTGACTGTCGGCTCTGCGTGCCGCTCGGCATTGAGGTTGTAGATCCGATTCATCTGGAAATCAAACGTTGAATGTCAACTGACCAAGACGTGCCATCAACATCCTCACCTGCCATTGCTTTTGCCAGTCTGTGCGCGATTGATTCATTGATTGATTGGCGCGCCAGCGAGTGCGCAATGTGGCAGTGTTTTTTTGTACAACATCATGCTTATTCAGTTATTCATCGGATGGCAAAGCAGTGTTCACACTTCCGGCAGCAGGGACATGCTATAGTATTCAAGCCACTGGAATCATCTCTTGTCGTAAATCTTAAACCGCATCACAAGGTAGGCCAGGATCCGCCAGAAAATCCAAAACACGGACAGGGCCAAAAAATTAATCCACAAGTTGTCGTTGAGAGACTCTGGACCAAAGCCCCAAGCAGAGAGAATGTCGTCTGGCGGGAATGGATAGGATACAGTCGTGGACGAGACGCAGCAGACGGTAGTGCCATTCAGATTCACCACAATCTGCGGAAAAGCAGGATGTTGCACCAAATCACAGTTAGAGATGCGCTGTAGGCTATACTTTCAAAGATCAGCGTCATACATCTTGGCAGGGAGTGGTCGGAACGAAACACGCGTAGCAATCGGACGTTTGGGTGTAGTCGTTTTGGCCTTGAAAGTTGTTAATGGCCAAGCCATTGAGCGCATAGTTCAGGAAGGACTGTGTGTGTGTGGGGGGGGGGAGGGTGTGTATTCAGATGGTTAGCGCACAGCACGACGCGCAGGTAGTAGCATCAACGTACGATAACATAGGCCCAGATAAAGTAATCCGGAATCAGCGGCTTTTGAACGTAAAATCCTACAACGCATGACGGGTCAGCACGCACGCTCCACCGTGCATTTATGTGCCATCGGTAACTCACCCGAGAACAAGAACGACAGCAAAATGATGGGGAAGATGGCGATATTGGCGCTCTCAAAGTCAGCCGACCCCGCCGCGATAGCCTTGATGAAAGCCAGCGGTTTACAAAAAGTCAGCAACGCCATTCCCAGCGCCTCACGCACAAACTTCCGCAACCATCACTACCTGACTCATCGCCAGAGCTGCATCCGTCAAGACCAGCAAGAACAGCACAAACGTAAAGAAGGCGCCTGCTGTCGATTTGAGTCCCGTCGACCAGTATAGCACGACCGACCACAGCAGTACTTGCAACAGGTTGAATGGCATGTCGGAGATGACATTGGCCCAATACCAAGACGAAACTGTGAAGCGAAGCGTTGGGAATCAAGTCGAAATAAGGGCATCTTCAGCACAAACTGCGACCATCTAACCAACCTTGGTACGTGGCGGCGTGTCTCTCGCGCAAGAAGAACGGACGACTCATCAGTGCTGCATACGATTTCAATCAGCAAGACGACACGACACATCGCATCTTGAAACCTGGTGCATCACCAAGAAACTCACAGAATCCAATAAACGCCAAAGCACCGAATGCAAACACTTGAACTGAAAACTGGAGGATGGACACCATGTTGTACACACCCGCTGACGTATGCGGCTGGTTGGAAAACAACGTGCCAAGCACAATGTTGAGAAACACGATGCGTAGAAATCGCGCCGAAAGATAGTACTTGTCGCGACACTTTTCCCACCAGAACCGCTCGAGAAGCACGACAAAGTTGTGCCACGCCGAGTTGACAAAGCGAACAGGCTCGTGTTCTTTCTGGCTTGCGTCCACTGCAGATGCTGCAGCAGTCTGCCGAGCAGAAATGAGGCGTTGCTCGGCCAAGTTGGAACGGCGGTATTCGTCGGCGAAAAAGCCGGCGCTCACTTCGGGACCTTCCACAGTTCTAGCGTGCTGTCCTGTTCCAGGCCCCGTGACAGCAACTGTGAACAAAAAGGGAAGCGAGAGAGGCAGAGGGGGGACGGGGTACGTGTGAGCATCATCTCCATCAAACTCAACGTCTGCATGCATGCAACAGCCCAAAAAGCGTTACTGATGTAGTCTGCTGGGTTGGATCCCGGAACAAACTTGAATCCGAGCTTTTCAAAGTAGGGCACAGTGTTTGGAATCGAGCCCAGATACACCACCTCGCCCTTAACGAGCAGCAGCAGGCGATCAAAGAGGTTGAAAACATCCTCGCTGGGTTGGTGGATGGTGCAGATGATGCTGCGTCCACGATCGGCAATTTTGCGCACTGCACTCATCACCTCGTACGAAGTCGCCGAGTCGAGACCAGTGGTGGGTTCATCGAGAAACAGCACGCGACAGTCCGTGATGAGCTCAATGCCAATGTTGACTCGCTTTGCTTGGCCACCAGAGATGCCGCGAATGGTAGCGCTACCAATGACAGAGTCTGCACACCTCTGCAGCCCAAGAACGTTGATGACATAGTCGACCTGCGTGCAGTTCAGAGCAACAGGTTCAGCAACAAAAGTTGGCAGAGACATGTTCGACAAGTTGACGACAAGCAAGACCAGTGCCTTACGCGATCGGTGCGTTGCTCGTGAGTTGTGCTGGACGGCAGGCGAAGCCGAGCCGTGTACATGAGGAGCTCGCGCACAGTCAGAGCTCCAAGGAGGGTGTCTGTTTGCTCGACATAGCCGATAATTCGATGCAGCTCCTTGGTCATCGGCTTGTTGTTGTACAGCAGGTCGCCTTGGATCACACCGGATGTCTTGCGGCCTGCCAGGACATCCAACAATGTCGACTTGCCGGCGCCAGATGGGCCCATGAGTGCCGTCAATGTTCCTGGGCGAATGACGCCAGAGACGTTTTTCAGCAGCACCTTGTCCTGCATCTCGGGCTTTGGGAGTCCGCGGCAGGTGATTCCCTTGATTTTCTCCTTGAACGTGAGCTTGCGGACGGGAACCTGGACGGTGTAGCTGACATCGACAAATCTGGGATGGAGGAGGACGGAGTATGAGAGGAACAGTTGCATCAACCAGAACATAAAAAAAAAAACAATTCAGCGGACTTGGCCCCCGTCGAGCTTGAAATCGTCAGCAAAGACATGCCAGTACGATACACGGGAGATGCTCTAATTGGCGGGAAAAAATGCGCCGCATTTCACTCGACGCCAGCGATAACTGTGAACGAGCACCGTTCGCGAGAGTTTGTTTTCTTATGGACCCCTCAATTCGCATGATGGAGCGGAAAATCGTTCCTTTTTTGATAGACATTGCAATGAAATGACTCTACGCTTACGCAATGGTGATGGGCGCATCGTCGTCGGAGGCGAGGTGCACTGCTACAGATGCATCGGGATTGACGGCGTTCTCGTTGTTCCTGTCAGGGTCGCTGCCACTGGGCGGAGTCGAGTCAGCCATCTCGCCCTGTTGGCTGAGTTCCTCCGGGTTGGTATCATCAATGGCACTGACAGGTGCCGGCGGCGGGGCTTTGGTGAACGTGGCGGGGGCGGAGGGGATGTCCGGGGCTGTCGGCGTTGATTGTCCGAGTTGGTCGTGGTGGTGCGTGCTGCTGCCCTCGCCTTTGTCTCTGAGGGAGCTCGAGCGCACCGGCGCCTGCATCTCCAGGTCCGATCGAGTCTCGGACAGCGCAGGCGGCATCAGGCTGGAGAGGTTGTTGTTGGGGTGTTTAGGGTTTTGTTGTTGTTTGTTCCGAGAAGTGGAGCTGGATTGTGGAGGTCTGCTGCTCCAACCAAACAATAAAATCGGACGGAGTGTATTCGCTTTCCAACTAGATCTAGACTGTATGGTTGATCTGTCTGACTTTTATAAAAATTCACTCCGCGTGAAAGCAGTTCAAGTGCTTCGTGACATGGGAAACCGTTTCGACAACAACGGCAGCAGCGGCTTTGATTTGATTACAGTCTCCGAGATGAGCAAGGCGCTGGTCAATACGAATGCTCGGAGAAATTGACTTCTGTCAATTCGAGCCTCGAGCTTGTGATAATCCTGCCAGCGAGTCATCCTGTCGTCCGACAAATGCGCGCGGGTTGGCAGGTTCAAGTTCGACCCAGCAAGTTTCACTACAATGTGGTGTTTGAATCGCTTTATGTTGGCTATGTCTAACGCCACGCTTTCAAGCTTTGGGGGAACTGCATGCCCTCCCGCTCCTTGACTAGTGAGCTCCGTCCCATCGAGCGCAGCCAACACGCTCGCCAATTTCCTGAGTTGTTCCTTTTCGTAGATCTGCAGCTCGAGCTTTGATTTCATTGGTTGCTGCTTCTTTTGTGCTTTCTTAATAAATTTACGACTACATGAGTTAGTTCACTCCAGTTTTCACACACATACACACCAATGTCGGCTGGCAAGCTTCCCCAACTCATCGGCTACGGCATTGACGCAGTTGCGCGCGTCCTCCCCTGCGAGGCGTTCGTCAACTCGTATCTGCAGACTCTCACTGTCGGCAAGCTCACCGTCATCTCCCCTTCTGGCGCGACCACGGTAAGAAGAATAGCAACAACAAGCATCACAGTAGAAAAATAAAAAAAACAAAATCACACAAAATGATCACAAAATCTAATCTTAAAAGATTCAAAAAAAAAAAAAAAAAAAAAAAAAAGAAGGAAAAAAAAAATCGTCACAATCGAGATGTTTTCTCTGTGATTCCGTTGGTTTTTCCCCACAAAGCGACACGACGAGTTCCAATCGTTTGACAATGACAGAGTAATGCGCCGAGTCCAATCCAATCCAATTGCAGCATGGTTGAGCCACCGTATTGGCGTCCCCTTGACCAGCGAGAGAGGAGAGAGGGTTGAAGGTTGCGCAAAAAAATTCGTCTTTTTTTTTTTTTTTTTTTTTTTTATCGAACTGTGAAGCTGTGCGAATTTTGCGATTTTGACGATGATTGGATCGCTGTTCCTGACCTTCGCACGCGAGTCAGCCAGCGATGGATTGACGCGTTGAACGAACGAATGAACGAACGAATGAATGAACGAATGAACGAATGAACTGACGTCAAATCACCAAAAGAAAGGAAATGGGAAAAAAAAAGAAAAAAAAAGAAGGAATTTTGCCGTGTTTTGTATTTTTATTGCTTTTTCCACATCCTTTTCGTTGTGATTTCAGAGTTCCGACGTAGTTCTTGAGCAAAAACAAAGTGCGTTTCGCTTCCGTGTTCGGCTGCAGCTGCTCATCACTGTGCTGGTCGTTCCGAACGAACGATGAAAAAAAAAATCCCAATTCCACAACACGACCTTTTTTTTTTTTTTTTTTTTTTTTTTTTTTTTTTTTTTTTTTGGTCGTTGTCGATTTTCACACTGTGCATCATCATCATCGTCATACGTGTTGTGCGTTTATAACTCACAACTGATCATCAAAACGAACGAACGAACAAACAAACGAACATAAAAAAAGCACAGAGTTTGTAAAATGGGGGAAAAAAAAAAGAAGGAAATTAAGTGGAAGGCGAACGTGTCACTGACAGCAGTTGCGAGTGATCATTGGACGACGAAGCCCGCCCGCACGCGCCTCAGACAAAAATCAAGAGAGAGAGAGAGAGAGAGTTGGAACGAACAAGGGAGGCGGGGGAGGGTGATTGAGGTATTCATGACGATCATGATGAATCAGAGAGAGAGAGAGAGAGAGAGAAGAGAGAGCGAGAGAGAAGAGAGAGAGAGAGACACTGTGGGAGAAAAAACTGTGAGACTGGGATGAACTCGTGCACGTTGCTCCCATTACGATGGAACGTGATGACCATGAGAGATCGACAAGAGAGAGAGAGAGAGAGAAAGCGAGAGAGATCATCCAACAAGAGACAGAGAACGCAAGAGGACCGGATCACTTAACCCAATCGAAATCATGAACGCAGCCACACTTTGTATCACACTTTGGAAATGACTCACTCACTTGGAACAAAAACAGGTCTATGGCGATGCCAACGAGAAGGTCTTCAAGGCAACCCTCACCATCAAGAACGCCAACTTTTACAAGCGCTCGGCACTCAAGGTGAAAAAAACAGGACAACTCTTTGTGCATCTTTATTGACATGCACTCAACTTGTTGCTCCTGCAGGAATCGATCGGCCTCGGCGAGTCGTTCATGGACGGCGACTGGGAGTGCGACGACCTCGTCTCGTTCTTTTGCATTGTCGTCGAGAACATCAAGGCCGGCAAAAAGTACAACAACAGCCTGGTTGGCCGCGGTATCAACACTGCCGTTGCCTCTGCCACCGGCTGGCTGGTAAGTGTTGTCGTCGTCGTTGTGATTTTTGTCTTTTTCCTTTCCCTCCATCTTTCCCCGATCGACTCAAAATTCCGTCAAAAAAACGTACAATGACAGCGATGGCTGATGACCAACAGCCCTTCGCTCTCCCTTGCGAACGTCCAAGCACACTACGACCTCGGCAACGACTTTTACCAACTGTGGCTTGACAAGTGAGTTTGCCTTGCTGCTGCTGCTGCTGCTACTTCTGCTTCAACTTCTGCTCTCAAACATCACACGCGCCATTTCTCACGATTCGACTTTTTTTGTCTCAGGGACTTTATGGCTTACACTTGCGCCCTCTACCTCACCCCCAAGGACACCCTGGAGAAGGCACAGGCAAACAAAATCCACCTCATTATCAAAAAGCTCCAGCTCAAGCAGACCGACCGCTTGCTCGACCTCGGTTGCGGCTGGGGCGGCCTCGCCCTGGAGGCTGCTCGCAAGGTCGGCTGCCGCGTCCTGGCTGTCAACCTCTCCAAGGAGCAGATTGAGTTTGCTCGCAAGCAGGCTGCCAAGGAGGGCTTGTCCCACCTCTGCGAGTTCCGTCACGCCGACTACCGCACCATCAACCCGGAGGCGGACGGTTTGTTTGACAAGATCAGCTCGGTCGGCATGCTCGAGCACGTCGGTCACTACGACTTGCCCACCTTCTTTGCCACCTGCAACCGCGCGCTCAAGCCGAACGGCATCCTCGTGACCCACTGCATCACCTACATTGACTCGCGCTACGAGCAGTACCTCAAGGAGACTGACTTTACCAAGATTTACATCTTCCCTGGCTCGGACATTCCCTCGCTCACCGCTCTCATCAACGCCGCCACTGCCTCTGCCTGGACTGCCGAGCACGTCGAAAACCTTGGCTTCAACTACGGCTTGACCTGCCGCGAGTGGCGTCGCCGCTACAATGCCAAGATCCAGGAGGTCGAGGCCATGGGCTACCCCAAGTCCTTCCAGCGCATGTTTGACTTTTACCTTGCATGGTATGTTGAATTTGTCCCGGGGAAGCGGAGGCGGGAAAGAGTAGTTGGTCTGGGGCTGGAAATTGTTAGTCAGAATTTTGGGAGGTTTTTTTTTTCAAGCTCACATTGCTTGCTTCTCCCCTGCACCTTTGATTCCCGTTTTGAACACTTTCACAGGGCCGAGGCTGCGTTTGTCAGCAAAAATTTGCACTTGCACCAGGTGATCTGGAAGCGCCCGGCGTCGGATTCTGGCTACCCTGTTGCCACAAACTTTGTGCCCCTTCACGGCCACCGTGAGTCCATCGAATAAGGCAAATGCGGTCATTGGTTCTCTAGCACTGTCATAGACATTGATTCTGATTGCCTGTCGACTGGCGACACGATTTGTTTGTGCGAGTATTTTGCTATGAATGGTTTTGTTTTGCATAGTCTCTTTTTCTTTGTTTGAATTTGTTTCGCTTTTTCAGCATCAGAATATACGGTAGTAGTTTTTAACATGGGGCTTTTCTTTGCGTCGTGAGCTTGGATAACACAACGAAACCATTCAGAGACGGAAACGGTGCATTCTATTCACAACGATGAACACGTTTTCGCACACAATCAAGACAAGTTTCGAAATACTGGGCCATCGACCCAACACAAAAAACTTGGAACAAATGTGTGTGCGCTTTTAGGCATTGACGTCGCGCGGTGGCTTGTTGGGCATCGGTGGGGGCTTGTTGGGCTTCGGGGGCAACCGGTTTGGGGCGGCCGGGATTTCTGTCATGGGCAGGCTCTCCTTTGGACGCTGCACAGCCTCTTTTTCCTTCTTGTCCTTTGGCTTGACGGTGCTGCGAGGGTCGACCCACTGCTCGCCGGCGAGACCTGCCCGCAGATACACCAGCGCAGTGATGTCGAGGTACGCGCCGCACAACACGGTGGGCATCTGGAAGAAACACGGGATGGACAAGCTGAAGCGGGGGATGTGTGAGTGATTTGCAGAGCACACAGAAAAAAGGGCGAGTCGAAAGGCAAGGATTGCTTCGTCGGAAACGTACCCAACGTAAAGAGCAAAGCGAACGTAGTAATTGCGACCGACAAACCGCATGGCAGTGATTGCTTTGGCAAGATATTGTTGGTAACTGGAATGAAGTGGAATGAAGGGACAGGAAACATGAGTGAAGTTATTCAACATTGCAAATCGTCGCTTGAATTTTCGCAAGCAGCAGCCTTACGGGCGCTCGGGGGTGGTGCCTCGTTGACGCTTGCCACGAGGGTACTCGAGCAGCGTGATTGCGACCGATGCAGCGCTGAATCCACGACCAAACGATTCCATGAGCTCAAAATGACCTGACAAAGGGCTGAAATGGAGGCGATTCGAGAAGACTGTTCTTACATGGCATAGTATCCATACTCCTTCTTGGGGTAGTACGTAGAAATGACTCCGCAAATGAACATGACTGCGGGCGAGGTTGAGTGAGCGCAATGCATGGAGCACGCGATGGCACGATAGTTTCAACAGCAATCGCCTTACTCGTTGCTGAGGCCAGCGCCTGCTGGTTGGCCCACATACACCACTCGATTTTACCCATGGTGAACTCGGTGCTGCTTCTTTTTGTGAAAAAGGCAAGGGGAGCCGAGGTCGCAACGAGAAATAGCAATGGGCGAGAGCTTGGAGCGTCGAGCTGGACGAAAAAAAAAAAAAAAACTGTAGGAAATCAAATCCGAGTGACATTCAATTGAAAGTGAGTTTTTTTGGGGGATTCAGCATAGTGACATTGGCAATGAGATTGGGAGCGGGATTGGGAGCGAGCGGTTGAATGGCTGTGGTTTGAGCGGTCTTTGCATTTTGTACCAGCAGCTTCTTTGTGGCCTCCAATTCCGAAACGCAGCCGTCACACCAGCAACGAGGAGAGCAGGAGCATGGCAAATGGGTCACCGCACTCAATCCGCCGCTCCGATGGCAAGTGAGGGACAAAAGGACCAGGCGGTTGAAAAGTAGAAAAAGGGCAAAAAAAAAAAGAAAAAAAAAGCGGGTTCGATACAAAGAGCTGGAAAGGCGAGCGAACAGAGTTCGAGCCAAGCACGGAGAGTGCATGAATGAATGAATGAATGATGCGAAAGTGCAACAAGCGGAGGACGAGCGAGTTGGCGAAGCGACAGAACGAAAGGAAGAAGGAAGAATAAAGCTATAAAAACACAACAAAACCAAAAAAAAAAAAAAAAAAAAAGTATAAAAATAAAGTTAACATTGATTTTTGCAATGTTGGAGGTTTTGAGCTTTTTCTCACACAAGAGTTTACGAGTGAGCGACACTAATTCAAGATCAAGATTTGGAGACAGTTGAGTAAACGGTAAAATTTGAGAGAGAAAGTTTGACTGGAATTGAGAGAGAGAGAGAGCGACTTCATCGCGGTTTTTGACCCTGCTCAATAAAATCCATCGTCCTTTCCTCATCCTCCGCATCATCGTCCTGCATGAACCATGCGATTGTCATCTGATTGTCATCACCATTTTTTTCCCAAAAACAACGATTCACTCTTCTCTGTCTCTCCAACAATCATGAAGGCTGCCTTTGTTGCCATTGCTTTCCTCGGCCTCGTCGCCCTCGCCGCTGCCCGCCCCGTCGCCAACACCAACGGCGACTTCTCCAACTGGGCCCTCGACCCTTCGTTCGAGCTCCTCGGCGACGTCTGGTCCAACTGCAGTACGTGTTCTCATCCATTTTGCCTCCTGTTGTGATTGTGATTGCAACAATGGGAAGGACGGGAAAACTGGGATCAAAGTGGAACATTTTTTTATTTGTATTTTTATTATTGTTTGAACTTTGTTTTGTTTTTCTCTGTCATCTGCGCGTCGCTGCGTCATTTGGCAACTGAGCATCAGTCGCATTGCCGTGTTGGGTTTGCATTGTCGGGGGAGGGGAGGGGATGTTGCGCTTTCCTGATGTGTGGCAGCTGGCTTGCGCGCTGTATCATTTTCGTCTTTTATTTTTTTTTTGTTTTTTTTTCAATTTTTTTGCCTTTTCTTCTTCTTCTTCTTCTTCTTTGCTTGTTTCCCCGCTGCCATCGCCACGCCGTTGCACATTCCTTGTTTCGCTCATGCTCAGTCTGACGATTGCGCTGCCCTCGGATGACCGAAGCGAACAGCGAGCGAAACAGCATCCTTTATTATTGTTATTATTGTTTTTTTTTATTTTGTTTTTTTTATTTTTTATATTTTTTCGTGTCATGCGCTTCGCGCCGTTTTTGCACTTTTTTTTTTTTTTTTTTTTTTTTGCGATCAAGAACAAAGCAGCTGATGGAACAACGAAGAAAGACAGCGAACATTGAGTGATGGTTGAATCGAATGACACTTCGCACAATCGCACAGAACGAAGCAAAAGACACGCGCGGGATTTGCATTGTTGGGGAACAAACAAGCAATCGCGTCCATCTCTCTTCTTTTTTTTTTTTTCGACCAGTCACAGTAGCGACACGAGGCAGGCACACTCCTGTGATGAAAATCGATGAAATGATGTCATATGAATACTCACTCACTTTTCTTGTGTTTGCTTTTGCTCAGGCGCCGCTTCGGACCACCTCCACATTATCAACGTCCAGATCACCCCCGACCCGCCGGTCAAGGGCAAGTCCGTCACCATTGCTGCTGCCGGCAACCTCGACAAGAACATCACCTCGGGCTCGATCAACCTCTCGATCAAGTTTGGCATCATCCCCGTCCTCTCCAAGTCGGTCGATCTCTGCACTGTTGACCCCACCCACCCCTGCCCCCTCCCCGCTGGCCCCATCGTCATCTCCCAGACCGAGGACATCCCCTCCAGCGTCCCCTCTGGCCACTACACTGGCACCGTCAAGGTCACCGATCAGGACAACCAGGAGGTTGCCTGCATTGACCTCGACCTGCACCTCTAAAAAACAAGACCAGCATGGACGTGCCGTACTGGCGCGTAAAACGCTCATGGTGATGGGCCCCCCTTGATCATGAAAATGTTTTGCTCCTTTGCGTTTTTTTGCTGCTCGTTCTCACGCATGTCGCTGGCTGACAAGTTTGTTCCCAATGAAAATGAGATTTACTTGCAACGTCGTTCTCTATCGATGATGCAGCACGAGAAGCGGGGTTGCTGTCAAGTTGCAGCATCCACGCACACACACTGGATGAAACACATGATTGCCAAACTCGAGGCAAGCTCGAAACACGGGTCGAATAATTGGGTTTTGTTTTGGCTTTTGCGTTTTGAGTTCGGTCGGCTTTTGGAAGCGTTCAGTTCTCTGTTTTGAAAAGGTCCAGCATCACATACACACACAAGCTCAAAGAGCGGCGATTGACAAAGCAACCGGATTCTGCGACCTTGTTCTTCGGCGAGTCAAAATCCAAATTGGTAAGTGGTTGCCGAAACAATGAACGTGTAGTAGCAGGCACGCCGCATCGCCATACATGTTGCGCCGCATCGAGAATAGAAACAAAAAAAACAAGTGCGAGCGGGAACGCTGGTGGGATTGGATTCTGCGTTTTGAGCGAGTTCTCCCGAGCGAGAGTGATTCGATATAGCAAAGGTTTCTGAATTTCCTGTCAGTGTCAAGTCGAGCCCGCGTACTTGAATCCCAGTGTGTGCCAACCTCGACACTGTCTATTTGAGCGAGGGATCAAGGAATCCCACCCAGGGCTATGAGTGCAAAGTTGGTTTGAGGTTTTGTTTTCCGATCGCAAAACACGCTTCTTCGCGTTGGTTTGTGCTGTCGTTTCTGACCAGCTTCAAACCGCATGGGGTTTTTCTGCGTTTGAGCATTGTGCATTCCATTGTGATTGTTTCGATTCTTTAGCGGACTGTGGCTCTGTACGAGGCTTGGCGCGAGGGGAAATGCAGCCGAACCCAATAACGATGGCCAGACAACGAAGCAGCACACATCCCTGTCTTTGGGGACATCTTCCCCTTCCACTCTGATGCTCGTCAACCAGAGAATCAATCAGAACAAAACGTCGGCGATACACGAGGTGCAGAACGAAAACAACAAAACAAAGCGGTCTTGCGGTGACTTTTCGAGCTGTTCGAGTTGCCCATCTTTTCTCTTCTTATCCTCCACGTTCAATTGCACGCATCCCCGCGTGCGTTCTGATTTGACATACGCCATGATCCATCTCCATCTCGAGCACCGTACACTCTCACGCGACATGTCCAACAAAATCAAAACAAGTCAAACCGTTGAACGAGTTCTTTTTTTTTTTTTCTCGTTTGGTTGCTTTTGGCAAGTGTCAATCATCTTTCGTTGTGTTTTTGGTTTTTTTTTTTCCTCTGAATCGTTTGGGTAACAAGGCTTTTTTGCTCTCTCCAAACAACCTCGCTGAACACTTGCGTTGATGTCCTTGTGAACGTGATTTGTCATCAGCGTGTGCACGAGAACAGCGCGGCTCGAGCCTCCCTTGTTTTGCTCGCGTCCACAACAACAATGAAGCTTTGAGAACAGAAAACAGAAAAAAAAAAAACCATGGCAAACAATTGAGAGAACACGAGGGCGGATGTGCATGAGAGTGAAGCTTTGGCCCGGCATTGCGGCGCGTTCAAAGGCTCGTTCTCGCACTGCGAACGCACGCTTATGCAGTGTGTAAACGGCTCAACCTTCGTTTACTCGCGACATGCCGACAGCGACGAGGGGAAGAGTAACGCTTTTTTTTTTTCTTTTTTTTTTTTGCGTTTTGGAACAGCTGTTGTGGGAACGACAAACGCCGGCTTTTTCATCCCATGCGCGTTGAAGCTCGTCTGCCCTCTGCTCTCCGCGCTTGCCATGTAGCAGGTACACGAGTGAACCAGAGGCGCGTGACAAAGACACGCCAGGATGCGCGAGTCGGAAGGAAACAGCGATCGGAGTTTGCTGGCGGTTTCGACCTTTTTTTTTTTTTTTTTTTTTTTTTTTTTTTTTTTTTTTTTGATTTGAGGTTCGACAGATTTTCGTTCATTTTGATGGAACCTCGGCGCGGTTTGGTGTTTGGTTGAGCCTGTTCTGCGTCCACATCCAAAAGCGTCTCTCTCGTCGACCTCATCTTGCCTGCAGTTTGAAAGGGTGGCTGGAGGTGGACTGTCAATGCGCTCGTCGTCGAGGGCGTCGGTAGCTCGCGTCACCACTCCCGCTGCCTTTATTTTTTATTTTTATTTTTATTTTATTTTTTGATGGGTTTCGGTCCATGTGTGCTTCGGCTTGAAACCGCAACGCGAGACATCGATTTCCGGTGTTCGCCGCAGTGTTCGCCCGAGGACGGTTGGAAGGACTCGGTCGAGTGTATCCTGCTACGGCAAGTGCCGCCGTCCAGCAGTCCTGGAGATGGTGCGGGGTGCGATGGAGGCGTCAAAACAATGACCGCTAGTAACAGTTCGAATCACCCGAGCCCCCCCTTCCTCTCCATCGCTCGCTTGCAGTCTTTCGCGTCGGGTGAATCAGTAGCAATCCTTCAATCCTGACCCAGTGCTACAATGTGCCGGTTCGGTCAACGCGGTTTTGCGGAATAACAGTTGCTAACTCGTTCGTTGTTTTTTTGTTTTTGGTGTGGACAGAATCTGCGAGACAACAACACCTTTTTCTTTGGATTTGTCTGCTTTTCAGAGCGGTTCGGTTTGCTGACTGGGAAGCATCATCATCATCATCATCAGCATCATCAACAGCAACACAACCTGTACTTGTACCGTCCTCCACCTCAAACACAACCGCCGATGCAGCACCATCCTGCACAACAATCCATGCCTGTCCTTGCTCAGTATTCTTATGCTCAGACACCTCAGCATCACGCGCAATTTCACCACCACCCATATCAACAACAGCCATTGTGGACCGCGAGCGTCCAGCCTGTCGCAATGTACCACCCCGGGGCGATTGCCCCGTTCAGCTTGACGGCGTCGGCATCGTCGCCGGTCGTCCTGCCATCTGTGTCGCCCAACGCTGTCCAGGTTGGTCGCATTCTGGGCTCGTGCAATGCCACCGTTCACGACTATGTTGAGGCCTGCATGCATTCGCACCTCCTGTCCGATCGAAGCGCTTACGCGGCAGCACGAGCAGTCTGGGCGGCTCCGGCACTCGCAGATGCTTCTCCTGCGCAGCTGGAAGAGTGGATTCGCGCCTCGCCGGGCCTCACCAACATGTTTTCCGAGTATGCGCTTGGTGCCATCAGTGCCAACGCCTTGCAAGGACGCGACTTGTGCTTCATGCTCGCACAGCTGTCCGCGGTCGACGAGACAGACGAGCTTCTCGATCACCTGGGCCTCGTGTGCAAGGCCCTGCCCGCATCGCCCGGAGGCACCGTTCCGCCATCGCAGTTCTGGCTGCTGCACGCCAAGTTCCTCAACCAGGCCATGTCACAGCTGTTTGGGCCCGTGGAAACAGGCGCCGTCCCCGCAGTGTCCATGACGGTCGGCTGCACCTCCACACCGTTCGCCCCGTTGGATGCGTCGGCCCTGTACATTACACCCGTCAAGGTCCGCCAGATTGCCCAGTTCTGCGCTCAAATGATTGGCGTTCCGCAAGTGCTGGTTGTCTCTGTCCAAGTTCAGAGCACCTCCCCGCAGCTCAACCATCACCACCACCAAGTCACGGTGACAGTCACCATTCCATCCTGGCCCGTCGCCGGTGCACACAACCCGCATGCCATGCTTGCAGATGGCCTGAATTCCATGGCTGCCTCGTCTGCCAGACTCGCCGCCTTGTGCTTTGCCTCGGACTCTGGCCTGGTGTCGCAGGTGGCCTCGGGTGCGCACATGATGGGCAATGCCGCGATGGGATCGCTGAATATTGATGCCTGGACCTTTGCCAACTACCATGCGCTTCTCGAGCTTGGCGGGATTCCTACTGCCGTCTGTCAAGCGTTCGTGGCGGCAGCCTCCAGCTCACACCTTTCCCCTGCGCTCGTGCTCCATCTCGGAAAAAGCGAGATTGCTTCGTGCACGCGTGCCGACCCCAACGTGTGTGCGACGGTTGCAATGCTGCTGTCGGCTCTGCGTCGCTCGTGCGCTCGCAACCCTGCTGCTGCTGCTGCTGCTGCTGCTGCTGCTGCTGCTGCTTCTGTTGGCCCCGCCCGTGCCATTTCCAGGCTTTCGGCCCTTCCTGCCGGCAGCGAAATTGCAGGCTCGCCTTCGGACAAGACCATGTCCATCCTGCGCCAGCTGGCTGCGGTTGGTGTCCCTCATGCCGTTCGGTCTTGCAGTGCCCTGGGCGTTGGCCAGCCGTGCTCGCCGGTGTCTGAGGATGGCCATTCACCCTTCTCGCGCAGCAAGCGCCACAGGGACGAGACAGATCACTCCGCGCCCGAGGACACAAAGCGCATCTTGTTGAGCGAGGGTCCCGCTCAGCAGCAGCAGCAGCGAAAGCGACCGCCCCCAGCACCGCCGGTTGCCATGCCTCTTGAGCTTGTGCGCAGCAGCAGCAAGTCGTCCACGGGCTCATCGCCCACACCACCATCCCGGCGCTCCTCTGCAAACGCTCCGCGCACCTCCAGCGCTCGTCCTCCAACCGGCGCCGCGGCTTCAAGCGCGAGCGGAGATACAGATCGCATCGACGCGCGGTATGAGCGCATGCTCGGCCCTTCGCCTAGCCAAGCCATCCACTATCACTACGATCTGATTACCGACGAGCACAATTTTACCCATGCACAACTGGAAGACCTCGTCCAACCCAGCAACCCGCTCTTGATCAGCGTACACGCCAACCGCACTCATCTGGAGCTGTCGCGCCACTCGCCAGGCTACAGCATCAACATGCCATCCCTCCGAAGGCTGTCTCGCGTCATTTGCCGCAGCTTCAAGGTTTCCGGCCACGCTGGGTCATTCTACCGTACCCGCGCTGGAGCTGTCAATGCCAATCTCCAGTTTACACAGTATCTGGCCCACTCCAAGCGTGCCTTGCAACGGATGGAAGTGACGCACTGTCCCGTCATGCTCGAGGCCGGCGATAGCGAAACAACCTTTGCTGTCGTGATTGGACTGGTTGCCTACACTCCTCGCGGAGAGGTGACCATTTTGGTGGACGAGCCGGACGAGCAGCTAGCGCTTGATGCCAGCGTCAGCAGCTATGCCGACGACGACGACCGTGACTCGACCGGATTTGGTCGCTCGCGGGCCTCCAAAGTCGGGTCAAAGTACGCTCGTGACGCGGCCGCTGACGCCAAGGCGAGCAGCTCCAGTCCCAAGAAGAAAGGCTCCTCTTCTCGAGCGGGTGACCACCGCCAGCATGGCTACACGTCTCCGCCGCATTTGGAGTACTCTTCCAGCTACTCTTACGACAATGACGCGAACAGCTTGCAGCCCGGGCGATATGGCAGCGGTGCACAAGTGCTCTCCTCACCAACAACGTCTAGTGCTGCCTTGGCGCTGCACGTTCTTGCCGCGGCGTCCAGCCACTCGCCACCCGGTGGACTGTCGGAGTCATACGAGCGCGACGTGGCATACGCCTTGTCGCGGGCCGTGCAGCGACACCGAAGCTCATTGTCGGCCAGTTCCAGCAGTAGCTCGTCGCCATCCTCCCTGTCTGCTGCTCCGTTGTCGGATAGTGGTCGAGTGACATCTGTCACAGCAGACATGCATGCCTCAGTCAGCAGCGATTCGGATGTTTCCGCGACTTCGCCAATCATGCAGATGCAGGCCTCTCCTCCAAAGAGCAGCGATCCGCACCCCATGCATGAATTTGTGACCAGTCTATTGCCCGCCACCGAGACCGCCCAAGGTTGATGGGCTCTTCTTGGTGATGGCCAAACCCGTTGTTTGTTGTTTGACGAGATGGCGTTTAGCATTCAAAAAGTACAGGCTGCTTTTTGTTTGATTTCAAACGTCCTGTGTTGTATTCTATGTATCAGTACTTGTTTTGTTTTGTTTTTTCTATTGCTCGTTTCCCATCGCTTCATTGTACACATAGACTGTTTTCTTTCGATTTTACTGTGCCCTCATTGAATACATTGATATTGCTTGATGAATAAATTCTCGTTGATTCGGCCATTGGCTAATGGTGCTGAAACAGTTCAATTTACTTGGTCTTTCTTGTTGAACTATGGTCGAAATTCAACGCAATGCTCAACATCACATTTAGTCACCGGTCTTCACTCCTGTTTCGTTCGTTTCTTCTTTCCTCTTTCGTTTTTGTTTGTTTTGGTTGGCGTTTCCCCTCCCTCTTCCTCCAAAGTAAGCCACCGCGCATCATCTCCAGCAACAATGCGCTATTCTCTCTCGATTGTCTTCCGCGCCTTTTGACGCGACTCTCTACCGCATTGGTTGCGAGGTCGGCAATGACGAGCGGAGCATTTGGGGCTAGCAGAAAAGGAACCAATAAACAACAACAACCAAACTCCAAAACGAACGGCCGCCGCTGGCTAGACCGATGATGCGATTCGAAATCAACAGCTCTACTCAGACTCGAGCACCATTGCAGACGAATGCAGGTGCCGCATAAACATAGTGCGCAGAGGGCAAACGGAACATCATGACAACCGCAACAACAACAACAACAACAACAATAAACCGCGACGAAACAGCCAGCTGTCTCGAGTGCACTCTTTCTCCTTCCGCCACTCTGACTCTCGCATGCGTCCTGTGGCATCAAGCTGATCAAATCAAGCGGAAGACATGACGTGGGTGGAAGGGAGCAGCGGGGGCCCAGCGACCGGACTGCCGCGGTTGCACGACAAAACCCACAAAAAAACAAACAAAAACAAAAAAAAAAAAAAACAAAAAAAAAGTCAAAAAACAAAACAAGAAGAAGAAGAAAAAACAAACAAAACAAACAAAACAAACTAAAACAAACCAAATCAAAACGCTCCGCACACAACCTGCTGAGAACCAATGGGACAAAGTCTCCGCCAAGTTTCAGAAACCGGTTTTTGGCACCATTCCTGTTGCGAGCGATGGGTTCTGAAATGCTCCGTGCTCACTTTGTAAATTGTCTCTGCTTCACATCCTCAAAGATGACGCCAAAAGGGCTTGCTTTTGGTGTGCTGCTGTCGCTGTTCTGCGTGATTTCTCACGTCCAGGTGGCGCAAGCAGTCAATGCCTGTGACCCCGGCGTGTGCGACTGCTCGGGAACGTTTGTCGACTGCTACGGCGAAACCCTCACAACCATTCCAACGGGAATCCCAGTCGACACAACGATGCTGTAGGTGTTTCCGGTCGCGCTGAACTTGAATCGAAGCATCGTCCTCATGATTCGCATACCGTCGACAGGAGATTGAGCAGCAACCAAATCACTGGCATTGCACCCTCGGCATTTACAGGCCTGACTGCACTGACTGTCTTGTAAGCAAGCATAAGCAAGCAGAAGAGAAAAAAAAAACCAAAAAACAACATGTTCAATCCATGCACAACCGGCTCATCTGATTTTTTTATATAGGAGTCTGTCGTACAACCAGATCACCAGCATTCCCGTCTCTGCATTCGCAGGCCTTGACGCGCTGACACGATTGTACGCAAGCAAGGCATTAGAAATCAAGCACAAACAGCTCACTCGTTTGCAAACTTTTCTGCATGTAGGGATCTGAGCAGCAACTTGATCACCAGCATTTCCGCATCTGCATTCCCATCCCTGACTGCGCTGACTGAACTGTAAGCAAGAAAAGCATGGGATATCACAGATTGCATGCCGGCTCATTCGCTCGAGACTGCATTCAAAGGAATTTGCAGGGCAACCTGATCACCAGCATACCCGCGTCGCTATTCACCGGCCTGACTGCGCTGCGTTGGCTGTAAGGAAGCAACAACGTGACGAGTCCATCACAAACAAAACGGCTCACTCGTTTGCACCTCATCTGTAGTCCTCTATCTAACAACCAGATCACCAGCATTGCGGCAAATGCATTCAATGGCTTGAGTGCGGTGACTCTCATGTAAGCAAGCAAAAACAGAAAGAAGCACTGACACGCACACACGACGGCTAATGTGGAGACAACTCCATATTTTGACATGCTTGTAGATATCTGCAGACCAACCAGATCACCGACCTTTCCCCAGCCACGTTTACAGGCCTGGCGGCGCTGACTGAGTTGTAAGCAAGGTACTATGGCAGGACGAATCAAGCGCAATTGGCTCACTCGTATTGCTCATCTGTCTGTAGATATCTGATGGGCAACCAGATCACCAGCATTCACGCTTCTACATTCGCAGGTTTGACTTCGCTCGAGAATCTGTAAGCAAGCAAGGACGCGAAGAATCGCACACAAAACCGCCGATTCATTGACGGCCGTTTGTAGGGATTTGCAAGACAACAAGATCACCGAGGTTCCCGCCTCAGCATTTACGGATCTGTCCGCACTGACTGGACTGTAAGCAGGCAACGTCACCAAGAGTCATACACACAGACGGCTCACTCTTTGGCGACTCCATTGGTAGAACTTTGCAAGACAACCAAATCACCGAGATTCCCGCCTCCGCATTCGCAGGCCTGACTGTGCTGGAAATTTTGTAAGTGACGAAAGCGAAGAAGCACACACTGACATCTCACTCGTTCGCGGCTCTTTCCGTAGGAATCTGCAAGGCAACCAGATCACCAACATTCCTGAAACTGTATTTGCAGACCTTACGGCGCTGGAAACCTTGTAAGCAGTCAAAGCGATGAAGATAATCTCACACAGACGACTCAATTTTTGACGGCTGTCTGTAGGAATTTGCAAGACAACCAGATCACCAGCATTCCCGCCTCCGCATTCGCAGACCTTACTGCGCTGCGTTCCTTGTAAGCAAGCAAAGACACGAAGAATTCATACATAAGCTTAATCATCGACGGGTGTCTGTAGGGATTTGCAGGACAACAACATCACGAGCATTCCCGCCTCGGTATTCACAGGCTTGTCTGCACTGAACGAACTGTAAGCAAGCAACAAAGGCACAAAGAATCACACATCAGCGACACTCACTCGTTTGCGACTGTATGTGCAGGAAGTTGCACACTAACAAGATCACTGACCTTTCCGCCTCTGTTTTCGCAAGCCTGACTGCGCTGGCTGTCTTGTAAGCGAGCAAAGACACGATGAATCACACGCAAACAGCTCACTGGTTGGCGACTGTCTGTAGGGAGTTGCAAAGCAACCAAATCACCGAGATTTCCGCAAACGCATTCACAGGGCTAACTGCGCTGACAAAATTGTATGCAAACGAACAGATATGAGAATCGCATGTCGGGTATTGTTGGCTGACTTCGTTGGCGACTCTGGCTCCAGGGATCTATCCAGCTGCCAGATCACCAGCTTTTCCGTAGACGCATTCACAAGCCTGACTGCGCTGCGAGATCTGTAAGCAAGAGACACACGTTGGAGCGTCAAACACACCGCTCATTGGGTTGCGACTCTATCTGTAGGTATTTGCACTTCAACCAGATCACCAGCATTCCCGCCTCTGCATTCACAGGATTGACTGCACTCTATGTCTTGTAAGCAAGCAAGAACGCGGAGGTGTCACGCGCGAATGGTGCACTTGTTGACGATTTGATCTGCAGAATCTTGGCCTACAACCAGATCACCAGCCTTCCCACAAACACATTCACAGGCCTGACTGCACTGAATACATTGTAAGCAAGCAATGACACGAGGAATCCCACACGAGCGCTTGCAACTTGTTGACGACTTTGTCTTTAGAACCCTGTCCTTCAACCCGATCACCAGCATTTCGGCAAACACATTCACGGACTTGACTTCGCTGTTTTTCTTGTAAGCAAGCAGGGACAAGAAGAATCACGCGCTAAACAGCTAATGTCGGTTGCGACTCCTTTCGTAGAATTCTGAACAACAACCAGATCACCAGCATTTCCGCAAACGCATTCGCTGGCCTTCCTGGGCTGAAGTACCTGTAAGCAAGCACTCCAAATGCACGTACTGAACTTATTTCTCACTTTCAAGTTACTCGTAGTGTTTTGAGTGACAATCCCTTCACCACTTTGCCTCCTGGTCTGTTCCAGGGCTTGCCAAATGGACTTTCTTTATCGCTTTCGGGCCAGTATCTGAGACCTAACAACTTTACCTTGGGTGGGAACACGGTCGCTCCGCCCAGCACATACGGCAGTGCAGACGAACCGTACCGTAAGTTTGAGAGGCGACTGCAAATTCCCCCGGACATTGATTCATGTCACTGACAAATGTGTATATGTGCAGAATGTGACACAACCTGTGCCACCTGCTACGACGCTGGGTCCGTTTCGTGTTGTGCAACCAACTGTCTGACCTGCACTTCATCCGATCCCTGCACTCAGTGCTATGACGGTTATGTGATGCTGGGTGGATCATGCGTCTCGCTCGCTTCCATCGCTTCTGCTGCCTCGACCGTCTCCGCCTCGGTTGCCTCGATTGCCTCTGATATTTCCGTTGCCTCGGCGTCCGCTGCCACTGCGTCTTCAGCGTCAATTGCATCTCAGATGTCCGCGTCAGCCGCCAGCGCTTCTTCTGTATGGCAGACCTCGGCTGCATCGGCTGCATCCAATGCTCCGAACGAGTCGAGCGATGCATCTACTGGGCATATTATTGGCGGAATGATTGGTGGCGTGCTTGGTCTTCTCCTGTTGGTTGTGCTGGTTATGGCCCTTCGGCGCCGTCGCTCGTCGAGCGCATTGGCAACCACCACTATGGCTTCCAAATTGCGCGCATCAGCCTCTGGCTCGGAGCCTGCTTACCAGTCGGTTGATCATAACAACATGGTTGCAAACGTTGCCAATCCAACCTATGAATCTTTGTCTGCTCCTAGCGACCATGCCTTGTACGAAGACGTTGGCGCAAAGCCCCGTCCTCCCGCGAGTTCGTCGGAGCATGTGTATGACGACGCAGCCGTGTCTGCCCCAAGTGCAATGCGCGCGCCAGGCAGCGGTGTCGAGTACGCCGATCCCTCGCTGCCCAATGCCTCGTCTGTTCGCGTGCCGCCCGTGTCTTCACCGACGACATACGCGACGATCGGTGTCGCACCATCCACGCCCAGCGGAAACGTCGAATACGCCTAAATCGCATGCGTGTCCGTCCGTTCATGCCTCTTGCAAGACTTTCTGTGTGTTTTTTTTTTTTGTTTTTTCTGTGCTCCTTCACTGTGATGCCTGTTTTAATTCGACGAGGCTTGTTTTTTGTTTTTTTTTTTTTTCGAGCAAAAGCACCAACTGTTCCACCAAAAGGTCGACGACGGGCACAAAGTCTTTCAGTGTGAGACTGAACAAGAGAGTGAGGCAAATTGCGACCACAGCACACCCACAACTCCCGAATAGTTGCAACTGCACAAGTGCTCGTCCATCAACATTGTGTATAGGTCGAGCTGGTGGCGCCACGACGACTTTGAGTTTTTGGTGATTTCGTTTGTCTCCGCTTCTAGCCCGACTTGTACTGTTCGACTGCAAGACTGCACGCAAACTTCAAACAAATTCCATAATCTTTTTTATGGGGAGGGTTTGCCAAAATCAGTGCAAAATCAGTGGGAAGACCATCCGGACACACACAACAGCCGTCCCCGGGAACTTTGCCAGTCTTTGTGTACGCTATGACATTAGTCAAATCCTGCTTCGTGAACAGGCGCTTGGAAATTGGGTTGATGTTCATCCTCAGTGCTATATGATAGCGGAGAGAAAGAACTCGCTGCGGAGTCCCATGGTCCAAGCCTCGATCCTCAAAAATACACGTGTTTATGATACAATGAGCACCGAACAAGTCAAACATTTGCAAAACTAGCGTCGGCCGATGAGATCGGCCATCTCGATGATGCTGTTAAGATCCTTTTGCGCACGCAGAGCGTATGCTTCCGGCAGCTTGGTCATATAAGCCTTGAGCTCATCGGGAGTCTTGTGAGCGCTAGCATGCGTGACGGAGTGGCGCTCAGTGCGAAGCCAGTACGCGACCATGAAGCTGCGGAATTCCCACATGGTGTCTGTGAAGTGTTGCTTCAGTTGCTTGATTTCCTCGTCATCATCGTCCCTGATTGTGTTCGAAACTTCAGCCAGGCGGTCGTTCGACAATAAAGCGGGAGAGTAGCGCCCACGCCTGTGAAGGTCTTGTCACACGCACGGTAGGCCTTGAAGTTGGCATCATCCTCGGGAAACGCTTCGTCCAGAACGTGGTTCACAAGCGTGCACATGGAATCTCCAAGATTGAGGAGAGCTTCCTTCTTGTCCGCCTGAGCCTTGAACTGATCAAAAGCGGTCTTGAGAGCAGCAATCTCTGCAACCACCTGAGTCTTGAACCGATCAAAAGAGCCAGCTTGCTCAACGATCCTGGCCCTCAAATTGACGATCTCTGACGCTTGAACAGCAAGCTGGGCTTCCAACGCCTCCACTTTCTGGAGAAGAGTGTCTCTCTCGGACGACGAGAGTTGTCGATTTTGAGTGACAAGCTCGCGATTTTGAGTGGCAAGGTTGCGATTGCTCGCAGAATCTGTTTCGATCTCGGCGTTGGACTGAAGCTGTTTGAGAAGCTTTCTTTGACTGAGAATAACACTCTCAAGCTCTTTAACGCGGAATACATGCTGATCTGTCGTTGTGACGAGATTAGCTTGCAGGGCTGCTTTCTCCGCCTCAAGAGCTTTGCGAGAACGCTCGCAGCTCTCGTGGCATTCTTCCAGTTGCTGACGAAGGGAATCAATTGAATCAGCAGCGTCGCCGAGAGGTGATGATGTGTGTGTCGAACCGCTTGGTGAGACCATTTGATATGGGGAGCTCATCTGTCAATCACGAAGTCGGAGAATCTGTCGCATAGAACATGTTAGTATTCATCGGATTCAACAGAAAGCAGTGGGTGGTGCAATGCGAGATGTGCTGGAGGAGGCAAGGTGAAACGGAAGGTAGGGATGGATTTTTTTTTGTTTGTTTTTTGCGTTTGTTTCCGTTTGTTTGCGTGGGTCGTCTGCTGGCTCAAAGCCAGCTCAAACACAGAAAAGAAACAAGTCACTAGGGTGTCATCAATATGAACCAACCTACTCAAGGCGAAATGAACGAGGCACCGTACAACAGGAGTGTAGAAAGACTGCGTTTGGTGAATCTGCACTTTTTCAAATCAAAAATTGGAAATTGCGCCACCGTTGCTTTTATTGACAATCAGCTGAACTTGCAACTCATTTGACTGAGCAACAAGCCCGACTCTAGCCCGACTTGTACTGTTCGACTGCAAGACTGCACGCAAACTTCAAACAAATTCCACAATCTTTTTTATGGGGAGGGTTTGCCAAAATCAGTGCAAAATCAGTGGGAAGACCATCCGGACACACACAATCTGCTGGACCCTCGAAGAGGGGACGGCTGTTTTGTGTGCAGTCTAAGTCGGGCTAGACCGCTCCATTGGGTTGCATCAGCAAGCTGCAAAACTCACACCAAACATTGCAATTGACATTTAAAAACAAGCAAAAACAAATAATGTTGAGTCATTCTTGTTTTTCAGTGTTTTTCAGTGTGGTTCCTTTTTTTTTGTTTTTTTTTTTTTTCCCTTCTATTTGGTGCTTCTTTCTTGCTTTCTCTTTCGCTTTCTCCAAGTAAGCCAACGCACATCACCACACCCAACCACTCGCTATTTTATTCTCTTTTGATTTCTCCGGGCCTTTGAAGTGGTCTCTGTCGCACTGCGAGGTTGGGAAACGAACAAGCGCAACAATAAGCGGAGCATTTTTCCATGAGTGTCGCGACAAAAAACAAAACAAAAACACAAAACAAAACAAAAAGCTTACTTCAAACAAAAACGTGCTGATTGTTCTCCTTTTCCTGCCCCGCAGCGCTGATCCTCGAATGCCTCGTGTTGCAGCCAAGCCCATCACGCAGTACAGGGCGACGAACGGGGCGGAGGGGAGGAGGAGGAGGAGCAGGGCCAGTTGCAAAGTACGTTGACGATCGGGCCTTCATCGACGCGATTGTGTCCAACTCGCCAGTCTGGTCAGCAGCATTTAGAAGGTGAAATTGTCGCTTTCCAACATTTACTGCTTGTCTCGGATGGGCTTGTCATCTGGCAATTGATGGTGTATCTACGAATAAAAGTGCGCCAGTTTAAGAACTGTGTTGTTTTAAAGCGGCGCTCTGTCGTATGGAGAGTGCCACAAACAACCACGGGGTCGCCTTTGTACTGCACAAAAGACACACCAGACAGTTCGTGCATGTGACTAAGTGCTTCAGCAGCAGCAAGCGCTTTTCCCCGTCCTGTTATTGCTGGTCCACTTCGAGTTCGACTTTGTGCTGCAATAAACGTGTGCACAAACGGCTTTAATCATGCGGTCTCAGAGCCAACAAAAGCAAACAGGAACAAACGAAATGTCGAACAGGGACACAGTCGAAGAAACCTCGAGCAACCACGCGAATCCAATACCAAAACCTTAAACAGCTTGCAAATAAACAAGACCCAGCCGGCTCAACTCTAATGCAACAGTGGCATCAGCGCTTGCCATGGCGAATGAAGCGCAGGGCCAGGTAGCCAAGGAATCGGAGCGCAATCCAGATCAGAATGACCATCATAAGATTGGCAAAGCGGTCGTGGAAGAAGCCATCTTGAACACCGACAGACTTGAGAATTTGATCCGACGAGAGCGGGAAGCTGGAAGTTGTTTCGCATCCGGCCAGAGCAATTGGGCACTGCTGCGCCGCACTGTACGTCGTGTTGAACAGACAATACCCACCAGAGCCGACGTATTGATCGGCGTTATGAAACTCGTTGATCAACAGGGCAGCCAGAGCGTAGTTCTATCAGTTGTCAAAGATCGAGTCAATGAGTGAAGGTTCACAAACGCGATAGACATCAGCTCGAGTCTGCAAGATACGTACACAATACGAAATGTAATACACCGTGTAGTGCCAAAAGTCCGGCATGTTCTACAATGCAGGGATTGAGGGGCGGTGGGACAGACAGATCAGTGTCAAAAGGTGAGGATCAGAGTCTATCATTCAAATTCACTCAAACGCAACCGAAAAAAAAAAAAAAACGAAAACGAAAACGAAAACACCCATACCTGCGGGAAGATGAAGAAACCACTACACAAAACAAACAGCAAAGGGAATGTTGTCATGGCGGCCGCCGCTTGTTCGAGCGTTGGCAAGGCAGCGGCAAAGAGCTAATTCGCCAATCACGAGAACCCATACATACAAACAAACAAACAAAACCAGTCAATAACCACCGCATCGATAAAGCGACAACGTCAACAAACGTGATTCCCTACCTGAGCAAGGCCGCATCCAAAATCAGCCAACAGGATGGCCACAAACGTGAAAAAGAAGAACTGGTCTGCCGTCCGTGCAAAGTTGCATCCCCAGTAGATGATGATCGACCAGAAGAGGCCCTTGAGGATCATGTACGGGAGTTCAATAAACATGTTCGCCAAAAAGTACGAAGAGACCTGATAGGTCGCCGCTGCACGCTCGCGCGTAAAGAACTTGCGATCCTCAATCACTGCTCCACCGTCCCCAAACCCAAAACAAAAAAGAAAACAAAAAAATGAGTGACATGTTGACCATCACAGCAAGGCACACCAAAACGTCAATCAGATGGAATGCTCACGTCCGCCAAGGAGCTGGTTGGCGCCGATCGAAAACATGGTGACGGTCAAGGAGATCAGCGCCTGCCTGTTGCGGATGCCGGACTGGTTGTGGGGAGAGTCGCGATAGACGAGCAGGAAGAGAATGGCAATGATGGAGGGCATGATAACACGCGAGCGGAAGAAGGCGGGATCGCCAGATGCCTTCTTAAAGTTGCGTTGCAGCAGAACGCGGAAGTTGAACAGAGCGTTGTTGACAAACAAGTCTTGCTCTTCGCGCAGCTGATGCTCGCCTTCGGAGCCGTGACGAGCGGCTTGTCGCGTGGAAACCTTGCGCATCTCCGCCAGCGCCGACCTGCGATACTGCTGCGCAAAGAAGGACTGCTCCACAATCGGGCCCTCGATCGCACCGGCTTTTCCGTGGTGATCGCTTGTCACAGACACTGGTCGAAACGACACAATGGAAGAACAATGAAAAAACACAGCGTCGATCAACAATTTGGAGAAAAAAAGGGAAGGAGGGGGGGGGGGCAACGGCGGCGGCGGGGGAGAGTGGGACTGGAAATTCGTCATGACATACCGATAAACTCGGCAGGATTCACGGAAGGAGAGTGCTTGTAACCCAGCTGTACAAAGTAGTCCACGGCGTTCGCAGCAGGGCCCAGGTACACGACCTCGCCAGCAACAAGGAGCATGAGACTGGACGCAACAATTGAAAAAAATGAGCAAATGAAACAAAGCAAACAATCAGTGATTGGTCATCTCCGCTCAACAGCTGCAGAATGCACCAATGGATGCATACCGATCAAACAGACGGTAGATGTCTGTGCTTGGCTGATGGATGGTGCAAACAACAGTGGTACCTCTGTCGCGAATCTTGCGAACAAAGCGCATAATGTCGAACGCAGTCGTGGCTGTTGTGAACAATGCAACAACGCAAGTGAGCCCTGGTTTATGACATTTTTGTTCAACGATATCTTACAGTCGAGACCACTGGTTGGTTCGTCCAGGAACAATATGCCTGCAATCAACCAGCAAACAAAGCAACAGGACATGAATAAATCGACACAGTCATCAGACTCCATCACACGAATCACCACAAAAAAAAAAAAAAAAAAAAAAAAGATGGTACGCACTAGGACACGTCAGGAGCTCAATGCCAATGTTCACGCGCTTGGCTTGACCACCCGAAATACCGCGATGGCGCTCGTCGCCGATCAGCACGTCGGCGCAACTGGTGAGACCCAATTCGGCGATAACCTCCTCAACGCGCTTCATGCACACTGCGTCGCCGGTCGAGGCAGGCAGACGCAACTTTGCAGTAAAGTAGAGCAGCTCGCGCACTGTCAACGTGCCGAGAAGAATGTCAGACTGTTCGACATAGCCGCACAAACGCTTAAAGTCGTGGCTCCGTGGCTGGCCATTGAACAGCATGGTGCCGTCAATGTAGCCAGAGCTCTTGCGGCCTGCGATGACATCCAACAAGGTTGATTTTCCTGATAGAGATGCGCCAACCAACAGAAATGAGTCAACGAAAAAACAACAAAAACTAGAGTGGGTTAACAGAGGGGCATCAGCAGCAGTCTAACCTGCACCGCTTGGGCCCATCAGTGCAGTCATTGTACCGGTATGGAGTGCGCCCGTGACCTCTGTTTCACCATCGAGTGGCATGGTGTAAGTACACGGCAACAAGTTAGAACTGACGCTCGCAGACAATCACAACATCAATTTTCCCACCCCTTTTTTGTTTTCGCCGACATTTGGTTTAGTCTCATACCTTTGAGCAGCATTTTGCGGGTGACTTCCTTCTTGCGGCCTGCAAGACGATCACGCAGCTTGTCATTCTTGACAATTTCAATCGAATAGGACAAGTCTTCCATGGTGATTGTAAATGGCTCGATGGTCTTCTGGAGCGCAGCCGAGGACGCTCGAAGCGATGCGAGCCGCTCTGCCTCGATCTTGGACTCGGTATCAACAGCTCCCGCAATGTGGAGGCCGCTCGACTTGGCGTCAGAGTACGCCGAAAGCAGCGTTCGGGTCGACGGCGGGTCGAACGAAGCCGGCGAGATGGGACTGCTGTCGCCCAGTCCGACCTGGTGCAGATTGTCCACGCTGCCCTTGATGGGCTCGTGCGTCAGCGCAGGGAGTCTGCGGCTCTGCGCATCGGTCGACGCCGACTCGCGTCGCTTGTTCTCGTCGGCTCGGCCGTCGTCGTCGGCGTCGTCGTCGTCGTCGTCGTGCTCGTCCGGGTGCTCAGAGACCACTGTGGCCAGCGCTGCAAACTTGACCTGTCGCGATCCGGGCGACGTGGCCTGGTTGCTGCTCGCAACGGAGCTGCGCGTCGAATCCGGCGGCGAAGCGGGTTCGATCACCAGCGCTGGGACGGCCGGTCGTTCGTGCGCCTGAGCCTCCGACGACGCAGCGTCCGTGGGAGGAAGGTCGATGGACACGGCAACAGAGTCCGGCTGCCCGCTCGGCGGCTCCGACGACAACGAGGGCGGCGATGAGGATGACGAGGTGTGGCTCATCCTGCCTTTGGGAAAATTGGAAAAAAAGAAAAAAAAAAAAAAAGGACTGAGAAGGGATTTTCAAATTCGATCGTTGTATATGAAGCTCCTTTGCCTGCTGTTGAAGAGATTGTTGGAGTGCTGGTTTCTGCTTGAAGGTTGATAATGATGCCAAGGGGAAACAGGTGGGGTAAATGGGGGTAAATGGGGGGTCAAAGGAGAACGGGCGAGGAGGCATGCGCTGGAGGATATTTATGGTGGAGGATTCGCAGGGAAAGCGAAGCGCGCCATTTCCCCCCGCCCCCAGCAGTGTCGGAACTGGATTTTGAGCACCAAACACCAACGACGTAGAAAGAGAGAGCGAGCAGTCAAAAATAATGCAACAAAAGAAAACCGGGCCGCGTGTCGGGAACAAGAAGAAGAAGAAGAAGAAGCAGAAGAAGAAAGAAAGAAAAGAAGTGCTATGGGAAAAAATCGCAGGGGGGAAGAAAACTGGATCTGAAGGTGGAGCCGAAGCGGCGGCTCGGGATGGCTGCTTTGGGGGGGGAAACGGGGAAGAAAGAGGCATAAAGAACACAACAAGGTCTGCGGCAAAAAAAGATAGAAGCGCACTGCGGCACGAGAATGAGAGCTGGTTTGGAGGGAGCGGCAATGTATGTGGATCAGAGTTTGACAAGGCGAAAACAAATCAAAGGACAAAAAAGGAGAGCAGCTGGCGGTTAAACTGAGATGATGACCACTAGCTCGGTCGAATATCGTTAGAATTTGTGGCGATATACAGCAAAAAACCATGCGTCGTTTCACTTGTGGGGTTCGGTCGGGACGAAAGCCGCTTGAATGTTTCGTGATCCACTATGCTGAACATTGACAACGGAAGGTGCAACTCCTCCAGACACACTGTCGTCTCGACCTGTCAGGAATAGATCTAAGACCCGCCGTCGTATCGAGCGTTACTACATGCAACACGACGGACTCTTTGAGCGCTCTTGGGCTGCGATCAACATTTTTTTTTTTGTTTTTTAACTGTCCACTTCACAAAGCGTCATCCAATCCAACAACCAACATTCACAACTTCACCCTCTGACAAACAAAAACAAACCACACCGAAAATCCCGCTTAAATATGCGGTGGCGGACCGGGGTAGCGGTGGGTCTGCAGGAAGGTGGGATACTGCAAAAACCAGATTGCTTGGGCCAAAAGCAAGCCAACGAGCTTCTCCACCCAGGTGTGAAAGTACAGTGCCGTCGTGCACAGCATGAACGCCCAAAGAACAAAGAGTGCTACAAGGACCCACAAGGCAGGTGTTGATAGCCGGCCCGTCCCGGTCTCTGCTGACGTGGATGCTCCGTTCGGGTTCAGGTTCAGGTTCAGGTTGGGCGAGGATGACTCGGACGGCGACGACGAGGAGGCTTCCGTGGCGAGAGCAGCCGCCGTTGCGCGCTCAAACGGCAGCTCAAAGTGCGGGCGCAACTCCTCCCAGATAACGAGCATGGAGAACGCGAGCAGGAACGTATGTCCCGACAGATCGAGCGAGTCCCAGCGGTGGCCATTGTGGACGCACAATCTGCGCGTCTCGTGGAGCGGATCCGAGCAGACGCCCGTCCAGTGACGCACCGTATCGAGTCCCGTCGTCACGCACCACCAGCCGGCGGTGGCGATGGCGAGGCGCGCGCACACGTTGCTGAAATGGCGCCACGATTGGCGACCGTCGAGCACGACCGCCAGCTTGAACACGACGAGCAGCCCGACCGTCCAGGCCCACCCGCGCTTGACAAACATGATGTTGAGAATGTTGGTCTTGTCGGCAAAGTAGTGCTCGGCGTCGAGGTTGGCCAGCACCGAGCCAAACACAACAACGATCGCCTGGAGCACCACCACCCACGGCAAGTGAATCCCATCCGCAACGTGCGACGCGGCCCACAATTGAGGTCTTCTGGTCGTATGGCGATGATGCTTGCCGTGTGCCGCAGCAGCGTGGTGCGGTTGGTGTCCCTTTGCCATTTTCCTTCGGTGGATTTTGTGAGCTCAAACGGTGAGGAGCAGAACTGAGGCTGCTACGACTTCGACTACAACAGGCGCTCTCACTCAATCAGATTCACTACATATGCACTGTACTTCTAAAATGTTTCGGTCATTCAATCAATGTGCCAGTCAGCTTTTTTTTTTTTTCCATTGACTTTCCATTGAGCTTTTTTTTTTTTTTCTACTGTATTGACTTTCCATTGCAATGAAGCGAGCAAGCCAACGCGCTGCCAAGACGACCGAGGCTCAGTCTGCGGCCTCCGACACTGAATCACCATCGACTACTACTACTGCTGCTGGTGGTGGTGGTGGTGGTGCTGGGCATGGGAGCGAGCTGCGCGTGGTGCTGGCGACGGCGGCGGACGAGGCTCAGCAGCAGCCTCAGCAACGGCCAGCGGCGCGGACGGGCGAGCCGGCGGCCATCCCCGCCTTCATTGGCAAGCTGCTTGCAATGCTGTCCGATCCCAACGCAAGCGGCATCATTGAGTGGTCGCCCGCTGGCACCTCGCTGCGAGTGATGAACGCGCCCACGTTCGCCAAAGAGGTCAGACGCTCGATGCTTCCCCCCCCCCTCTTGCCTTTTTGTTTTCGCTTTGGCTTTTATGCTGTGGTGGTATCAGAACAAAGGGTGTTGGATTGTGGAAGCTGTGAGGGACGGGACGGGGACGGAAACAAGGTCCCAACACGGCGGGATTACAAAAAAAAAAAAAAAAAAAAAAAAAAAAAAAGCTGAGAACTCAAAACTTCGCCATTGAAATCAGGTTGAAGTGAAGAAAAAACAAATACTCATCATAATCATAAAGAGACGATGAAGATGACGAGCTATGCATCAGCTGGTCGAGTCGAGGAGAATTGGAACATGAGAGACTGAAGCTGGTTGAAACGCAACAACCAGCTCTGAGAAATCTGAGAAAGCTGAGAAAATCTGAGACATCAAACCCTCACTCGTCCCGTTCTATTTGCACCTCACTTTCCTTTCCAAATCAAAACACACAAATAGATGCTCCCGCGCTACTTCAAGCATAGCAACTTTACGAGCTTTGTGCGGCAGCTGAACATGTATGGCTTCCACAAGATTGTCGGCGTCATCCAAAACACGCTGCAGAGCGGTGACGAGTCGTGGGAGTTTTCAAATCCGTACGTCAAGCGCGATCAGCCCGAGCTGCTCAAGTTTGTGCGACGCAACGCGCCGCCGTCTTCGGCATCGCATCCGGCTGCTGGCAGCACTGCTCCTTTGCCGCTGCCGACACAGACACAAGAGGCTACTGCCATCCTGGCCATGTCTCCCGGCTCGGCGGCGGCTGCATCACAGCTCGCCAATGCGAACGAAATGAAGCGCCTTGTGACTGAGCTCCAGCACATCAAGTCGCAACAGCGTGGCATTAAGGCGCGGCTGGATCACATGGAGCAAGACAACATTGCACTGCAAAAGACGGTCGCCGCCGCTCGCGATCGCCACGATGAGCAAGACAAGGTGTTGAAAAAGATTCTCACCTTCCTCGCGGCCATCTACGCGCCTGGGCGCACCACTCTCTCCGGTGTCGGCACCGAAACGGGCAACTCGAGCCGCCTTGCCATCGGAGCTCCGTTCGTTGTGTCGCCTGCTGGCACCATCAGCACCAATGCCGGCGGCGCCATTCCGATGCCGCCCGCAACCGACGTGCTCACGCCCGGCATCTGGTCAAGTCCCGCCGCCCCCGCCGTTCTCGACCTGTTTGATGGCGCAGGTAATTTCATGGGTTTGTGCATTGTGGTGTGACGATCGACGAGTGCAAGAGAGAAGCATTTGCAATTTTTTTTTGTTTTTTTGCGCTTGTCGGAAAAAAAAAGGCCGGCGATGAATTTATTTACAATTTGCTGTGTTGTTTGCCACTCATCATCTCACTCTGACTTGTTGCAACAACAAAACAATGCATTTGATGCAATTCATCATCATCATCATGCCTCCTCGTTCGTCGACTGCCCAAAACACAGCCGTGCCAGGTAAGCCGACCAAATCCACCTCAACCTCCGCCACCGCCTCTCTCCCACTCCATCTTCGCGTGGCCGACCAATTACATCACGATCATCTCCGCACTGAGCGCCCGGATGTTCCTCTGATCGAAACGGAAAGCGGCTACCCGCCAGTGATTCCGATGGATGTGGCTAGTTTGCCAGAGGTCGCATTGTCGCCAGCCGATTTGGAGGCCGTGCGCTTGGACGCTCTTGCTCGCATGAAAGGCCACCACTACTATTATGAGAATTTGGAAAGTGGTCCCTCCACAGTCATCGACCCGCCCTCACCCTCCGCAAATATTGCTTCTCCTCTTCCTACAACAACAACTACAACAACATCATCATCAGCAGCACTCTCGCAGACTGACAAGGCCTCAACGATTGCTCGCGCCGCCAACGACCTGTTCTCAAGCTCCCTTGCCAGCGAAGTGGACGACGTTCAGCGGAACATTGATTCCGTCACCTCGGGCCTCTTTGCAGGGCAGTATGGCTTTGACCAGGATACGCTGAATGCGCTCATGACGGAGGCACGACCAGGATCATCTCCCAGCGACTACCTCGGCCATCCAGCGCTTCCCAATGGCAACATTGATGCCGAAACACACATCGATGGCCTGCTGCAGCACCTCAACCAGCTTGCCGACAACAACACCTTGCCAGCCACCGTGACACACGCCATGTATCCCAACGCGCGCGTGACGGATCTCGACTCGGACGAGATTATGAATGAGACACGCCTCGTTGATATGGCGGCCTATGCGAACGCTCACGGCAACAAGGACGTCGCGGACGGCAAGGCTCGCAAAGCCCCTCGCTTTGATCCGGCTGTTTCCGGCATTGTGGACCTTGACGAGGAGGATTGGCCACTTGATTCGACGACAAACAACGTGAGTGCTAAAACGGTGCTGGTAATGCTACGTTGTTATTGTGACCTTTTTGGCACTGACAAATTTTCTGTTGGGCTCTGCAGGCGCCCGAGACAGCCGCCCCGACCATCGAGGACTTGCCAGTCGGTCGTGGCTTGAAACGCAAGCATTGATGAGTGTTATTGATCCTAAGATTTTTTTTCTTGTTGCTGTTGATCCCTCTGTTAATGTGTAACTGTTGATTTTCGTTCAGTGTTGCCAATCAATGAATTTCCATTTATTGTCGACCTAGTCGTGCACATCATGTCACTCTGTCGGAGGAACAGGATGATGCGGTGCACTTAATAGGCCCTCGACGAGATGCTTTTTGCTGAAATGGCCTCGAGACAGATAGTACAGCGCCTCTTCTTTGCCAAACAGTTTGCTGGCGATTGCTCGGTGTGATAGTCCCTGGTGGTTGAGTTCTGTGGCTTTTGCTCGCATCTCCAGGAAGTGGTCCAATCGTTGTTGCAAGAGCTGTAGTTGCAAGGACAAAAATTGTCGTCAGATTCTACTGGGTTTTGCTCCTGCTTGAAGCAGCAGTCGAAAAGAAGAATCGTCCAGAGAACAGTGACAAAAACACTCACCTTTTTACCATCAGAAACAAACCCGCGGTGGGCACAGAATAAAGTGTTCCAATCGAGCGAAAGAACGCGTCTGAGACTGGCGATTTCATCGTTGACGTCCTCGTCGTTGCGCATCATCTGCCAGGGAGAAAGACACACAAGCAGGAATGTGATTCAGCACAGTACGTGTCAAATTTCAAAAACCTAGTAGACTTACCAGTGGCTTGGAAGTCACAAACAAGTCGCCCGAAAACAAATGCCCTCGCGCTGGATCAAACATGACAGTCATATCCGAGCAATGGCCTGGCGCGGCAACAGGTACTATTGACAAATCATGACCGATGGTCGGTCTGATTGCTGGAGGCGGCACGGACGCCGATGATGCACTGTCAGCCAGAATCGCATCAAACGAGCCATGCACATCGACCGTTGGCGGTTTTCCCCAAACAAGTCGGCGATACATTTGGACCTCGAAACCTTCTGTGAGCAGTTTCAGCGATGTTTTGGGTGCTCGGATGGAGATGCTCGGAAAGTCGCGCTTGATGCGAGCGGCATTCCCAGAGTGGTCTGCCAAAATCACACACAAAAAACCAAAAACACGAGTGTGGTGAGCATCATCTGTGCAAGAGTCGTCAGATGGGAAGAATCGGGATTTTGGCGCCCACTATCCAGCAATTCCTAATCCGATGACGCGGATCATCTCAGAGCGGCAAAAGAAGTTGATGACAGCGCCGCACGTGAACGCGAGGACAGGAACAGCTGCTGCTGCACGTGAAAACGCGGCAACGCGCAATCTGCTCGTCCTCCATCTGACTCTGATGCACGAGCAGAGAGTGGCTGTGCTGGTGTGATTCAAACCCAGTCCGCATCGAATCGAGACGAGGGAGAGAGAGCAAGCGGACGGAGCGGTTTTGCGGTCAGACCTTCGTGATGATGCGTGATGAGCAGCTCTTTGACGGGCTGCACAGCGCTGCCGCCTGGAGCAAGGCCCTGGGCGCTGGTCTGGACGCTCGTGAGGTATGCTTTGACCGGGCTCCATTGGTTTGGGGGCCCGCAGTCGATTAGCGTTGAGCCGGTTCGGAACATGCACTTTGTGCCGAGTTTGACAACCAGAACCAGACCCAGAACCCCAATTGCATTGGTCAGTGTTCCAACGTCAACGGACAGGACCATTTTTGTTGTGCAATTGGGCATACGTACGACGGTGGTGTTGATCCGGCCGGGGAAGAGCCCGACGCGAATGACCTCGACGCCCTGGTGAATGGCGCGCTCGAGCATTGTTTGTTGATTCTGTACACAAAAGACTGAGCACCCCGCCCCCCCCCCCTTTTCAGCATGAGTAAGTAGAATGAACAATGAATCGTGGACAGATTCTCAGAGTAGGCTCAACCTTCAAGCAAGAACGACAACCCAAAAAAAAAAAAAAAAAAAAAAAAAAGGAATAAGGTTTGTGATTGCGCCACGGGAAATTGTGCGGGGATCGAACCTGCGAGTTTTTGTTAGAAGCAAAAGTGATTACCATTATCGAAGTATCCCGACGGCTTTGCACAAACTGGGCGACGAAGGGCAACAGAGGATAGATGGAGAAATCAGCAGTGAACTCGCACAAGCCAGAACAAAACGATTGTAGACGGTAAGTTTTTGTCAATTGAGTAAAGTATAGATGGATGTCAGCAACAAAAAAGCCCAAAAGCCAAATCCTCCAGCCAATCTTGAAGCAGTACAAAGACATTTTTCAGCTCCGATCATTGATTCTCCATCAAACTCAAACTCTCATGTAATTTTTGGCCTTCTTTATTTCTCAGATCACTCTTCCATTATTGTTATTTCATTATTATTCTCTGAGCAATGGCCGACGGCGACGACGAACTCGCGGCCATCCGCGCCCGCCGCATGGCTGAGCTGCAGCAGAAGAGCGGCCAGGGGCAGTCGCTCCCCGGCGGCGTGCCTGGCATGGGCGGCGCAGGCGGCAACAATGCTGCCAAGGTACGACGAGGAGACAGCGTTTGGAACTCTGGGGGGGGGGGCGACCATCGAGTCGAGACAAAGTCAACAATGATGTGCTGCCGAGCGCTCATCCGTTGGTTGTCTGCGTTGCTTTGGCTTTGATTTGATTTTTCTATTTGAATGCAAATCCACAATGTCGGTCCGATGCAGCAAGAAGAAGCTGCACGACGGTAAGAACGACGAGTACTCTGCGAGATTTTTGACAATGGCTTGAGATACTGACCCATCCCTTGTTCGATCTCTTGTTCGATCGCTGATGATCAGTGAAACAGAAGTCCGCCAGTCGCTGCTGATGCAAATCCTCGAACAAGAAGCCCGTGCACGATGTAACAGCCCTCATTGGCATGGCAAAAATGCTTCCACCAATGGAACTTTTGTTCCTTACTTTGAAAACAATCACTTTGGATTCGCTCTTGTCAGTGGGTCGTATTGCAAGCGTCAAGCCCGAGAAGGCGCGCGCGGTCGAGGACTTGCTCATTCGCATGGCCAAGAGCGGCCAACTGCCTGGCATGGTACCAAAAAAAAAAAACCTTGTATTCTGGAAGATGCGTTTCGGTAGCTCCAAGGTATCTGACGTGCGTATTGACTCTGTTCCATGCTTAGGTGGACGAGCCGCAGCTTATCAAACTGCTCTCGCAAGTCAGCGAGGTTGAGAACTCAAAGAAGGCATCCAAGCTCACGGTGAGTTCTGTTTTCCTGAAGCTTGTATTTTTTGTGTTTTTGTCTTTTCTTTTTTTTGTTGGAATTGACGGATCCCGCTGACTCGCTGCTCCGCAATAGTACACGCGCAAGACCCTGGACGATGACGATGATGACGAGTAACGCGCGGTGTCCCAAAAACAAAATTTGTGAATGGTTGTCAGTTTCAGCCCCGCTTCCTCTGTCACCACGAAAATACAAAAATACAGTCCATGGAAAACCCATGACTGCAGCAGTTTATGATTTTACTTTTGAGATCGCAGCGAAAGAACCAAAAAAAAAAAGTAATTAGAAAATCAAAAACCAAAATGGTCGTACACTACAGTATGATACTTTCCTCGACACGAGGAACCGCATGAAAGCGACAGCCACCCCATCATTGCAGAAACCGCATTCAAGCAGACTCGGCCTTGGGGATGACAACCACCTCGACAAACTTGGTCACAAGGGTTTGCATGTCAATTGTTCGGCGACGCCCAGTCTCCAGGACTTCGGTGTGGCTGGCAATCGCACCAGAGCGGCTGTCGGTGACGACCATGTTGGTGACGAGCGAGAGACCGACGACATTCAGCCCGCAGTGGCGAGCCACAATGACCTCGGGCACGGTGCTCATGCCGACAACGTCGCCGCCAATCGTGCGCAGGAAACGAGCCTCCGCCGCCGTCTCAAAGGACGGGCCCGCCACATGAGTGTAGACACCCTCGCGGAGGAACTCGCCAAAGCCAAGCGACTTGCCGACCGAGAGCAGCTGCTCGCGAAGCGCCACATTGTACGCGTCCGACATGGGAGGGAAGCGCGGGCCAAAGCGATCGTCGTTCTGGCCAAACAGCGGGTTGTTGCCAGCCATGCCGGGAATGTTAATGTGGTCCTCAATGACCATAATGTCGCCAATGTTGAAACCGGCATTCAGGCCGCCAGCAGCATTCGTGACAATCAGCACAGAGACGCCAAGCATTCGCATGACGCGCACAGGCAGCGTCACCTTGCTCATCTGGTAGCCCTCGTAAAAGTGGAAGCGGCCCTGCATGCAAATAGTTGGCTTGCCCGACAGGTATCCAAAGACGAATCGGCCGGCGTGTCCCGGAACTATGCAAAGTGAAGCAAAATGAGGCAAGTGAAGCAAGGAAAGCAAAAAAGTAAGCATCAGAAACAAAAGACACTCGTTTTTGTTTTGCAACAAACACACAAAGCATAAATCACGCAACAACTGCAAATACTGACCAGTGCTGTGGGGAAAGTGCGGAATATCGGCGTACGCGACCGAAATGGGCTCCTGGAGCTGGTCTGCCAGACCGCCGAGGCCAGAGCCGCAGATGATACCAACGCTTGGCTTAAAGTTCTTTGAGGCGGTGCGGATGAACTCGCACGCCTCGAATGCAGCGTCGTACTGTGCCTGCATTGCCGAGCCGTTCTCGACCACTGTGTGTGCAGCCGCTGCCGCCGAAGCCAATTGGTGTGACATGCTGGAAACTTGTTTTCAGTGCTTGGACTTGTTGAGCGAATTTGCTCTTGCTTGTTTGAAGCTTGTGACTTGGTGTGAAATCTGTGTCAAACCGCCAAATCCAATCGCGAAACCACAGGATGATGAGCTTCATCATCTTCATTGTTCAATGTGACTACGAATGGGTTTTTTTTAACAATGTTCAACTCGGGTACAGCTGAGAGCAAGGTCGGTCGAAATGACGCCGAGCATTAGAGTAAACTTTTTTTTTTTTTTTTTTTTTTTTTTTTTTTTTTTTTTTTTTTTTTTTTTTTGGTTTTGTATGGGATTTGCATTGGATTCGCTCGATTGAACGGCTCGGCGTCTGTCTTGCATTCTCTGGCCATTCGCCCATAAAAGTCGTGAATAGCACGATGTTGTTGTCCGAGTGGTTCAGCTCGGGTGTGTGGTCCACCAGCCCAAGCAGAGTGGGATTGAGAAAACATCGCATGATGTTGCGACCGAACAACAAAAAAACCCAACTTTGAAAAAAAAAAAAAAGGCTTCATTTTTGTGTTGATCTCTCGCTTGCTGCGTGGCGTGTGCGACGTGCGATTGCGCAGGCAGCGGAAACAGACTCGTCATGGCCGATAGTGTGCAGGGGACGTTTGGGCGGAAGGGCAGCAACAAGGCGGGGAAGAAAAAAAAAGGAGAAGAAGACGGAAAAAAAAAAAAAAAAAAAGTCAACAAAATCCACAAAAAAAAAAAAAAATTAAAACAATCCGCACAAACACAGAAAGACTGAGATTAAAAACTATTTGAAACAGCGGGAAAAATGCACACTTTGCGATTAGAACATGCCCCATGCACACATACAAAACACACACAGACCAAACAACAGCCTCCAAAAACACAAACACACACGCTCACAAAAAAAAGCAAACTCGAAAAAACCAAAACTCATACGTCGCCGGGGGAAACAGCGCTGCTGGAATCGGACGCCGAGCCGGTCGAGGCGCCGGCGTTGGCGTTGAGCAGCATCTTGACAACATCCTCGCGTTGGGCGGGCGAGAGAACATGGATGAGGTGGAAGATTGAGGTCAGCGCAACATCCTGGCCTTCGTCGCTGAGCTTGCGGACCTTCTCGACCACGTACGCCTGGCGCATCATCTGAATGTTGTGGGAGACCTCCTGCTGCGACGTTTCAAACCACTCGGCCATCGCGCGGTTGTCGTCCCAGTAGGTGAGACCGACCGCGCCCTTGGCTTCGACCAGCCAGCGGCGCATGACCGACACGGCTTGGCCCACAGTCAGCTCGCCGTTCGCCTGCATAATCTTCTTGCGGAGCGTCTCCTCGGCGATACGACGGCGCAGACGCCAGTAGAGGAACTTGCGGGCCGAGCGCCATTGCAGCACCTCACTGATGGTGCCCTTGGCCTTCATGCGACCAGGCGTGTCGTGCAAGTCGGCAAACGTGATGGCCACTTGGTGGTACACGGGCAGCAGCTCGGCCTCGCGCGTTGCCATGCGCTGGGCAAGCGTGGCACGCTCGGCTTCGAGCTGGAGGTGCTCCTCCGACTTTGTGGGCTGCTCGAGCGACTGGGACGTGGCGAGCGCCTGCGGCATCATGCCTTGGTGCGTCAGTGGCTGCTGGGACGCGTGCAGCTGCTGGAGACGCTGGAGCTGCTTTTGGAGCTTGCCCGTCTCGACGGCAAGCTTGCCGTCGACTGCCTTCAGCTGAGCGGACAGGTCTGCGTACAACGAGTCGAGACGCTCCATGGTCAGGATGAGGTCGCGACGGCGGTACTTGATCTCCACCGTGCCCTCCGGTTCGAGGACGCCGCCGCGGCTCGTCTCGTCGGCGTACATTTCCATCATGTCGAGATTGATGGTCGGATCCACGACGACCCACGCGCCTCCGCGCAGCTCGCCGTTCGGAGGAATGTACACGAGCACTGGCTGCTTGTACTCGCGCAGAGCGTCGACAATGTAAGCGCCAAACTTGAGCACTTGGTCCATCATGTCGCGGGCGCCGCCGGAAAAGCCGCGCCAGTTGGCAAACACAAAGAGCGGGAGCTCTTCGCGATCGCAGTCCTTGATGGCTTGTGCCGTCTTGTAGGCAGAGTTGGGGAACCACACCTGGCCGGCCTGCTGGATGACCTGCGACTCAGAGTCCGGGTTGGCAGGATCGGCCGGGATGAGCAACTCCACCGTTCGCGTTTCGACAGCAATGACACCCACGGGGATGCCGCCGAGGCGAGCGCGGCCGGTGACGACCGTTTGCGCCCAGCCACCCATCGTCTCGATGAACGAGTCGTGATCAAAGAAGCCAGACTGCCACTTGCCCAAGTTGAGCGGCGGCGCAGAGAAGGGCGTCGAGAGGGACATTGCGGGCGAGTGCGACTGGGACGAGTGGCCACTGGCGGCATTGCTGGTGCTCGATTGCGACGACTGCAAGTGTGCCGGAGTGAGGGGGGTGAACGGCATCGGTGACGCTTGTGGGGAGCTCGAGTTGGACGGGTTGATCGAGCTCGAGCTGCCGAGCGAATTGTTGCGACGATGCCCACCCTGCACAACGTTCGATGCGGCGGGGGTCGACGGGTCGGTCGGCTCGTGACGACCAGCAAGCATCCAGCGGGGATCGTATGGGGCTTTTGGCGGGACGTAGTCAATCATGCGGTCGACGGGGTCGATGGCGCGCATGACGGGGAGCGGAGCACCCTTGCGCCGAGGAACATACGACAGCAGCGAGAGGCCAGAGTGGACGGCGGCAAAATCGTCGGCGACAGCAACGTGCGACACGCCGTTGCAGTACATGATTTGCGTGCCGCCGAGCTGCTGGTTGCTCGTGTACACTTCGCGACCAAGAACCTTGTTCAGGGCGTTCGCGCCAGTCAGAATAATGTGCGAAGACTCGACTTGAATGGTGCGCTGGCCCAGACGGACGAGGTAGGCACCAATACCGACCGAGCGGCACGACACAATGGTCAGCGTGTACGTCTCGTCAAAGGCCAGCGACGTCTCGCCGGCAATCATGCCAGAGCCACGCAAGTTCTCCACGCCGAGGCCATCCTGGGCGCCAATAATGTCGAGCAGACGGTACCGCGACTCGCCATTCTCCTCGATGAGCTCGGCGTTGACAGACTGGGTCGTGGACAGCTGCTTGTAGTCGTCGGGCGTCACATACAGGTACCTAAAGCCCTTGGCGGGATGCGCGTCGCTAATCCACGCCGCGCGGAAGCACTTCTTGACCTCTTCGGCGAGACCAATGCGCGCGCCAGAGTTGGCCGACACGTAAATGCGTGGCAAGCCGAGCGAGCGGGCCAGCTCTGAGGCGCGCTTGAACAGCGTGTCTTCGCGGAGGCCGAACGAGCCAATTTGGTGGGTAATGTCGTTGGAAATCAGAATAATTTCGCGACCATCCGGGCACTCGGGAGTAAACACCTCCAGACGCCAGGCCACCATGCCAATCTTGTTCGAGCCTGGCGGACGGTTGACGGCAATCAAGTTGTCGTTTTCGTCGAGAATGAGCTCGGTCATGTTGAGCAGCGGATCGGGAATGTCCACGCGCTGCGACACGGTGGCCATCTTTTGCGAGTGCTGCTGCCAAATTTGCCAGAGGGCCTCTCGGAAAAGCTCGGGCAAGTCGTACACGTAGGTCGAGCCGCTGGACTGGGCAGCATAGCGCTTGAGCTGCAGGTGGTCCTTGGTCAGGTAAGGGGCCGAGACTTCGTGTCCGTGCAGCGGGCCAGCACGCGCGCCAACCGTCTCAAAGATCATCTTGCCAGTGCGGGGATCCTCGACTTCGCGGTAGGCGTGGATGGTCAGGCAGAAGCCAGTGTGGTTGTGCACAAAGTAGCGCACAGGGCTGACAGGGGAGCCAGAGTGGCGACGAACATTCATCTTGATTTCAGCCTGCATGACGCGAAGCTTCCACAGACGCTTGCCGTGACGGATGACGAGGTCACGCAGCGGCTCGACGAGCGCCAGAGGGTCGAGCAGCACAACAGGCGCAAAGTTCATGAAAATGTGGTTGCAATCGGTCAAGCCGAACGCCGGGTTGCTCATGTTGAGCTCAATCTCGTCCAATGCCTCAATCATCTGGCGTTCGCCCTCGGAGAAGAAGTAGTCGAGCGACGTGTTGCTCGAGATCAAATCCGCATGACGAATGATGACGCGCACAAAGAAGCGACGATCGGCCACGGGCTGGCCAGCCTGCACCTTGCCCTCAGAGTAGTAAAAGTGCAGGCGGTTGTTCGAGGCCGGGCACAGCTTGATGCGATAGTTGGACAGCTTGAACAGCTCGAGCTGGAAGGCCAGCGCGGGCTCAATGTGGCGGTAGATGGAGTCTTCCTTAAAGTTGGAGCTTGCGCGGAAGGTGAAGAAGCGCGGGTAGCCGTCCTTGCGCAGCACGAGGAAGGTGACGCGGCGAATGTCGCACTCGTGCAACTGCTCGACGCGCGACTGCAGCGCTTCTTGGAAGCTCTCGATGAGGAGCGGGTCTTGCTCGGCATCGTCCATGCCGTTCGGAGGCTTGATGGCAATGTTGAGAATGTTGGCAGGCTCGTCTTTGAGTGCTTCGGCAAGCGCTGGGGCGGCCGAAGCCGACGCCGCATTCACTGAAGTGGCACCGGCCAAGGCGGAAGAAGTCGGGGTGGACGTACCGCTGGCGTGGCCAGTGTTGTCCATCGACATGACGGCGCCGCTGGGGCTCATAAAGAACGGCGACGGCGGCGCTGAGCCGGCAGCAGCCACGTAGGCAGCATTCATTGTGTCGAGCGACTGCAGTGAGGGAGACGGGGTCAAGCCAGACTCGATGACTTGGGTGGGCGGGTGCTGCGACGACAGCTGCGGGAGCGACGTGAATGAGGCGCGCTGGTAGCCGCTCGTGGTCAGCGGGTTTGTGCGGCGGGGGAAGCGCTGCAGAATTTCGTCAATGTGCTGCTCAAAGTCCGCCACAGTGTCAAAGGCGCCCATAATGCCCGTGCGGGCGATCGAAATCTCGCTCGACGTGTCATCGGCACGAAGTCCAATGCCCTCGCCAGTGCTGATGGTCTTGCGGAGCTGTGGGCGGGAAGGGTTGGAGTTGCTGCGCTGGCGCTGGACCACCGACTGGAGCGAGGGATGCGACGACGGCAGAATAAACCGCCACATCACCAAGTGCCGGCGGCCACTGTCGATCGGCTCGTGACGAATGCTTTGAATGAGGTAGGCAGTGTACGAGCGTCGGACGTAGACCTCCAGCGCGGCGAGCTGGATGGCAAGGTTGTTGTGGTAAAAGAAGGTGACGAGCACGTCGAAAATGGACGAGCCAGTGTCGACCAGCTCCTGCAGCTTTTGCGCGCACTGCTCGCCGATGGATTCGACGGCAGACTGGAAAAAGACCTCGACGTCGAGACGGCGGCGGTTGAACGAGGGCAGCTGCGACTGGATGAGGATTTGGCGCGCAAACAGCGCAACCTTGGAGTTTTCCTTCTTGTTCAGGGTCGCGAGGGCTGAGAGCAAGCTGCGGTCGTCCGCAGTGAAGGAGCCCTCTCGGTGCGACAGGTTCTTCAAGATGGACAGGATGAGCGTGTTCTTGGACTCGACGTGGTGGTGCGACATGACCATGCGCACAACGGCGTTGACATCCGTGCGGTGCTGCTCCTTGAGCAAGTAGACAATGTCTTCGTAGGGCTTGTCAATGTTGAAGACTGTTTCGACCTCGAGGTAGGCGCGGAGCAGGCTGGCGACGGCCGCCTTGGAGTGGCCGCGGATGCCGTTGCGGTAGTGCTGAATGTGCTGGATGATGGGCTCGACCACGGTGAAGAAGGTCGTGCGGTCGGCGTCCGAGGACAGCGACGCAGCGTGCATGTCAATCACGCTCGCAATCTGCTGCGTGGGGAAGGCGCAAAACATTGAGTTCAAGCTGTTTGTGTACTGAATCAGCAGGCCGTTGATGAGCTCTTCAATGCGCGCGGGGATGCGTCCCGAGAGAGCAGCCAGCACTTCTTGCAGCTCAAACAGGGGGAGTCGCGGGTCTTGCAACGCGTTGAAGTACTCGCGGATGTGCAGGTTGAGACGGGCAGAGAAGATCGAGTCTGGGTAGTTGAAGCCAGCCAGGTTGTTCTCGAGCGCCGTCTTGACGCGGCGGAAGGTGTGGTGGATTTTCTCGCTGCGGATTTGGAGGTCTTGCGACGCCGGAAGCGTGCCTTCGAACGGCCTGGCGCGCTGGACGCGGGAAGGATCGTCCAGGGTGAGCGTTGCCACAACATCGCCAGCCTCGAGCACGGTGCCGGGAAGCTTGAGGTGGTGCAGCAGACCGGCTTCGTTCGAAATGAGGGGCAAGATCATCTTCATGACCTCAATCTCGGCGAATGGCTGGCCGGGATTGACATGCTCGCCCTCGGGGATGAGGTGGCGAATCATCTTGCCAGGCGAGCTCGTGCGCAAAAAGGACGGGTCGTTCTCCTTTTCAAAGACGCACGTCTTCGAGTCGACCGTGACGCGATAGCGGCTCTTTTCCTCCTTCATGTAGGTGACGTGTGAGTGGCCGCCAAACAAGACCAGCGTGCCGCCGTCCGAGAGTCGGTGCATGTCAACCTCGGCGTACGAGCCGTTGGTGCCGAGCACGTAGGCGTTGGGTCCCGAGCGAACGGCCTCGATCTGGTACTTGACATTGTCGTAAATAATGTCGACAATGGTCGAGTTTTTCAAAAAGTCGCGACTGAGAATCTGGCCACGCTCCAGCGATCGTCGGTAGGAATCAATGCGCTCTTGGAAGAAGGCATCGGCAATGTGCACGGTGCCGCAAATGACGGCGAGCAGTGTGTCTGGGCGCTCGGCAGTGACCTTGCTCTTGATGAGCGAGTCGAGCCAGCTAGTGTCGAACGAGTTGCCACGGAAGTTGTCCGTCTCGATCAGCTTGAGCAAAAACTCGACCGTGGTGCGGAAATCGCCGCGAATGGAAATGTCCTTGAGCGCACCAACCATGTGCCGGCGTGCCTCCTCGCGGTTTTCGCCCCAGGCAAAGAGATGGCCAAACTGCGAATCGGCAAACTCGTGCAGACCGCCAGACGCCGACACTGAAAAGTAGCCCCAGACGTTCTTGCTCGAGCGAAAGTTGAGCTCCTTGATCAGACCAGAGGACGGCTTGAAGCCCTCGTCGGGATTTTCGGCCGTGATGCGGCAGGCAATAACGTGACCGTTCGGCGGGTGCGGCGAGACGTTGGCAAAGTCGATGGGGGCCTGCGATGCCGGGTCTTGCTGGTACAGCAGACGAATGTCCTTAATGTTGTGTAGGGGGATGCCCATCGCAATCTGCAGCTGAGCAGCGGGCAGGTTGACGTCGGCAATCATTTCTGTGCACGGATGCTCGACCTGAAGACGCGGGTTGAGCTCGAGGAAGGTGTACGACTCGTCCTCGGGCGTGTAGAGGTACTCGACCGTGCCTGTAGAGACGTAGCCCACCAGGCGGGCGAGGCGCACAGCTGCGCGCTCCATCTCTGTAAACACGTCAGGCTTGGCAATCGTGGCCGGGCCCTCTTCGATAATCTTTTGATGGCGGCGCTGGACGGAGCAGTCGCGGCCAAAGAGCGAAACGCACTGGCCATACTTGTCTCCGAGAAGCTGCACCTCGAGGTGGCGGGCCTTGGTGGCGAGCTTCATCAAAAAGATGGGCGAGCCGGGCACCTCGGACTGCACTTGGCGGAAGAGTTGCGCAAAGTCGTCGGCGTGCTCGACGCGACGGATGCCCTTGCCACCACCTCCCTCGGCGGCCTTGATCATGATCGGGTAGCCAATGCGCTTGGCCGAGATCTGACCATCGCTCACGTCTTGGACGCAGCCCTTGAGGTAAATGTCGTGCGGCACCGTGAGGTGGTGGCCCGCGCGCATCTGCTCCTCGGTGAGGCAGGGGATGGTCAGCCCCGAGCCGCTCCAGGGCAGGGTCGAGACGTCTGCAGACTGTGCCACAATGGACGACGAAATCTTGTCGCCGAGCGCACGCATGGCGCTGCCGGGCGGGCCAATGAAGGCAATGCCCAGGCGGTCGAGCGCGTCGGGCAGCTTTGGGTTTTCCGACGCGTGGCCCCAGCCGGCCCACACTGCGTGCACACCGTGTCGCTCTGCAATTTCGACAATCAGCTCGACGTTGGCGTAGTTGTTGTTGTTGGTGCCGCCTGGCACGGGGATGTACTGGTCTGCCATCTTGATGTACTCTGCGTTGGCCTTGATGTCCTCGGGCGTCGCCATGACCAGGAACTTGATCACATGGTCGTTTCCGAACGTCTCGTACAGCCATCGGCGCATCGAGCGGATGCACTTGACCGCTGCAATGCCGTTGTTCGCAATGAGGATTTTGTCAATGGTGCGTGCGAGCGGACCGCCAAACTTTTTCACAAACTCGGCCGGCGTGGCGACCTGGCCGCCATCTGAACATTGCGAGCAAACCAAGCAAGCGACAAGAGCACAAAAGGCAAAAAAGGGGGAGGAAGTGAGTGAGTGAGTGAGAGAGTGAGTGATGACTTGACAACTGAGGGAGAATGAATATTAAAAAAAAAAAAAAAAAAAAAAAAAAAACGATGGGAAGCTTTTTTTTTTTTTTTTGTTTTTTTTTTTTTTTTTTTTTTTTTTTTTTTTGTTGGGGCAATGAGACCAACATTTGCCGCTCGCTGGCTTCAGCGTCCGTTCGCCCGCGCGTCGTGTTGGAAAGCATGAGCCGTGGGGGGGCTTGTTTGTGGAGATGGTTGAGTTGAACTGTGTGCAAGTCGCCACGCGTCGCCACCTCGCTGTCAGTGCCACGGACAAAATCCACAATCGTGACCTCCGCGTTATTGGAGTTGGTCTTTCATGGTATCGTCGTTCTTCGCCTTCTGTGAGGTGTGTGTGTGTGCCTCTGACCCATGGCTCGCGTGTGCAGATGGGCAAATGCGAGGTGGTCGTGCGATTCTAACCGTATGGCTCTTGCATTTGCGAACAAGGATACAGAAAGCAAATAAAAAAAAAAAAAAAAAAAGAGACTGAACAAGTCACTGTGGCTCAACAGAAGGGTTCTGATCTGCTGCATCGCATTCAATCTCACTGCAATTTTGCGTTGTGGAGTGGAATAAACAACGAGAAATGTCGAAAATGAATGGCCAAGCAGGTGCGGCGAGCAGTGTGCATGAGCTCGATTCGAGAGGAGTGGAACATTGTGCAGCTCAACAAATTGACAGTTGTCCCGCTCTTGCATCGGCAACGAGTCGAGCAGCTGCTCAAGCTTTTCATACTCTAAACTCTAACTGCAGAAAAAGGGGATAAAAATGCTGTGCGTGGTTGACCGAACGCATCTCAACAATCAACGCTGGCAAAAAAAAAAAAAAAAAAAAAAAAAAAAAAGTCGACGGGTTTTTGCGATGGAGCGTCATCGGCGTTTGGGTCAAAGTCAGGTGAAGCGACAGTGCAATGGGGTTTGTTTTGCGCAGAATGCAGACGTAGTGAGCTGCACAACACCATGGTGCAGTCTGCGCAGTGCCAGGACGCGCACAAGAGCGGCCATCGACTGCCACGTCGCCGCCATGCGTGCTTGAACAACGCCAACAATTTTGATTCGCATTTTTTTTATTACTGTTTTTTGCATTGAGCTGGTCCAAAAGTCGGGATTGGGTTGGGCAAAGGGGGCCTCAAGCACGGTGTGTGCGAAGTATTGCGTGTTTGTGAATGGGAACGATGCTCGTGGAGAGAGAAAACCGAGGACGAGGGGTTTGGAACAGAGGGCGGTGTCGGCGAGTCAGGTGCGATGAGCAGCCAATCAATCCTCCTTAAAAAAAAAAAAAAAAAAAAAAAAAAAAAACTCAATGGAAAATCCAATGGAAAAAATGAAAATCCCAACAAAAGAGAATAAAAAAAAAATTAACAAAAAGTCACGACGGTCGTGACCAAAGAACGCAATGGAAATGCAAAGCGAAAAAAAAAAATGGGACGGAAAAACAACACAAGACACAAGCGGAAGGAAGGAACCGGAATCGGGAGCGGTTTGGGGTGGGGGGGGGCGGTTTGACAGGGGCGCAGTTCGTAGTGCATGCAGTGAATGTGGTGCAGAGTGGAATGGCGGGTGCTCAATTGCTGAGCGGAAGGGGGACAAAAGCAACAAAGTCCAAATGCGAATAGAGAGTAGAAATTACGGTCGGAAACGGGCATCGGTGAAAATCCAAAGACAAAGACAAAGACAGAAAAGAAGAGTGATTGTCAATCACTTCAATAACACAAAATCGCTCTATTCAAAAAGTACCAAGATCACCCACGAATAGACCCTTCAGCAATTATACAAACACACCCTTGGCATGCTTGCTGGGAGTCTCGTGCTTGTCCTTCTTCTTCTTGTCCTTCTTGCTGCTGCTGCTCGGCGTGTCGCTGCCGTTCGACTCGACTTGCTCAAGCCTTGCCTTCTTGGCCTTGTGTGACGGCGTCGACGATTCGTTTCCGTTGTTGCTGTGTCCGTTTCCATTGTCTGCAGTGACTGCCCATTCGTTGGATTCCTCGACCTCGACCGTGGCTGCCGTGCGAGATGGCTTTTCGCGCCGCCGTGGCTCCGTCGAGTCTGTCGTGATGGGTTGTTGCGAGTATTCTGCCTCCTGGGTAGCGAGCGAGCCCTCAATTGAGAGAATGTCTTGCGATGTTTGCAATCTGTTGGCGAGGCGCGAGGGGTGCGGTGAGTTGTGACGAAAACAAAAAAGAGAACATCCTCGGTGCCTGCCTTCCAGGATTGCACCACAAGCGACAGAAGACTCCCAAGAAACTCGAAAGCACCAATACACACAAACTCACAACGAAAACAAGCAAAAAGCCGGAACACCAACACCTTACCGTGTCACAGTAAACTGCAAAACAGACCCGACGCGGATTTGGTAGTCGGGCTGGTTGATGTCGTACCAGTACTCTTGTTGGCCGTCGCACTCGAGGTTGGTGCCAATCGAATCGCGCGGAATGGAAGCGTTCAGCGTGCCATAGATGAGCAGACCGATGTGATCCACGCCAATCTTGTCGACCTGGCCGACTGCGACGCCGACAAAAAGACAAGCGCACGAGACAACCATTGAGATTTCCATGTTGTTGTTTTTTTCAAATCAACAGCGACTCTGGTCAGAGTGATTCAGACTCGACAAAAGCTGGCAAAGCTGGCAAAGCCTCTTACCAAGCTTGTTGCCGATTATTGGGCACAGCACCAGCAGCGTTGCAGAAACGTAAAAGTGAATGTGTGGGTTATCGGCCAGAATGACTCCGTTTTCCTGCTGCAGACGGACGTTCGAGTAGGCAATGACGACGCCCTCGAGATCCTCGTGGTACCTGCAGCGAAGAGAAGCCCGTCATAGAAAAGTGAGTGTTTGCACGATCGTTTGATGCATTGGGTTCTGGATGCGCAAATGCAGCACCATCGCCGACTCGGATCGCCATCGTTGTAGTAATGCCCAATAATCGAGTGAGTGGCTACTACACTCGGGTCGTCAAAGTGCAAGTCGGAGGCGGGGAGGAGAACAGGCGAGACTTTGAGGGAAACTGAATCCATGTGGACGCTTCATCCCCTCCCAACCCTCATGCGTCTGCCCGCCTCTCCTCAAACAACATCCCGGCGAGTGACAAGACGCTTACTTCATGAGCAGCTTGTTCATGTGGTCGTGGACGGCGGCGTTGAAGCGGCCGGCGTGGTGTGGAAGCAGGTGAATGTACAGCCGCACATTGATTTCGCGGAATGGCGAGGCAATCATGGCTTTGACGAGGAAGAGTGAGGATACGAGTCGGGTGTGTGATGGGATGCATGGAAACAGAATCAAATGCAAAAAGCAATTGGACGTTGACGGGTAATTTTTTGGATTTATTAAAAACACAAACTCTGCACAACACAAACGTCAACGAAGGGAGGAGAACGGGGAAGCTGTAATGACACGGGAGAACATGGAGTGTCATAGGGGGACTTGCTTTTTTTCTGTTTTGTCTTTGCTCGTCTTTTAGCCCTCCCAGAACTTGGGGATTTGGTCGCCAACAAAGGTTTTGCGCTCGACGCCGCTCTCGGTAATCGTTGCAATACGGACGACGCCGCCAGATGAGCCGTCGCGTGCCATGGCGAGCGCAAGTGCGCCCTTGACAAAGTCCTCGCACTCGGCCTGGGTCATGCCAAGCTTGAAAGTCGCGTCGACGTGACCGAAAATGTATGTGCTACCACTGCCGCCAATGCTGAATGGCTGGCGAAGGCACATGCCACCGAGCGGGATTGTGTAGACTTGACCGCCGAGTTTTCTGCAATGTGTTGAAGAGGAGAGTGAGCGAGACAGAAATGACAGAAAAACGCAAACTCTGAAGAAACCGAAACTCACCGGTCCCAGCCAGCAACGATAATGCCTGCCATCAAGTTCTCGCGGTTGCCGTAGCACAGTTGTTGGAAGACACTTGCTGCCGAGTGCACGCTTGGCCTCTCGCCGAGCTCGATGCTGCAGGAACGGTGCAACGAGCGAAACAAGTCAGCCAAAACCATAGTTTGATTGCTGCGTATTCAATGCAGCCCCGGCGCTCGTGGACACCCTACCTGTGTAGATCCAGGTAGTACTTGACATAGTCTGCAATGGCCTGCGTGTCTGCGGCCGAGCCCGAGCGGCAGCAGTAAATGCGGTCGGTGATTCGTGTGAGCTTGTCGGTGACTCGGTTGGCAATGTACGAGCTGATGCAAGAGCACCACCATCACACCACCAATCCACCAACAAAGCAGCAGCATTATTGTCACAGTGAGTAGGATGAAGATGAACACACAGCAGCACATGAGACAGGGTGAAGACAACTCACACAACTCACCCAGTCGTTGTTCGCGAATCGGCGCCAATCACTACGCCGCCATTGAACTCGACCGCCATAATCGACGTCTGCAAAGCACAAAACACAAAAAAGACAAGAAAATCAAATCAAAAACCAAACGCATTCCAAAAAGTGAGTTCAAAACAGCAAAAGAACAGCAACGAAATGGAAGAACGAATGGAAGAAAAACAATCGAGATCGCGAGATCTGGAAAAAAAAAAAAAAAAAAAAGGCCTTTTTTCATAGGAAATGCATTGCAAGTCCGGGCTTTTGTCATTCTGTCGTTCTCTCTCGCTCTCTGTCTCTCGCTCTCACTAACGCTCGCTCTCGCTCTCTGCGTACTACAAGTTGAACGCATGCCACGCATTGCTCGCCGTCCGCCGTGCGCAGTTTCGCTGTAGGAGTGACAACTTGCACTCCGTCTCTCTATCTCATGTCTCTCTCTCTCTCTATCTCGCGTCTGTGTCCCCGCTGCGCTTCGATCGATGCGCCCTGCAATGCTCGAGCAAGACAGAGTCAGGATGCGTCTATGACAGACGGGGGCGAGCGTCAACGTACGCCTGTCATGTGCTCCGAGGAGAGCCAGTCTGGCGCATCACCAGCAACGAAATCCATCTTCCAGAAACTCAAGAAAAACGAAAAAAAAAAAAAAAATGAGTGAGGTTTGCATTGGGAAACGCGCTGAGAGTTTGTACTCGAACAAAATAACAACAAACACCAGGAGTTGAACAAGCGCAAGTCGAATGCAATGACGATGAAAGTATTAAAGTGGGGGGAGGTGGGAGGGGGGGAAAAGAAGCAAAAATGGGCGAATTTTCCTGATCTGACACTCACAGCTCAATCTGCCTCACTCTGTCGCGCTTCTAGCTCAGTAGTCGCATCACACAATAGTTGGCATTCGAAATGGAACATCATCCGGCTTGTCTGCTCGAGCTCAGGACCTCAGAGGCTCGGTCAAACTTGACTTTTCCAACTTTCAATCCGCCCATTCACCCTCATCAGTCATTCATACAATAAAACAGCCCCGCCGACCGACCCCCGTTTGCGTTTGTGTATGAAATTTCTGGGACATGCACTTCACTCCTTGTTCCCGTCAAAACCTCCAGTACAGCTCAGACTAATCCGCCAAATTCTGACCAATTTCCCAGTCAAGCCAACCGTCCTCACCCCATCACCACTCTCATTCAGGCAACTTTCCAGTTTAGACCATCGTCATCATCTCCTCATTTGAATGGCATCACGATTGGCACCGCCGACGCGCGCAGTGTCATCGAGCAGCGCCAAAGTGGTCGTCTTCAACGATCCGACCGCCGCGCCATCTGCCTCAGCCAAACTGGCGCTGGCAAGCACGAGCGGCAGTGCCTCTTCTGCTGCTTCATTGAAAGGTCGGATAGGAGCCAATCGCGCGGGTGCTGCGGTGCCGGTCGTCGCGGCAGGCGCACGTGTGACCAAGAGCGGTGACGGAGCGGCAGCGCGTGCTGCAGCAGCCGCAGCGGCGCGGAGCAAGGCAGACGATGACATTCGACGAGCACGCATCAAAGAGAAGGCTGCGTTTGCTGCGGCGCGGGCGGAAGTGCTCGATCTCGGCATGAAGGGCCAGCTCGGGAACAAGGACGTGCGGCAAAAGCTGCGGCTCGACAAGCACGGGCGACCGCTGCCAAAGCAGAAGCTGCCATTCAAAATGTTCATGGGTGTCCAAGCTGCGCAAAAGAAGAAGGCCATCAAGGAGCGCGAGGCGGTGAGTTTATGCTGAACAACCGTAGAAGGCAGTGGATTTTGGATGTGTGTGAGGGGATCCGAGTTGGCATTTGGGTGGGAGCGTCAGTTGTACGAATCGCTGATGCGAGGTGCTGATGAGACCATGAATCGACGAACGAGCGAACGAGGGGCTGTGTTTATGGGAGGAAAGCAACTTTTTTTCAAATTCGTTTGTCTCACTTTCATCATTGTTGGATTTCTCTGCTCTGCTCTTCACTCCACAGAAAGAGCAATTGCTTGGTCGCACGCGACCAACGACGCCCAAGAAGAAGAAGTGAACGCTTGATTGTCGTGCGTGTTTTGTTTCGTTAGTGAAATTGGAGATTTTGTTACGATTTCATTCCGTGCAAAGTCCACAATATTGCGTCCCAAGACCCCACGAAATCACTAGGGTCCAACAGGCAAGCATGCCAAGGAGATGAGCATGCACGAGAGGCTTGAGTGAGGGAGCTGAGCGTCGCAGATGGAGCCTCAGAGGTTTACGAACATTGAATCAGGCTAATCTGCATCGCGTTCGAGTCTGTAAAGCTGCGGGGCTCTCAGATGCAAGGGCAGGTGAAGGTCACTGAGCCACAATTTCTAAACCCAGTCCCTTTTTTTTTCCGTTCTCCAGTTCTCAGACTTTTTGAGCCCACACCAATCGAACCAATCAAAACCAGATATGAGCGGCTTCAACTCGCCCGGTCTGTCGCACGGCTCTGGCTCTGGGAGCAGCAACAGCATCACCTCGACCGCTGCCACCTCAGCTGGTGCTGGTGGTCTGCGCGAACGCCAGATCGACGGACTGCGCGCAATGCTGAACGCCACGTCCTCGTCCTCGTCGGTCACCCAGCTCGGGTCGTCCGCCTCTGCACCCGACGCCGCAATGTGGAAGGTGCTCGTGTACGACCGCGCTGGCCAGGTAACCCGACGGATGGGGAAAGAGGGAAAGCGTCATATTGAAAAGAGAGAGAGATCTCGTTGGACGATTCAATTCTGAACGCAATGCAAACTCTATGGCCAATGCAAACCCTATGAGTAACAAAAGTCAGCACAACTCACCGAACAAGATTTTGAATGCATCAACAATTTCGAATCAAACTCCTGATTCTTTTCTATTAGGATATCATCTCGCCGTTGATGAAGATTTCCGAGCTGCGCGATCTCGGCGTCACTTTGCACTTGTAAGTAGTACTAGCAAACCATGTCTCCAACAAAAACGAAAGGTTTGTCCTCACATTGGTTTTTGTCCTTTGTGAGCAGGTTGCTGCACTCGGATCGTGAACCCATCCCAGACGTTGCGGCAGTGTACTTTGTCATGCCAACGAAGGAAAACATTGAGCGCATTGCAAAGGTAACTTCTTTGGGGCGTTGTTGTAACGAAACGTTCAGAACGCGTCTCACTTCCTGCTCTGTTTTTTTGCAGGACTGTCGCGATGGCCTCTACGACACCTTCTACATTAACTTTATCTCGAGCCTTTCGCGCAACTTGCTGGAAGAGCTCGCCTCGCTGACCGTCCAAAACAACTCTTCCAACCGAGTACGAATGAGTCGAACGCCCCGCTGTTCTCGCCACCACCATCACCACCACTGACTTTTTTTTTCATCTGCATCTCCTTGTTGCTTTTGACGCTAGATTTCCAAACTGTTCGATCAGCACATGAGCTTCATTTCGCTCGAACAGGAAATGTTTGTGCTGCGGCCGCAAGACAAGGAGCGCACGTCCTACTATGCCATCAACAACCCTGAAGCGAAAGACGCGGACATTGAAGGTGCCGTTGACGACATTGTGGACAATCTCTTTGGCGTCCTGGTGACGATGAGCACGGTAAGTTTTGCCTTCTTGTCGAGTTTTGCCTTGTTTTTGTGTTAGTGTGTCGAAAGTTTCGGTTGCCTCATCACTTTTGTCGATTGAACAGATTCCTGTCATTCGCTGCCAACGAGGTCACGCGGCCGAAATGGTGGGAGAGCGCTTGGACACGTAAGATTTGTTGTTTTGTGTTGTGGGGGTTTTTGTCGCAATATCTCCATCTCATCTCTCTCTCTCTCTCTCTCTCTCTCTCTCTCTCTCTTTCTCTTTCTCTCTCTCTCTCTCTCTCTCTCTCTCTCTCTCTCTCTCTCTCTCTCTCTCTCTCTCTCTCTCTCTCTCTCTCTCTCTCTCTCTCTCTCTCTCTCTCTCTCTCTCTCTCTCTCTTGTCGCCACGCTCTCGTTGTTCTAGACGACTGCGCGATCACCTCAAGAGCAAACGCGCCAACCTGTTTGCAGAGGGTGCTGCGGCAGGTGCAAGCGCGCTGCAGCGCCCCGTGCTCATTCTGCTCGACCGCAATATTGATTTGGCGACCATGGTGCAACACACCTGGCAGTATCAACCATTGGTGCATGACTTGCTGGACTTTAAGCTCAACCGAGTGACCATCGGACCGAGTGCAGCCAGTGGGCAGGCGTCTCGCGCCAAGACCTACGACCTGGATCAGATTGACTCCTTCTGGACCAACAACCGGGCCAACCCCTTCCCAACCGTTGCGATGGAGGTTGAGAATGCACTGAACGCGTACAAGGCACAGGCAGACGACATTTCAAAGCTGTCCAGCGCGCTTGGCCTTGGCACAGACGGTGCCAGCGCCGAAGACTCGTTGGCAGCCTTGCAAGGCGCTCTCGCCCATGCCGGCAACCAAAGTCTGGATGCCTCGTCTACTCAGCGACTCACAATGGCTGTTTCATCCCTCCCCGAGATGCTCGAGAAGAAGCGTCTGATTGATTTGCACACCACCGTCGCCACGGCTCTCCTCGAGAACATCAAGGCTCGCCAAATAGACACGTTTGTGGATTTGGAAGAGCGCATTCTCAGCAAGTCGTCCCTGGTAAGTGTGTGCAGTTTGTTTGAGGTGGTGTTTGGGTTGCCATTTCGGTTATCGTCACTGCTCACTGTCCTCGTTGTCCTCGTTACGTTGTGGTGATCAGGAGCGACCCTTGTTGGACGTGCTGAAGGATCCCGCTGTTGGAACGGCCGAAGACAAGCTGCGGCTCTTCTTGATCTTCTATCTGTCCTCGACAGATCTTCGCGACGCCGAGATTGCCGATTACGAGCGTGCGCTGCAAGAAGCTGGTGCCGATCTGTCCGCTGTAGCGAGCATCAAACGGTATGGTGTTGCTCGATGGTTGTGTCATTGGCTTTTGTTTCTTTCCGATTCTTTTCTTTTTCGTTGTTTTATCGTCATTTGGTCGATTGCGTGTTTGCTCATCATCATCGCGACCCATGCGATTTTGCAGGCTTCGCGCATTCAACCGCATGTCGACCATGCAGCAGTCAAACTCCTCTGCTGGAGGCGTGCTGTCGCGCATGACCTTTAAGGATTTCAACAAGGTAATGGGTGCTGGCTTTGGCGTTTCTTGTCTGCCGGCGATTGGCATGCGCAGCTGTCTCATCCTTTTTCTCTCTGTATTGCTTGTAGGTGTTGGAACATGGCTCGGAGTTGTTCAAGCAGGGTGTCAAGAATCTCTTGCCCACGAAACAGACGCTCCCCGTGACTCGCATTGTTGAGAGCATCATGGAGGCCAAGAGTGGAGCTGACGAGTTCCGCTTTTTCGACCCGAAAGCGTCGTCCGCTGCAATGGCTGGGCAGCTGGCCACGGCAAAGTCCAAGGCAACCTTCCAGGAAGCGGTTGTGTTTGTCGTCGGTGGTGGCTCGTTTGTCGAGCTGCAAAACCTCCAGGAGTATGCCAAGGTACAGCGCTTTTGGCAAGAATTGTGATTTGTTTTGTTGTTCCTCCGCTCACTTGTTGCCATTTTTTTGTTTGTTTGTTTGTTTGTTTGCCCTGACTTTGCAGAAGCAAGTTCCGATGCCTCGCCGGATCACCTACGGTGCGACTGAACTGCTCAACGCCAAACAATTCCTCGCACAGCTGGACGCATTGGGCAAGAAGGGTTAAATCCGTTCTTTGAATGCTGTGGTGTTGAAACGATATCTTATTACAACTGTGTTTTTGGTGCTAGTCGTATTGAAATCATCCAGTTGTATTATACCTTGACACAAAAAAACGACACGCACACACACGCACAGAGCCAAAAAGGAAAAAGGAAAAGAAATGGTTGCTGCTCTCCAGGAGCACTGGTCACAGGAACAAATCGAGAATCAAAACATTGGGGAACATGGTTTGGAGGGGGGGGGGCTATGGACTTTGCAAAAGTCGCGCCATAGCATGGCAAACCCGGGCGATATGACAATCACCCCCAGAAATGACAAGCACAAAACAAAGGGATCAGCGGAAAGACAACGACGAAGAAGAAGAAAAAATACAAAAGAAGAAGAAACAGGTCATGCAGAAAGCCAAAACGGAAGACAAAAAGTAACTAACAAAAAAAAAAAAAACTCGAAATGAGTTTAAAAATTAAGAGTAGGCAACGGTGGTGCGCAGCAGGGTGGTGGGCTCGGATTCCGAGCGAGCAAAGCTGCCAAACACGGGCAAACGGGAGTGGCCCTCAACAGTGTACTTGCGGAAGGGCGACCAGAACCGTGTGCTCATGAACGAGACAAACAGGACAATGCCGACGCCGAGAAGGCCGTCCACGCCGTAGTGGTGGTTTGAGTACATGGCAGCCCAGAAAATCCAGATGACGTGGAGCAGGCCGACGCGGAAGGACACCCAGGGACCACAGGCAAGGACAGTCATGGGCCATCCGACGTGCAGGGATGGGAAGGCGCCAAATTTGAGCGGTGACTGGGCGTAAATGTTGTGGAAGAGTGGGTAGTGAATCAGGGCGTCGACACGCGTAAAGCCGGCCTCTGCTGGGCCGACATCGAGCAGCTCGCCCTTCGAGTCGAACACGGCCGAGTCGGTAAACCATGGCGGCGCGGTGGGGAAGAAGAATTGAAAGCCGACCGCAATGAAATTGACCCAGCCGAAAATCCACAAAAAGGAGAAAATGTCGCGGCGGCGGCGCGGCGTCACGTACAGGTAGACAATGAACAGCGCAGGCAGCAAGAAGTGGATCAGGTACGGAATGGCAGCCAGAATGTCAAACAAGGGGTTGGCAAACCGCGCGAGAATGCGGTGCGGCAAGCACTGGAAGACGAGCTGCTCCAGCCAGGGCAAAAAGGTCATGTTGGGCTCAATCAGCTCGTCCAGGCCTGTTGCGTGGCGCAGAAAGACATAGTTCTTAAAGACCACCAGGTAGGCAATGAACGGCGAGGCCGACAGCAGCAGCTTTCGCGCTGGGAAGTGCGACAGGCGTTCAAAGATTTGGTCCTATGGATTTTGAAAGATTTCGAAAAAGAGGTGAGGTGCAATGGTACCAACACACCCACACGCAAACCAACAAAAAAAAACGAAGGGTGAGGTGAAGTTGTGGTCGAGTACAACAACAGCAACAACAACGCCGAAACGCCGAACGCCGAAATTACAACAAAGAAAAACCACAACAACCCCCCTTGGTTCTGCTGCTTTCCCCACTCGCTCCAACAAGCCCAGCCCAGCCAAGCAAGTAGGCAACAATCAAAACAGCGAGCTCACCTTCTGGCTTTCAAAGAAGATGATGGCGGCCTCGCGAAGTGCGGAAGTGAAGCGGACCCACGCCGCAGCGACCTGGTTTCCAAAGCAGACAAAAGATTTTTGATTTTGACAGTGAGTTACAAAAAAAATTGACAGCGGCGAGCAGCTGGGTGATTGATAATGATGATTCAAAGCACAAGATGTAGAGAGAGAGAGAGAGAGAGAGAGAGAGAGAGAAGAGAGAGAGTGCTGCCTCGGAGAGGAGGGGGAGGGGAAGGGGTCGTTCCCTCTACACCGTCATCGCCGCTCAGTTTTTGTCGCGTTGCGCCACAAAACCAAGTCCCGCTCTGCATTCAGAGGCCAGTTCATGAAGACGGCTATTCGGTACAAATATACATCCACATGTATGCATGTATGCTGGATGGTATTTGCTCGCGTGAGTCACACAAAACCGAACGACTCTTTGGGAGAAGCTTCGCCGCGACCCTTTTTCTTTTTTTTTTTTTTTCTTTTTTTTTCACTTCGTTTTGTTGCGTTCGCTCCACGCTCTCTCTCGCGTTGAACACTCGATGCCATGCTTAGTCTAACTCTGTTCCACTCTGTTCTACTCTGTTCAGCACACAATGTGTTTGCTTTGGCTTGGCTTGGGACCTTCAAATTGCGTTCACTCAAAGCAATTTTCCATTGGCTCGGCCGCACGAGGGATGAATCGCCAGCCACTCATTGAACGGGGTCAGACTTACACGCGACGACTGCTTTGCCACCGAGCCGAGCGTGACCATGCTATGCAATTGCTGCTGCTGCTGTTGTTGCTGCTGTTGCTGCTGCTGCTGCTGCTGCTGTTGCTGATGGAGCAAGTGCTGCTGGTGCAAAAGCATTGCCGAAGAAGAAGCACTGCCACCGCTCGCCGCATCCAGATGAGCACCGCCAGCCACAGCCGCGCCGGCCATAGCGGAGCTTGCGGACGACGCATCCTTGCTGTTGCTGTTGCTGCCGAGGCCGAGCGGCGATGGCTGGTGGTGATGGGGATGATGATGCCCGCGCGCACCGCCACCGCTGCCCTCGTTCAGCATTGCGGGCAGCGAGTGATTGCGCCCGATGCCGCCTCCAGCCCCAGCACCAGCACCAGCACTCGCGAGACTGCTAACGGCGGCAGCATGGGAGGCGCCAGCAGCAGCTGCAGACTCGCCAGAGCCAATGAAGGACAAGCGAGAACTGAACATTTTTTAAAAAGAGAAAAAAAAAAAAAAAAAAAAAAAGAACTGAAACAAAACAAAAAAATAAAATAAAAAAATAACGTTTTTGGATTGAAAATGTCAACGCAAACAAAGGCTGTGAACACAACAACAACGAGTCACACCAGCACCATTCAATGGCCTTGGACGAAAAGGAAAATGGACGAAAATCTCGAAATCGTGATTGTTCTGTGCATTGAGAGACAAGAATGATGGAGTTTCAGCCCGTTTCGGTCACGGCTGAACTACTGTAGACCCCCGGCGATTGTTGTCACTACTCTCTGATGAATAAACATCGGCAGAGTGCTGAGTGCTTCAGCAATTTCGTGATGGCGCTCCAGCCCTATTTAAGCGCTTGCCGTTCAGTCAGTTTCCATTCGGCTTTCCTTTTTTTTTTTTTTTTTTTTTTCATTTTTGTCTTTGTCTTTTTCGTCTCTGCCTCCGGTTCTCCCCCCCCCCTTTGCTCTCGAATGGCGCTTCAGCTACAGCCTCCATCTCAGAATGAGAACTACGAAGACTACCTGCGGACATCGGTCGTCCAACCAGTGCTCCAGTACGACACTTTCCTTTTTTTTTTTTTTTAACTGCTTTTTTTTTTTTTTTTTGGTTCCTTTCTTGCCCTGTCCTTGCTGTGTCGCCATTCCCGTCGCTGCAAGGAAGCGGGTTGGACCTGCGTGGATCTGGTCTCGTTGGGTCCCACGTCGAGCGAGCACTGCAACTGCGCCGATGCTGCGGCTCTTTGCTCTTTGCACCAGACCACGCTTCCCCTCTTTTTTTTTTTTTTTTCCCTTTTTTCTTTTTTCTTTGCTTTCCATCGTCGCCATCCATCGCACTCGCTGGAGCTGTGCCCCAGAGTTTTCATCGATGAACTTTATCGTCGCTCAATCGCGTGATTCATGGTCTTGGCTGGCGGTGGCTTGGATCCGAAACGATGACCTCACTTTGTCGACTCTGACAAAAAAAAAAAAAAAAAAAAAAACACAGAAACGTTGTCTCAACAGCCAACCTCGGCGTAACATTGGATCTCAAGACCATCACGATGCAAGCACGCAATGCAGAATACAATCCTAAGGTAGGGGCTTCTGGACGACAGGAGCTGCAGAGAGACAAAATCAGGTGCATTGTTGGTGCTCACCTCGCATCTCCACCGTTGGTTGTTTCAACGTTGCTGCAGCGTTTCGCCGCCGTTATTATGCGCATCCGCGAACCCAAGACGACTGCATTGATTTTTGCGTCGGGCAAGATGGTATGCACGGGTGCAAAGAGCGAGCACGACTCAAGGTAGGCTACTTCTTTTTTCGAAAGCGCGAGCGCCTGATTTCAACATCAATCGCATGCATCCCGACCGGTTTCGGTTGCATTCTGTTTTCATTGCATGTGGATTTTGCTATCTCTGGCTTGGTGGTCTCCTCACTTGTGTGTTGTCGACGCACAACAGAGAGGCGGCACGGAAGTTTGCCAAAATCATCCAAAAAGTGGGCTATAAGAACGCCAAGTTCCTCGATTTCAAAATCCAAAACATGGTAGCAAGCTGCGATGTCAAGTTTCCCATTCGACTGGAAGGCTTGGTCCTCGGCCACTCTACTTTTGCTAGCTACGAGCCCGAAATTTTCCCGGGTCTTGTTTATCACATGGTTTCGCCAAAGGTGGTCCTGTTGATCTTTGTATCAGGCAAGGTTGTCCTGACTGGTGCCAAGGTATGTTGTGTTGGTTGAGTGTGTGTCGCAGATGGAGCAGCCAGCGATGAGCTCACCTTGTGTTTGTTTGTGCCTTTTTTGGTGGTGGCTTTTCCTCCACTTTCCCTGCAAACAGGAAAAGGAGCAAATTACAACTGCATTCAACAACATTTATGCTGTATTGAAAGAGTACAAGAAGGATGTGCCTCAATTGCAACAAGCTTGAGCGACCTCGATTGTATTTGGTTTGACGACATGATGAAGCGGCGTTTTGCGACGGCCTGAGGCTTTGTCGTGGCTGGCGCGTGCAATACCCCTGTTGGTTGTGTGCGCTACTTTGTAATTTTAAAATCCGATTTCCACATGAACGATTCTCACACGCTCAGAACAATGTGATGACGCGATTGGTCAGTCTTTGTTTTTTTCAGTATTGGAGGCTTCACTCCCTCGGAACCCTGTATTATTTATTCGTTCCAACCCAGTACAGCTTATTCTCAGACTACAGCTAAAACGAACAGCCGCATCGTTTGAGCAAAGGCCAAAGGGCAATGCAGCAAATCTTTCCTTCTTCCAGTCCAAAGCCGGGCGCCACGCGACTCTCAGACGCCTTCTCCGACCGCGACTATGTCGAACCAGGCCCTCTCTCGCGCGGCATGATGGCGTCGCTCGTTGCCCCGTCCGGCGAGTACAGCTACGCCAGCAGCGGCAGCAGCAGCAGCAATGGCAATACTAGCTGTGTTCCACTGCTTTTCTGGCCGAGCTCGGCCCCGGCGTCAGCAGCAGTGTCTTCCGCCCCGCTGCTCCACCCCAGCAGCACTAGCTTCCTTGCCTCCAATTCCAGCACTCTTGCAGACGGACACTCGCCTGGCGACCTTCCAAGGCAAGTGAAAGCCATTCAAAAAAAAAAAAAAAAAAAAACGTTCTGGTTCGCGAGAATGGACGAAAAGTTCCGTGCTTTCAAACCCCACTCTTGACAAACACCTGGAAAAGACAAAGGCTGGTTGGGAATGAGAGGCAGAAGTGGAAGAAGGAGAAGGGGGGGGAAAGAGCGACAGAGTGACAGAGAACAGCATACTAGCGTTGTTTTTGGCTGTGTTTTAGCTTGTTCGTCTTTGGTTTGTTCGGTCTTGGCTGCGTTTTTGGCGCGCAAAACGGCCCTTTCCTTGTCTCTTAAGCTGTTGTTGACTTGACTTTGTGTTATGTTTGCTTTGTTGCTTTTCTCCAGAAATTTCGCGCTTCGAAAACGACGCTTCAACGACGACGACGACGATCACAATTATCAGATGCATGGCACTGATGGTGGCGATGGTGGTGATGGCGATGACCACAATTGCTACGGCGAGATGGCACCTCGAAAGCGCGTCGCGCTCGCCTCGGACGACGAGGACAAGGTATTTGGAGCCGATTCGGGATGGCGACCGACTCATCTGGCTGCAGCCAATCGCGAGACGCTCGGACAGTGTGACGCGGGCAACTCGAGCAGCTTCATTCTGGACGATCAAGGCCAAGCACTGCCGGCCCCGTGGCCGCACTCGTTGTCGGCGTCATCGGCCGTGTTATTGGAATCGAGTTCGCTTGAGCTCCCACAACCGGGCTACATTGTCGAGTCAGTCGGTCAGACAGCCCTGCGCACGCTCGATCCGACACAAGCACAAGCGGTCTCGGAAATAGCCGAAACCAGCGCTTCTCAGCACGACCAGCAGCTGCAACAGCCTCGATTGGTCCTTTCCACAACCTCTGACTCTCACTCGCAAACCGCTCCACTCGAGCCGTTCCAACTACCAGCCGGCTTTGCGCTTGGCGAGGGCGACTCGGCTGCGCTCTCCAACAGCTCGTACTCGTCCATCAACAAGCTTTTGGGCCAGCTTCATCTCAGCCGCAAGTCCACTCTGCGGTGAGGAAGGATTCACCGCCAACCCTGCCAGCTCGTTCACCTGTTGCTTTGTAGTGATGGTCTGCTTCAAGATTGCCTTTGTTTTTTTTCTTTTTGTCCTGTACCATCACTGTACTGCACTGTACCTTGTTTATTTGCCTTGTACCATACATACACGTTTCATATTGTTGCCACGTCTGTTTGGTTTTGCACATGCCCGTCGTCGCACGCACTCCTGCGCGTGTGAACATTTTCCACACTATACAATCTCAGTCTCTGAGTTTTTTGAATTCACTCCTTCTTTTCTTTTCTTTTTTGTGTTTGTCAACTATCTCAGTTTCGGATGAGCTTTCTGTTTGGTCGCAAAAAGCCGGATCAGCCGCCAGTCGCCGAGGTCCGCAGCGGCGCCAACAACCCCGGAGCGCAACCGCAATCGCCTGCATCGGCAGCAGCCAGCCCGGCAGGACCCGCGCCGGGGATGCCCCGCGCCAAGGCCAGCGCAGCGGTTGGTTCGACAGCGGCAGGCGTCAGCGACGACAGCCAGCACCGACCACCAGCGCCACGCACCAGTGTCATGTCGCCGCAGGGTGTACCCGGTACACCCACGAACGGCAGCGCGCATCCTGGCCCGGCGACCCCGCGCGGATCGCTGTTTGGCGGCATGAGCGTCAAGTCGGCTGCGAGCAGTCCCATTGCCGCAGCGACCGGCCGCTCGCACCCAGCTCCGTCCGACGGCCCGTCAGCAACAGTGACGTCGGGCGTGCTGTCGTCGCACAGTGCCCAGCAGCCGGACGAGCAGCATCAGCACCAGCAGTCGGGTTCCGGTAAGCAGGGGGTCGCTGAGAACCGCAGATCAACCTTGCTCAGACAGCAAAGGTGCTTGTTCTTGGGAATTAAGGTGGTCGATATCTCACCTCTTGTTTCATTGTTTCCCTTTGTTTCTGAATTGCAGGATTCTCGTTCATTCAGGATGGCGCTCAAGAGGAAGACGATCTGACCTCAGCTCATGACGCGCCTGCCGATGCTGGACCGAGCGCTTTTGGATTTATTACTGCAGATGACAATGCGTCATCGGATGACATTGGCGACGAACTTGCGCCAGAAGAGGCCGGTGCCGCATTGCCGAGCGACTCTTCGTCGAATCTTGCGGACGGTACTTTGGGCTCGTCGTTCGGGTTTATCAACAACGCGCCTGCTGACGAAAGTGCTAAAGTCGCAGAAGCTGTTGCTCCGATCGTCGCTTCAATCACTCCTACTCCTGCAGTAGCTGACGTTGCAGTGCCGCAGACACCTGCGGCGGTGACAACAGCCCGACCTCCACTGACCAATGTTGTCGACAGCTCTCCGCATTTGGTCGCCACGGCTCCCGACACTCCCCCTGCTGTTGGAGGTGCTGCTGGCGAGAAGAAAAAGAAGAAACGCCTGGCTGTACGACCTGGGCATGCGCGTGACGACGATGAGGACGAGCCCAGCGCCATCGTTTCTGCTGCTCCAGCCTCGCCAAACGTCCAGAGCGCGGCAGCCCCTGTGGAGACTCCTGTTGCCACTCCCGCTCCGGCGTCCATCAGCGTCAAGCCAGACGTAGCTGATGCAATCAAGCCTGCCACTGCAGATTCGCCCGTAAGCCACGCGAAACCGCAGCCCATCAGCGCCCCAGCCGTAGATGTGTCTGTTCCAGCCCGTCATGCGCCTACGGTACCCCAGTCTCCGCCGGCACAAGCCGCGCCGCAGTCCCCGCCTGTTTTGCAAAGCACCGAGCCACCAAAGGCCACCCTGGCCGCGCAGCCAACTGCAGCGCAACAGGCCATAGCCGACAAGTTGAACGAGCTCGCTGCCTCGCGGCAAGCCCTCGACAACGAGCAGCAGAAGATTGTCGCCGAGCAAAACGCCACCTTTAGCCAGCTGATTGCCTGCCGACAGGTTATCGCCGAAACCGAGGCAGCGCAAGCCAACTCGATCGCCGACGAGGCGTTCGACATTGCCGAGGAGCTCAATGCGAAAATCGAGGCACTGCGGGTTGAGGCCACGGCGTTGCGACGTCGCCTCCCTGAGCTGCATGGCGATTTGCGCGACGTGCTCACACGCCGAGTAAGTTCCACTGACGGAGACGGGGGGGGCCTTTCTTTGTGTTTAATGTGTTTGATGTGCTTTCAGCGGAACCCTCACCAAAATCACCCTTATTCTCACTGTGTGTGTGTCCCTTGCAGGTCGAGCTCGGCGTTGCTGAAGCTGCAATTCGGCAAGAAACCATCAATGTCCATGCAACTGCAGTGGAAGCGGAGGAAGCCTCCTTCCAGTCATTCCGTCAAGAGCAAGACCGCAAGACAACTAAAATGCGTCATCGCATTGCTAGCGAGCGAGAACGGATTGCCAGAGGACTGAGTCACGTCCAGCTGGACACTGAGCACGTCGAGCGACGCGAAGCCGAACTCGACACGACGCTGGCAGAGCAGACCGCCGACCTGACAGACCGCCTTGCAGAGCTGCAGACCTCCAAAGACCGTGTTCGCAACGAAATTCGTGCATTGATGGCCCAGGTGGCTGCGCTGCAACAGGAAGAGAACGAGGTCAGCTCCGCGATGGCCATCGAGCAAGGCAAGATTGACGCAGTGCGCGACACGCTGCATGAAGAGCGCGCACGTCTCGAGCAAGATCGACAGCGCATTGCTGAAGAAAAGGCCAAGCATGCGACAGAGATGGAGCAAGTCTCTCAGGAGCATGCTGCCTACGAAGCGTTGGTGGCCTCAGTTGAAGAGGAGTCGTCCGTGCGCAAGAGCAAGCTGGCTGCTGCCAAGACGCAGGTGTCTCTCGGGCGGTCTGACCTGCTCCACCTCGAGAAAGAGAATCGTGCCATGGCCGATTTTGTCAATGAAAGCAAGGAACGGGCGACTCAACGATTCCGCAGCGAAGAAGAGCTAGATCGGTATGTTTTTTTAGCTTGTGTGTGCTTGAGGGGAACTGGAGACTCTTGTTGTTGTCATCGTGGTGTGGCTCTCATTGCTGGGTGATGGGTGTGTTTTTTCTTTGTGCTTTTGTCCGTTTTCCTGCATCATTTGTCTAGTCTTGCTCTCAAAACAAAATCGCAAGAAAAGGAGGTCAAGGACATTACCGCCAAGTTGTTGGCACTTCAAGCGCAGGCCTCGCAGCTGAAGAAGGCGATTCAAAATGCAGACGAGAGGCTGCCTGAGCTCGACGAGGAGAAGAAGATTGCTGTTGCAGGTCGGTTTTGGTTTTAGACGGGGGGGAAAAGAAAAAACGGGTTGCGGTCGTCAATCTAACCTTTTTTTTTTGTTTTCCCCTTCTGAACACAATCACAGGTCGCTTCTTCAAGGATGCCAGCCGTATTACTGCCGATATTAAAGCCAAAACACAAGAACGCGCCACTGCAGTGGAAGAAAGCGAGCGAGTCAAACAAGAAATCGATGCTCTTTCTGTGACGCTGCAACAAAACAAGCAGGATTGGGAGGCGTCGACTGCGGATTTGACTTCGCGATTGTCCCTTGTTGGTACGGTTTAGCGTGCGATCATGGGTGGATTTCGGGAGGAGGTTGTTTGTAGGTTTGACATTTTTCCATCGTCCAACACTCTGTAGATAAGGACCGCTTGGCATCGTCACTGACAACATTCGAGGTGCTCAAGTCCCAGTTTATCAGGCATGTCGCCGCTGCTGAGATATGACGATTGTTGAGCCTACAGACCAATAACAGTTAACTCACTTTTTTTTTTGCTCACAATAGCGCAAAGCGTGATCGTCAAGAAACCCTGGCTCGCCTGATTGCTGCAGAGGTGGGAGCATGCCGTGCAGAAGTGCAAGAGCTTGCTCATAAGCTTGGCGACACTGGAGCGTCTGCTGGAGCCGCAATCGACGACGCCTTCCTGCACGAATCTTACGTTCCAGTTTCCGCGGCCACCGCGCCTGCGACCCCTGCCGCCTCATCGTCCTTGGATGCTGCGGAAACCCTCGAGCTGTCAGCCGTCTCGGAAGACCTGCTTGGGCAGCCTAGCGACAACCAGGAGTCTTTGACCGAGCCCATCTCGGCATCATCTGCGGAGCTTGCAGTTTCAGATTCTATTGATGGTGATGATGAAGAAGGTCTCGTCAAGGAAGAAGCAGATGATGTCACTGCGGAGCCGTCGGCCGGTGAGTATCGTTCAAAGCGCGAGTGCTTGTATGTTTTGTGACAACATGCTCAATGTGATGAACTCGCCATTTTCGGTAGGTCCTGCTTTTTCGTTCATTTCCGAACCACCTGTAGAGGACAGCACCGATGCACCCGTCGAGTCCTCCACCTCGGAGACGAACGCGGCAGTCAACCTTGCAGATGCCACCATCGATGACTCAACCACAGATGCCGCTGCCGCCGAGTCCAATCCAACCCTTTCGACAACTGACCATGCTGAACCAGCGGCAGTGGAGGTGGATGGAACGGGTGAGGTTGAGGCTGATGCTGATGCTGCTGCTGCTGCTGCTGCTGCTGCTGCTGCTGCTGCTGCTGATGTTGCTGCTAATGCAGCCGCGGCGCTGCTCGCAAAGCGCACTGCCATTGAGGAGCAAATTGCAACTCTTGAAGCTCAAGTCGAAACTGCCGTGGCGGAGGAAAACTTTGAGCGTGCAGGTAAGTGTGTGACCGGATGGACTGGAGATGAGGTTGTCTCGTCGTGCACTCACCAAGATTTATTTCTTGTCTCCCCTTTTGCTTGGTCCTGCTCCAGCGGAATGCGATGATGACATTACCAAGCTGCGAGCCGAGCTGGATGCGTTGGCATAACCAAGTCTGATTGCCTTCTTCTGATTGTTTGATTTTCCAACATTGACTATGTAATACTTGCCCTCCCCTTTCGTTGGGGTGTGTATGTGTTTCTTCGCTGAATACATCCCACATCCACTTCACTCTACTACAGTCATTGCAGTCCATTTCTTCTTTGCTCAGACGGTCACAACATGGTCTTGTTCCAGCTGCGTTCGCTCGACGCTGTCGGCTTTGATCTCGACCACTGCGTCATCAAGTACCGCCTCCCGCCCACCAACAAGGCATGCTGTTGCTGTTTGCCGATACACCCTTATTCAACCTGTCATTGTATGGCGCCAACTGTCCAAACTCACTGTTCCACCTGTAGCTGATTCACGACGCGATTGTCGCCTTCCTGACTTCGCTCCACAACGACGTCGCTCGTGCCAATGCCGAGTCTGCGCGAGACAACCTGGCCAGTGCAGATCTGATGAGCGGTGGCGACGGACTGTCCGCCTCCTCTGCCACTGCAACTGCAATGGATGTCTCGCGCTCGTCGTCCAGAGACCGCGCATTGCTGTCGACAGCCGCGCTGCAAGGACTCTATGAGGACGCTGCGTACCTTGCCGAGTTTGACGAGACATTTGGCATCAAGGGCTTGGTGTTTGAAATGCCAACGGGAAATCTGCTCACCGTCGACGAGACGGGCTGCATTGTCAAGTAAGCGTCGTGCAAGTACCGGGCTTTGTTGGGTTTGTTTCGGCTACGGAGCAAGCGATCGTGCGTTGCGTTGCATTGGATATGAAGAGGATGCTCACAATCATGATTCTGTGCCATGTCGGATTTCCCATTCCATTGGCAGGTGCTTCCATGGAACACGACAAATGACCGTTGCAGAGATTGAAACGACCTATGGCGGACGTCAATGGCACGACTTCCCAGCGCTCAAAAGCTTTGCACGACAAGGTGCAGTGTTCTCATGAGATCGAAAGGGGGACAGAGAGAGAGAGCGAGAGAGATGTGTGCTCGATTTTCCACAGCCGCCTCACTTTGCAACGCTCAATTCCTCAGATCGGTTTGTTCACTTGAGCACCTACTTTAATGCCCCTGTGGCCTATCTATGTGCACGCCTTGTGGATCTTTGCGACACGCGGCAAATCGAGTACTCGTTCTGGAGCGACATCTGGGCTGGGTTCAACTTTATGTTCACTCCATCCGCGTTTGCCTGTGCGTAGTTTGACGACGTGTGCAGCACTGTCAACTCTTGCGTCGCTCCATCTTTTTTGTTGAGCTGATCATGAAAATTCTTGGTATCGCACAGCGCGCCAGGGCCACTTTTTCTCCGCGCTGATTGACGAGACAGAGAAATACGTTTACAAACGGGACGATGTCCGAGTGCTTCTGAGCCGACTACGGGAAGCCAACATTATGACGTTTTTGCTCACCAACTCCCATGCCGACTATACCAATCTTCTGCTTAACTTTGCGATCGGGTAACAACTCCCAAGCGTCGTTTTTTCTTGCTCGATTCTGTTGCTGGCGGCTCAAACCGTGTGCTCCACAGATCGGACTGGCGCTCGCTCTTCACTCTCGTCATTGTCAATGGCGAAAAGCCGTCCTTCTTTGAGGCGACCAACAAGCCATTCCGAGTGATTGGTACAAGGCTGCAGACTTTTTTTTTTTTTTGCTTTGGTTCCAAATTCTGCTTCAAATCTCTCAACCCTTCCCCCCTCCCTCCGCATTTTGCAGACGATGCCACCTTGCAGCTCGAGACGATGGACTCGCGACCGCTGGCCATTGACGGGCGCATTTACTCTGGCGGCTGTGTTTCGCTCCTTGAACCAGTGCTGCGTCAATATCGCGTTGCCCAACTGGCCGAGCGAGGGCTACCAACATGCGCACCGGAAGCCTATCCATTCAGAGCGGCCTACGTCGGTGATAACATTCACTCGGACATTGTTGTGGTGCATAGCAACACGTCTTGGTTTACGATCGCGGTCGTCGAAGAGATGAATGACGATGACCTGCTTGATCTGGGCGACTCGGTGGTGCCGCAGCGGTCCTTGTTGTTCTCGAGTCAAGCGGTGAGCACTCGCAGCCGCCGCCGCTTGGAGGAATCTCCGCTCCAGTCCAGCAGCTCGGACGACTCCGAGTCACCGGCGCCTCGGGCTGAAATGCGAGCCCTCACCATCCAACCCTCAGGCAATGCAAGCCCGATCGTGCATCACAACTTGCTGCAGGTACCTGTTGAGCACGTCATCCCGCGATCCATGAGTGACACTCTACTGCAAGTTAGTGCGCCTGCATCTGCGCTGTCCGTGCAGACCGTTTCGACGCCCACCAAGCGACCCCGGATGGAGCCGTTCAACACCCATGCGAGCGCCATCGACTCTTCGATGCATCTCGTGGATGCACCTCCCCTCGTCCAGGTGACGGCCTCGATGCAGTTCCCGTTCGGCCGCGGCTACCTCCGCCGCTTTACGCAGCGCTGGGGCTCGTTCTTCCTCGCTGGCACCCCGGGCCTCGACAGCGACACGCCTCTGTTGACGCATTTGGGCCGCGTCATTGTTGAGCACAGCTCTGTGGTTGTTCCCTGCATTACGTTTCTTTCGAAGGCGGGCTTGGACTACACCCTCGGCGCTCGCGACGACGATTTCACGACCGTCTTCCAGGGGCATGTTCCTCAAGTGCTGCGTCGCTTCAGTCCGTCTGCATCACGAACCGCGCTTGACGAGCTCGAGTCGAGATCAGCGGCCGCCCAACCGATGCAATTGTAACCATTTTCAACGGCGCAGATTTCTACCGAAAGATGGATGCGCTACAACACTATGCAGTTCCCATGTTTTTAAAAAAAAAAAGAAAGAAAAAAGTAAAACGATTTATAATTAATGGCACAACAATCTGAGCACCATGACATCACTGCGGTTGCGTGGACCCTCCCGTCTTTCCCCGCCGTTGACGCAGTACAGATCCGTCGGATGGCTTTGAGGGTTCAGTGGCCGCAGCAGACGACGCTGGTGCAGCAGCCGTAGATCGCGGCTTGGATTCAGTCGCAGCGGCAGCGGGAGCGCGGCTGCCAGAGAACAGTCGCTTGCACGCTCGCCAAACAAAGCGAATGGGCCGATAGACAAGGTTGTACACAATCACCACAAGCAGAATGTCCAGCAGGTAGGGGAAGAGGATGAAAAAGACCCGCATTGCATGCGTGCGCATCGAGACGTGCTGATCAAACACACCATGCCACGTCGAAGTCACGCGGGTTGCTCCATTCTCGTCGACCGTCTCATTCAATTGGATCACGGCGTAGTTGCGGTCGGGGTTACTCTCGTGGTGCGAGACCATCCAGTTGCGAATAACATAGCTCGAGTGGCGCTTGGCAAGAGCAAAGAAGGCAAACAAGCCTTTGTGGTCAAGGGCTGTGGATCCGCGCGTCAGTCCCGAAGCGGTGATTTGGGGCATGCACTCTGGCTCGGTGCCTGCAATCAGATACATGAACTGCGGGAGGTACGGCTTGAGCGGCGGAGCAAGCCAAGTCACGGCGTACGCTGCATCGACAATCCGGCGGACCAACCACGTCTGCGCGGGATCGGACAGCTCGGGGACGCGGCAGAGGCTGCACGAAGTGTAGTGATGGACGTCGCCACCGACAAGGGTGACTTTGTCGTGGTGGGGTCGCAACACTTCGAGCACAGCCATGGCGCCCTCAATGTTGTCTGCATGCGCCGGCGTGCGGTCCCCATCCACTCGGAAGGCCAGCACGGCCATGAGCTCGGAAAAGTACGCCAGTGGCACGCTCGAGAACACGACAATGTGATCGACGGGTGGTACAGTGGCAGCAGCCGCAGGCTTCTGGCTGGACTGGGCTGCTGCAATGGCGGCGGCTGCATCCTTGGAGTACTGCTTGAGGACGGCCTCGAGCTTTTCGGCAGCCGCAAAACTGCCCTTGATCTTGATCTTTCCGTTGCGGAACGCCTTTTGCGCCTGCAGCTTGCCCGAGCCCAGTGCAACAAAGTCCTCGTCAGAGAGCGTGAAGGTGGTGTTTGGGCTTGCTGCAACCGCACCCTTCACCACAGAGCCAGCACCATTCTTGAGATCGACCGTCCAGTGCATGACTTCCGTGCCGAGCTTGGTAACGTTGAATTGGAAGATGGCGTTCACTTGCTTGACCACCTCCGGGTGTTCGGGAATGCGGCGCGCCAGCTCGTTCATGAGCACCGTCGAGAGAAGTTCCTCTGTTGTCGCAGCGTCGGGGCCGGCAGTCCATGCGGCAATTTGCTTTTGGAAGGCGTCAAACTGCACCGCGTCGAGCAGATCAAGCCGTTTTGGCGGTTCGCCAAGATCAATCTCACTGTTTGCGAGCGATCGTGCGCTGCGTTTGCGCAAGGTGGCCGCCTGCAGGAAAACGTTGCGGAGTCGAATGTCAATCATCATCAGGCCAATGTTGCCGACACGGCGGAAATGCCAGAGCTTGTCTTGCGTGTCGAGTGTCTGGTGAGCAATGTCGCCCATAAGTTGGTACTGGTACTCGTACAGGACGCGCCGGCCGGCATAGTAGACGCGCGACAGGTCGTTGCGAATGTCGCCCGTCAGATCGGTCTCCATGTGTGCAAAGTCAAAGTTGTTGTTAATGTCGTGGTCATCCGGCAGCATCCAGTGCGCGCCGCGGCGAAGGAAGGACTGCGCGGCAGTGTGCGACCAGGTGATTCGGTACACGTTTCGGAAGGCCTCGACAAGCTCGTCATGCGTGAGCTCGCCTTCGTAGGACTGCTCCAGTTGCGCCCGGTACGCACGCACCACGGCATCTGCATACACTTGATCGCCCATATGCACGGTCAGATCGTGGTCTGTCTGGTTTGCGGCCATCTGTTGCCAGAGCGTGTCGTCGCCGTCCTCAAAGTAGCGATCGCACGAGACTGCCACAATCCTGTAGTTTGTCGGATGCACATCCAGCGTGCGGAAGATGACGCGGTTGGTGCCGTCTGAATGCGCGCACGTCTCATCGAGCTGTCGGCGCGCCTCCGCCTCCGATGGCACAAATGTGCGGCGATCGTCGTCGGGCTCGTTGGTGTCCTTGAAGCACGCGACATACTCCGTCCCGGGCTGCAGCTGGTCAATGACGAGTGCCTTGGCAACATGCTCGACAACGATTGGCTTTGGCTTTGGGTACTGGGCTCCGTTTTGCGGCTGACTCTGACTCTGCTGAGCGTCTGAGCTCGCGGGGGGGAGGTTTGCCGCGGTTGGGCGCACAATGACCTGCATGTGGTGGTGCTCGTTGAGCGTGTTCAGGCCCTCGTACAGCACTCGCGCAGTGGTCTGCGTCACATCGCCAACGACCAGCAGCAGGTCCGATGGGAAGCGCTCGGGTCGCTGGAGCAGCAATGGCAGGCGGATCCACGCCTCGCGCTTGAGGACGGATGCGGACTTGAGCGCGGCTGCCGCTGAGCCCTTCTGCCGCAGCTTGACGACCGGCGCTGGTGAGCTTGCGCCTGCTCTCTGGTGCAGGGTGGCCTGGTTGGCCTGGTTGGCCTGGTTGGCCTGGTTGGGAGACGACGACGACGGGTTTGCCTTGTCCTGTTGCTGTCGCGCTGATGCAGAGACCACCAGCGACGGCGCTGTCAGCAGCAGAAGCAGAACCAGGATGGTAAAGAAGGAGAAGCATGAGGCACGCAGCGGACGAGCTCGACTCGCGCTGGGAGCAGCGGCAGCACTCAGTCCCATTGTTCTGAGAAGAATGGAAAACAAAACGGCTGAGCGTCTGAAGGTAAAAATGTGAGAAAATAAAGAAGAAGACTGATGTATCAAAGAGAACGAGGTCCCAAAGCAGCATTGAGCGAGGACTGGGAGTTTGAGATTGCATTGACAATGCATTTGGTGATCTTGCTCCACTGTGGATTGTTCATTGTGATGCACCCTGTACTGCACTGTACTGTTATAATACAGTATCACACATCCTTATCCTATGCTCATTCCTCTTTTGTTCCACTCAACTCTCAATCGCAATGTCCCAGCCGCAGTCTGCGCGAGGCCGCGTGGATGTCTCTGATCTGCTTGCGCCGTCGCACCACGGCACCTCCGCCAACAGCGACGTCGTCGACACATGGGCCGGCAAAGTACGACGCCCTTTGTTGTTTTGTGTTTTGTGTTTGAGTATGTGTGTGTGTGGATGGAGATGTGCGAAACCCAACGCAGCTCAATGCAGCTCAATGCGTCACCAACTCCGACAACCGAAGCCAACCACCCTCCCCCGGACTTCCAACCGACTCTGAACCGACTTGAATGCTGGGTTTGGTTTTTGACTCTCTTCTTGTATGTGTGGTGCAGGTGACGCGGCTCAAGGCGCTGCACCCGTGGGCAAAGGCGTTTCTCGTTGTCGCCATGCTCGAGATTCTGATTGTCGTCGCACTGACCATCCAGCGCATGGCAATCATCTCGTACCCATTCACGGACGACTCGCGCGCCGACATGACCTACGCGGTCGTGCTGCTCATCAACGCAGGCAAGTCCACACAGTGGGATACTGAGCGAGCAGGATTGAAAAACTAACTGCACACAACTCGCACTTCACACTGAATCAACCTTTTTGGTACTATGGTCGAGCAGTGTTCTCGTGCTATTATGCAGTGCATGGATGCCTGCGTGAACGCAAAACGGAAGTTGCCGCGTTCGTGGTGGCCTCCCTGACCGTGACCATCTACGTTGTCTACCAGTACGCATTCAACCCGCCAAACACGGATCCAGACTACGAATCCAACTGGCACATTTCGCGAGAGATCCGATTCATCCTGATCTGCATCTTTGAGCCGATGGCATTGGCGCTGGCCTTCCTGACCCAGCGCCACTTTGGCTGGGTCGAGTACAAGACGGTCGGCGCAAACGTCGACTACATGCGTGAGTAGCTCCTTTTGAGATTTGCTTTCATTGCTGTGGTCCAGCGTCTCGTGTCATTGGCTCACTGTGCATTTGATACGTTTACAGGGCTGCACCGCGATTACAGCATGTATGTGACCTTCCTCAAGTTTGACATGCAAATCCAACTGAGCCTGGTCGTGCTGAGTCTCTTTTCGCGTCTCGAGCTCGATGCAGAGATGGGCATTGACATGGCCGCGGTGGTTGTGGTCTTGATCACGATGATTGTTGGTTGGTTGGCGGTAAGCAAGTGCTTTGATTCGTGTCCTTTGGATTGTCTTGTTGCATCAAACAATCCTCTCAACCGTTTTGCTTGTTTTGTTTCTTTTGAACATTGATCAAAACACAGGTTCAGTCGGAAAACCGCTCCGCCATGATCTTTGTCGCCATCTCATCCGTCATCACGTTGGCGTACGACGTGTACACCATCTACAAGTTTAGCTCGAGCTCGAACGATGCAAGCTCGTTTGCGCGATACGCCATTTTGGCTGCCGGTGAGCAGCAATTGCTTGCCTTTGTTTGGTGCTTTGGCATCCGCCAGCCCCGCTCACTGAATTGGTTTGTTTTGTTTGTTTGTTTTGTTTGTTTTTGTGCCTTTCACAGCCTCCTTTGCCATCCTGATTCGCCTGGTGCTGTTCTTTTTCATTCGCCGTGTGGTCAGCAACTTTGGTCAGGGTCTCAAGTCCATGCTTCACAAGCGATCACACCACCAGCGCCCAGCGAGCGAGGAGGATCCGTTGATCCGCCCTTCTTATTATTAACTAAAGGCTGAACTCTTTGTTTTCTCGTGCAATAAAGAACATAACGAACACGACGTTCGCATTTTTTGTACGTAATGCTGCTGTATTCTTGGCTTGGGGTTTGCGAAAACAAAGCTCAAAAGCAAGGAAACATTACATGCGGCGAGCAGCCATTGCGGCAGCCAGTGCGCTCGCAAGCGAGTCAAGCGTGGGACCGCCAGGAGGGTGAGTAGCACCACCCGAGCCAGAGCCTGAGCTCGAGCTGGCCGCGGCGCCACCGCTCGACGAGCCGCCAGTCTTTATTGTCAAAACAAAATCCATGAGCTCCAAGTCAACCAACAGAACACAGACACATTCTCTAAAATCTTACCAGAGGACTTGAGCGGTCGTTGGTTTGAACTTTGCGCAACCCGCCCTTGAAATTGGAAATGCTGGAGAGCAAATCGCCGCGGCCAGGCTGGCTCGGAGGTGGGCCGGCTGCTGGCGGAGCCGGAGGTGGAGGTGGGCCACTTGGAGGCATCGGTGGCGCAGCTGGCGGCATCGGCGGCGCAGCTGGCGGCATCGGGGGAGCTGCTGGCGGTGCTGGCGGTGCTGCTGGTGGTGCTGGCGGTGCTGCGGGTGGCGCTGGAGGCGCTGCTGGCGGCATTGGAGGCGCTGCTGGCGGTGCAGGCGGGGCTGGAGGCGGAGAAGGCGGTGCAGCAGGAGGCTCGGCGGGAGGTGCCGGCGGAGGTGCAGGAGGCGCCGCAGGAGGAGTGGGTGGACGAGACGCTTCAGGCTCAGCCTCAGGCTCGGGCTGACGTGCGGTCACAGACTCGCCAGCGTCATCCGAGGCAGATGCAAACGAATCGAACGAGTTGGAACGTGTAAATCCAGCAGCAGTAGCAGCAGCAGCGGCCACAGGCGCAGCGGCAACGGCGCTTGGTTGTTGAGACGAAGTCGGACGGTCCATTTCAATCGCAGTCGAGCCAGCCGGTGCCGCAACCGTGGTAGCGGTACTGGTGGTGGCCATGCTGCTCTCAGAGCCGCGGCCCACGAGCGAGCTCCGCGCGGTCGGGTCGTTGTTGTCGAATTTGCGCAGCGCAGGGAACATCTTACGACCCAGCATCCAGAACAGTTCGAGGAAGAGGAAGAAGAGCGCCAGCAAGCCGGCAGCAACAATCAAAAAGAAAACGACGCCCGAAATGGAGGAAGCAGCCTCGCCAGAGTAAACGCCAATGCCAAAGAGCAAGTCCACATGGATGGAGACGAGCAGGACGATTTCGAGATTGTTCGCCAGCATTGACTTGTACGGAGCAATGCGGCTCTGGAAGACGGACCAGATGAGCAAAAAGAAGCTGGCAGTCAGCGCTTGGTACCGAGGCGAGTTGATCAGGAAGGTAAAGATGATGACGTAGAGCAGCTTTCGCAAGTAGGTGCAAAACATAAACCACTCTGCCCGCTCACGGTAGCGCGAGAGCAGACCCTCAAACTGATCGCGGCGCAACGTGAGGACGGACGGCGTGAAGCCATTCTTCTCCACCTGCTTGATGCGATCCGCATCCGTGTCGCGACCGGCAAATCGCCTGAGCATGATAAACTTCCAGAGAGGAATGCCAATCGAATAGACGGCAATCGCGGTGAGGGCGAGCGCTTGGTTGGTCATCCAGTCACCCTCGTAGCATTGGATGTTGGACGAGCCAATCATGTAGTGGTGGCTGTTGGATCCATCAACGGCCTCGATGCGCTGGCACTGGTACATGGCGAACGCGGCCGCAGTGACAGGCAGGTAGATGAACTCGAGGAAGCAGACAAACGACGAGACGGATCGATCCATGGCAGAAATCATGCTCGGCGTCTTCCACATCCACATGCACTTGAAGCACACACCGAGCAGAATGTACAGCCAAGCGAGACCAAGGAAGATGACGTGCAGAGCGAGGAAGATGAGAGGCAGCGCGAGTGTGATGGCCAGGCCAGTGTAGATGGTGTAGTCGTCGAGCGCGCATTCCGGCATGGCCAGCTGCCAGTTCAGCATGCTGAAGGAGAGAAAGTTCAAAAACCGCATCAGCGTCGAGTCCCAGTCGAGAGGGAAGACGTAGAGCAGCGATGCCAGCTGCAAAAAGTGCAGCAAGATGGGCAACGACGTCGTGCGGCGGTACAGAATGGCGGCAAGGAAGAACGCTAGCCAGGCTACAAACATGAAAAAGCACGCAGCCATAAACCAGCGGTCGGAGCCGCACTCGCGACACTCAAACTGGAGCTGAAAGTAGTCGGGTGCGCACCCGCCGCAAACATAGCCTTCGTACCCGGCCTCGCACACGGTCGGCGCGCTGACGGACAGCGGCGTGCCGCCAGGGCAATGCGAGGCTGTCGGGCAGGCAAAGATGGCCGAGCTGTAGGTGGACAGATTGGCGGGGTTGGTCACGTACGCAGGATAGAGAGCGTAACCCGGTGCGACGAGCGGGAGACTGAGGCCGAGCACGTTGCACTCCGAGCCGACGGTGCATGGGAGGCAGGGAGGCAGGCCATCCGTCCCGTAAAAGCCAACGTCGCAGATGCACTGGTTGGGCGCAAATGTTGTCTGTGCTGCAGACGTGCGAGGCGACGAAAGGGCGCCGTTGACCGAGTGGGCGGGGCAGGCCTGGCAAAAGAGATCGGTTGGGTTGCTCAGATAACTTGTGGAAGGGCAGCTGAACGTTGCTGTAATGTTGAACGGGCCGGAAACCGCCCAGTTGGCAAACGTGACATTCAAGTAGAGCGGCAGGTTGTTTGTATTGGCGTAGGTGAGCAACGAAATGTAGCTCAGGCCGTCCGCGGAAAGCACAGCCGGCTCAGACTTGGCGCTGTAGGATGCCTGCGACGGCGGTGAGACGGTGCTTGACGCATAGATGGTTGCATTGGAGCCTGTGACGACGACGACCGCGACCGTGCCACTGATTCAAGACAAAAAAAAAAAAGGATCAGAAATGTGAGTTGGAGCGCAGGCGGATTGAACACAAGGCGGGTCCTGAATACACAAACCAATCATCCTCTCATTTGGATGCATGTGCATGTGCATGTCTACCATGCACGTCGTCGGGTGAGCGGGGGTGGCGTGACACCTTCCAGCAAACTCTGAGCAAAATTGAGCTGCAGCTCCTCCTCGTCCTTGTCGCACAGTACAAAATAACTCGGAACTCGGATACTTCAGCCCGATTATCTGATCACGATTTTCTTATTCTGATGGAAGTATTTAGTTTTAGTTTTTGGCGCGTTATTTGTGTTTGTTTTGAAGCGTTTTTGTTTGTTTTGGTTTTTCCTTTTTTTTTTTTTTTCTTTTTTTTTTTTTTTTTTTGAATAAAGAACTCGCCTCTTCTTCATCGTTTCGTTCAATTCAAATGGATGGGACGTTTTCACTCTTGTTCTGAAGCCCCGATGCAGATTCGACCAATTGCATGGCAACGTTGAGAACGTTGTCAGTGAAATGAAACCCCCCTCAGTGTGTTTCAGTGAGAGTTGAGAGTTGAGGGGGAGCTTTGCCTTGACGTGGGGAAGACGAGCTCGTTGCTGGTGATCGAGTTTGCGGGAATGCCGTTGTTCAGCGTCAGAGGGGCAGCCACGGCGCACAGTGCGCTGCTCAGGGTTAGAAGGAGCGCAGCTGTGCAGACCATTTGCAAGACGGCGGAGGAGGACAAAGCGGAGGAGGAGCCTGCCATTGCTGCTGCTGCGGTTCCCCCTGAAAAATCCAAACAGAAACCAAAAAAAAAAAAAAAAAAAAAAAAAAAAAAAAAAAAAGACAAAAGACTGAATCAAGAAACGAGAACGAACCTGACAGTCACAGAATGTACGGGGGATTGACGAGGCGTGCGATGTTGTAATCCAGGGTCTAGAAATGCAGACGGAAAAAAAGGGGGGTTGTGGGGGCTTGGAGGGACATCAAAAGCTTGTTCATTGGAAGAAACAAATACACCTCCAAACAACTCCGAACAACTCAAACCCAAACGCTGGACCTCGCAGAGTTAGTATAGCTGCGGGTCATGCGTAACGAGATGAACTCGAATGAGAGGAAGAGGAGGACGAGGTGCTACGCAACAGCACCGTGGGATCAAACTTGCAAACATCCTCGTAGTCGGCTTCGATCGTGCGGCCGCTGTTGGAGCCAGATTCGATTCGGACGCGGGCGCGGTACTTGTCTGGAATGAGCTCCAACATGCGCGCAATACCGCCACGATACTGGCCGTTCACAATGTAGACGGATTGATCAAGAGCGGGAAGCACAGTTTCGAGATGCTGAAACACATAACAACAAAACAAAACAAAAAAAAAAAAGTGAGCCAAATACATCCCCACTTTGCTGCCTCTCCTCGCCCAAACACGACTCAAGTCAGACCGCAGAAACTTCCTTGGAAAACAATAGCCCACCAAAAAACTCATACCTCCTGATCGAGCCGCAAAACATCATCCGAGTCAAGAACCTGGACGTCCGCGACAAACTTGTTGGAGACTGCAACAACGATGCCCTTCTGCTTGTAGTACTGGCCATTGCTCAGCGACTTGTTGATGATGCGCACAACGAGGCCAACCACAATCCAGTTCTCGATGCGCGCGCTCTTGTTGTGCTGCTTGGCCTCTTGTTCGGCCGCCATGATCTCATCGAGAGCAGAAATCTTTCGCTTCTGCGCGCCCGAAGAGGAGGAGGAGGATGAGGATGATCCGTTCGAAGACTCTTTCCGACTTGAACTCGAACTGTCGGACGTTGCGAAAACATTCGAAAAGGAGGACGCCGACGACGCGCCATTTCTGCTGCTGGCGTCACTACTGCCGCCCTTCAGGAGCTCGGACAGGGATGCTGTCTTGGCTGCTGGGGCGGCAATCGGAGCAAATGAAAATTTGAGCTTTTCAGGATCGATTTCCGCCGGCTCGGCGGACGTGCTGTCTGGATTTGCGGCAATTTCACTCTCGCGCTTGGCCTGGGCTGCGTCTGCCAGTTCTCTGGCGCGCTGCATTTGCTTTTCAATGTGTCGCTGAGATCGGTCTTCGTCGTCCATTTCCATCTGCACCAAAGTCAGGGTAAGTCAACAAACGAATGCGACACTTTCCTTTTCCCCCCCCCCTTACGTCCAGCACCACTCCACCCTTCTGGCCACCGACCTTTTCTTTTCGCTCGGCTTCCTCGGCCCGGCGCAAGGCCTCGGGACTGCGGTCAATGTACGCAATGTACCAGCCTCGCTCCGTGTGGTCAATGTTGCACTTGTTGGTTTTGCCGAGATACATGACAAAGTCCGTCAGTGTCTCCCAAATGGTGGCATTCATGTGAACGTGATGGCGGTCCTGGATGTACTCGTTGTACACGACGTTTGCGAGCACGCGTTTTGTGCCAAAGCGTCGCGCGACCATTTCCAGCACGGTCTTTTCAAAGTCTCTGAAACACGCGAGCCATGTTAGTGAGCGCGTAAGTGTGTCCGAACACTGTAAATCTTTCTGTCTAGTCGGAGAAGGGGGGCCTTACCGAGAGTAATTGTCAAGAATCGAGCTCGAATTGTCTGAGAATACTTGCATCATGCGCTTGTGGCCATCCGTCAGCGTGTGGCATTTGAATCCATTCTGTGCAGTATCGTCGCAACAATAGTAGAGTGATAGAATGGACTGTGTGAGTCAACGGGCGACGTAGTGAAAACGAAACGAAAGAAAGACGAAGAACGAGGACCGAGACCCAGCCTCCCCTCAGCGCGGCTGCCCAACCGCGAGGACACGAGACGGCGCTCCAAACCGGTCGTCTGAAAGCAGCCCGCTCGGCCGAACTGAGCCCGCTCAGCCCAGGAACGCGGGCACACACACACTGACCTCGTCGCGGCATTGCTTCTGGCACATCTGGCAGTACCAGCGGAGCCGCTGCAGACCCTTGGCCTTGATGCGGTTGGCAATGTCCTTCGGCGAGCCCTTCTCGGCTTTCGTCATCGCTTTGGGACGAGGGAGTGGGGTTTGGCTTGAAGAAGTCGGTGTCGGATAAAGGAGAACTGGAGTGGCTTTCCAAAGCCTTCTAAATTCGACGCTGTAGCCTGTCATTGCCGAGCAGTCGCATTGCTCAGACAGTGCGAAATGCATTGTAAATATGATTGTGTATCGTAATATCCACGAATAACGGAGGGTATCGGATGCCGGTGGAGCAGGAGGGTGTTTGCTTTTGGCGCGAGTGTTACTCGTCCTCGTATCTCCTCGTGGAAGAGCGTATTGGAAGTGCCGCTTTGTAATTTGGTTGCACGTAGTCTTGTGTTGCTATTGGTGCCAATGAATGTTCTAAAAGTCGAGTTGTATGCCAATCTGAGGGTGCTGCTGCTCTGTCGGCAATGTGTTTGACTCTCTTGCTTTGCAGCTCTCAAATCGAAAAATTTCCAGCCGACTTTTCAAGCACCTCAACACCAATTCATATACACTGTAAACTGGCCATCATTTTGATGTCACTTTCAAGTTGGTCTCGCCGCTGGAACAGCTCCAAAACGCGCATCCAAGGATTTGCTCGCTTTCCCTCTCACTCGTTCTATCCATTCTCATTGGATCTCTTTCACACCGTCTCTTCTATTTTCATAGTGATTCTTCATTTTTTCATTATCCTTCATATTTTTTTGCTCTTTGCTTTTTTTTGATCAGTCAATCGCTCGATTTGGAGCAAAGTTCAGTCTTAAGTTTGTCTTTAATACTTGTCTTTAATAACTAGTATCACTTTTTGTTTCATTCTCGGCGGTTTTTTTGCTTACTATTTGTTCAACAACCATGTCGGAAATCACAGTCAGTCTTTTTCGCTGTTCCCCCCCGCCTTCCGTTTCGCTGCTGCTGAGCCTCCCTCCAAACCAAACCACGGCCTCGTCCCCCACTTTACACACTGCTCGAAGGGGGTCGTTGGTGTGCTTGTGCTTGGCTGGACCGTCCATTGCACTCAAAACGCGCGCGGCTTTTGCTCTGCTTTTTCTTGCTTCTGTGCCTGCTGCTGTTGTGGGCTAGGTCGCCGTGTACGAGCGCATCATCAATCTGACCATCGATGGCATGGCGCATGCGTTCGCTCAGGCGGGCATCGACGCCTCCGTCACGGACGAGATCAAGCAGCTGTGGCACGAGAAGGTCAACGCGACCACGGCGCTGATGCCAATCGAGCCAGCCATGGCCGCGCAGGACCACCTCAACTTGCCACTGTGGATTGATCCATACAGAAACGGAAATGGCGGTGCAGATCCCTTGCCACAGTCGTCGGCGTCGTCTTCAACGACTGTTGCTACTGCTGCTGCTGGTGCACCTCGAACACCGGCACCGCCAACGGCATCGCTTGCTGCGCCATTGCCGGTGCGACAGACACAGCAGACACAGCCACCAGTGTCGCATACTCCAGCGAGTACGCAGCAACAGCAGCCGCAAACAGCACCAGTCGCAACGCCAGGCGGACCGCTGCCGTCGTTCGACGCCGCAACACCGGCAGGCGCCACACCTGCCGCGCTACCTAGCTTTTCAGACGCGTCTCTTAGTTACCCCCACCACCACCAGCACCACCACAACGGCGATTCAAACCGCATGTTCCAGCCAATTCCACCGGACACTCCCGCAGTGTTTGCCAACCCATTGACGTACGCAACTCCCGCCCCGCATGTCCCTGGCGCATACATGGATCCTGCGACACCGTTTGTTCCTGTTGCCTCCACGCCAGCGCACGATGGCTCTGCGCCGAGTGCAACCGCCCCAGAGGAAGCTGCAGCCTCCTCTGCCGCTGCCCCTGCCCCTGCCGCCAGCGACGAAGCGGCGCCACCAGCTCAAGAGTACAAAGACGACGAGCTGTTGTCGGACTCTGACGAGGAGGAGGCCCCAGAAGAAACTGGCGAAAAGAACATGATGCTATGCACGGCAGAGAAGGTCACACGGAATCGCAATCGGTGGAAGACCACGTTGCGCGGCGGCATTGTGACTATTCGCGGTCGTGACTATGTATTCCGGACAGCGACTGGCGAGTTTACCTTCTAACTCCTGTAAAAACCAACTGAACTGTCCTGTATGTGAAATGTTGCAATACAAACCATTCGTTGCGTTTCGTTCGCTCTTGTCCCCTTGCTGCCTCTTTTTTTTTTGTTTTGACATGTAGAATGATGCATTTTTAATACACTCTTCCATTCTTCCAGACAAAATGTCGCATCTGACGTTGGCCAAGCTCTCCGACATTGCCGGCGCACAAGACTTGCGCTACGCGACTGCGCTGAACATTGCGTCGAAGGGCATCGCGAGCCTCGACGACCTGAGCATCTGCGTTGAGCTGCGTCGCATTGATCTGTCGCACAATGAGATTGCCTCGGCCGACGCGATCGACCACTGCAAGTCGCTGACCTGGCTCAACGCGGCGCACAACAAGCTGACCTCGCTCGCCGCCTTCCGCGCGCTCACCCAGCTCCAAGGTACACCCCCCTCAGACCACTCATCTGATCTGATCTTCAGCATGCCCACAGGCGTGTTCAGAACGCTTTCCCCCAAATGGAGGGCGCCGGCGCCGAGCACCAAGTCCACGCGGATTCCACATGGAGAAGGCAGCAATGCAATGGGACTCCCAGCCAAACGAGCAAACACAGACAATGGGGAGAGGAAAACCCCTCTCAGCCAACAAACAAATAGAGAGCTCGAGCAAGCATTATTGTTCACGAGCATCGCAGAGATGCCAAAATCTTACCTTTTTGTGTGTGTGTTTGGTTGGCTACAGTGCTGAATGTAAGCAACAACGAGCTTACGTCGATGGACACCGTCCAGTTCCTCGTCAAGCTCAAGGCACTCGTGCTCAACAACAACCGCATCTCACTCATGGAGCATTTGGAGCAGCTCGTCGAGTTGAATACCATCGGTACGAGCCGAATCATGTAAATCAGCAGGGGTAGTATGATTGTGCTCATTCCGCCCCACTTGTAATCTGCATGGACATGCTGCCTGTCGCAAAAACGCAGTGCTGTCGCACAATCGTCTTCGAAACATTCGCGGCTTGGCCACGTTGACAAAGCTGACCAAACTGTCCATCGCACACAACGAAATTCGCACGATTCCGGATCTCCGCGCCAACCACGAGCTGGCCGAGTTGCGCCTGAACGACAACAAAATCCAAGCCTTGCCCGAGACGCTTGAGCTGAACATGAAGTGAGTCTGGCAAACAGCGCTTGGGTGTAAAGAGTGTGTTTTCTGTTTTGTTTGTTTTCTAACTTGCTTTGTCTTGATCCTGTCGCCTTAGCATCAAGATTCTCGATCTCGGCAACAACTTGATCAAGACGTTCGAAGCAATCGACGTTCTCGGCAAAATGCCATTCTTGGAACAAATAAATTTGCGCGGAAACGGCGTGATTGAGCTGGAAGGCTATGAAGCTCATGTAAGTCAAACTCTTCCTTGTGAAATGTGTTCGTGGTCACCTGCACAAGGATAGACTGAAGGCCTCTCACCACACCGAGCTGCTTGTACAGATTCGCAAACTCGTGCCAAAGCTCAAGGTTTTGGATGGTCGAAAGCTCGAAGAGGCAAGGGTTGCTGACGAATCGCGAAAGAAGCTGGCGCGTGCTCGCGCATTAGAGCAGCAGGCAAAGAAGGAGAAGCACATTGCAGCTGCAGCTCGCCGCCGTGCCAAGGCTGCCGAGTCTGACGAAGAAGGTTCCGGCGATGCCGCGCCCATGCAAGTCGATGAGGATGCTGCTCCAGCAGCGCCCCGCGAACGCCGCGAACACCAGCGACCGCGCGAGCCCCGCGAATCCCGTGGATCACGTGAGCACTCTGAGCGACCGAGGCCAAGGCGCCCCGCATCTGGAGACGCTTCAGAGGAGTCAGGTGCAGCGCCAGCACGAGTTTCAGCCAAGCGACGCGCTGAGGCCGACGAGCACGACTCGACAGAAGTTGCGAGCAGGCCTAGCAAGCCATCCAACGGAAAGGGACATAGCGAACACCGAAAGCCACCTCAAACGGGGGCAAAGGAAGAGGAACACTCGACCAAACGAGTTCGAATTTCTGCCAGCGACGACGGCTCGCTTTCCACGACCAAGAGCACTCGTGCAACACCCGCTGCACCTATTGTGGCTGCTGCTGCCGCTGCTGTTGCTCCAGAGCCCGCAGTCAAGCATACCGTTGCCGCACAATCCGGCGTTGTTGGAATTATTGATCACTCTGCCAAAACCAAAGACAACCGCGCTCCTGCCGCGCGTCCCGCCAAAGGCAAGGCGGCTGAAAAATCATCGGCCTTTGACCCTGATGCTCTGTCCGGCGATGGTCTATTTGGTTCCAGCAGTGCGCTTGGTGGCTGGAATTAGAAAGTGTTGTTCTTCAATACATGCAGCTGGAACAGCGCTGTTACAATGGATTTGGTAATTCTCTAAATGTAGGCCTTTTATCAGATAGAGATTCAGGGCATGTCGGCGTTGGTCGGAAGTCGCCACAAATGCAGAGAGTGATCGTAAAATGAACAGCTGGCAATCAAGCCCTCGATCTGCGGATGCCAGTCAACACCGTACGCGATGGACTCGTGCGCAGTGTGACGGTGAGTGAGGCTCGGTTTGTTGGACTCTGATTGTTGGACAAAGTGGCAAACGGAAACAAAAACAAACTGAGCCATCACGAAGGATCACGCATCGAAGCGCACTTCAAGCATTGAAGCGCGACGTACCGTCGACTGACACCACAGGCACACCACCATGCATGGCCGCAGCGGCAATCAATGATGGATTCTGTGCCTGCCACTTGAGCCGCCAGACGCCACCATGGACACGAATGTCCTCAACTGGGGCTCGCATGCTGCGCGTGTCCCAAAGTCGAATGTGCTCATCGTAGCTGACAACGGAAACGATCACCAAAGTTTAGAAAAACATGCAGTAGAATGAATTCTGGACCTGTGTGTTGCTTCAACTCACCTGCCCGATGCCAAAATGTGTTCGCGGGAAGGGTGGCTCTGGAGACTGCAGACGCCCATGGTATGTCTGCAACGAACGTTTCGTAACGTCAGTCTCTCTCTTTGGCGTGCTTTGAAGGCCAAGTCGGAGCGGTGGTTGCAAAAGACTTACCGTTTGGACGTAAAGATGGGCGTAGTGCAATCTGTTCGAGTGTCCCAGCCGCGAAAGAGCGAGTCGTCGCCACCTACCCAAGCAACAGGGGCATAATCGCGTCAACATGCAAGACTACTCACTCGCCAAGCAGCACACAACCACCATCTGCAACAACCAGCTTACCCGAGTACACGGTGCTCGTGTTCCACTGATTGAATGCGGTAATCCATGCTTCGAACGAGTGCGCTTCCCATTCTTGCACAAGCGCGACTTCTCCTTCGGCGAATTGATGCAACGCAATCTGTCCAGCAGAGTCGCTAGATGCGATTTGCAGAGGACTGTTTTGGCATCATCGAATGAGCGTTGTTGTTGTTGTGGGGTCGTGCTGCGCAGTTCAAATCGAGGGTTTTACCTTGACGCGTCGATTCGGCAGTTCCATTCGAGCGAAAGTCTGAGAGTATCGCTCACAGCGTTGGACTGGCAAAGCACCTCAAGAGTCACGCTCTGAATGACACGCGACGCAGCAAGTGAGAAGTCTTTCTCAGCCAAAAACCAACAAATTCAGGAGCATTACTTTGGCAGACATGCCAACCCGATAGAGAGTCAAAAACCCAGAGGCATCCACGATGGCAAGGACTGGATCAGAGTTGGCAATTGTTCTTGGCAGCCTGCGATGAGTTCAGCGTCAGATTCTGAGACAATTGCATCGGAACTCATCGCTTTGGCAAGCTTACCATTTGATGTCCAGGATGGCAGGCATGTCTCGTCGCAGGACCTCCACAAGCCTGATGTTACTTCTGTCATATCAACGATGATGTTGTGAAGTGAGATTCTAAGATTTTGCGTCACACATGGATTTTTGATTCACGCGAGAAGCGCGTGTTTTCCCGACTTACGAGTTCAGACCTGCATCGCGCAGAGTCGTAGTCTCACCATCAGCAGCAGCAGCAGCACCTGTCTCCAGTCGGTACAGCAGCAGTCGACCGAGGCGCGCTCGTGGCGGCGTTCGCTTCTCAGTCTCATCGTCGCTATCCTCCTGAGTCGTCGTCGTCGTCGTTGAAGACTTCTCTGGCTCTGGCTCTGGCTCTTGCTCTGCGGCTGCCAGCTGATACGTTGCGCATGCGAGCAGTGGCTCGGCGCTGGTTGGGCACCACTCGACCGCATCCGCGCTGTACTCGGTGTCAATCTTGACCAGTGGGACGGACGTCGCCATTCTTGCAGGCTATTCTTCTCTCTGATCCTGCTTTCAAGTTTAAGAAGCGAATGAAGCTTCTTGGGGGGGGGGGTCTGAATCGCCGGGTTTTTTGGAACGCTAATGATAAAGTGTGGTTTCCCCAAAAAATCGCTCATCAAAAAAACAGTACTGCATCGGCAAAAAAATAAAATCCTCAAAAAATCAATAAAAAAAACAGTACAGCATCCGATTCCCCCGACTCGCATCAAAAAAATGCAAAAATGAACAGTCAAAACAATTGACTTTTTCGAGGGTAAAGATTCGTTCCCGAAATCGTCGTTTTTCGAAAAAACCCCTAAGCATCGTCCAATATTTGTGAAAAAATGAATAAAAAATAGGTACAGCAGAGCGAGATGAAAACGACAAAAATCGATCCCGAAATCGTCCTTTTTTTGAAAAAACCCCAATGCATCGTCCAATATTCAGAGCGATTCAACAGAGAAAAGGGGTACAGCAGAGTGAGAAGAAAAAGCAGGGGAAATGGTTATGGGATCAGTTTTTACAAATTGAAGAAATAAGAATAAAGTGCGATGCATGTACGAAAAGGAGGTGGAGGAGGGACGGCGGGGTGAGGAGGCTGATCTGATTTGAAAAAACAAAAGCGTATAAGAAGAACGCTGATACTGCATCGATTTCTACCCCTGCACCCTCTTCTGGGGATTCCTACTATGCCTCCCACTTCCCAGAACGAAATCACAAATATAATTTGCTATTTTCGAGAATCCTGTTGTGATCATTCTATTTTCAACAAAAAAAAATGGTCAAACCGGCTGAGACGAAGTCCAAGAAAACGGCTGAGACGAAGTCCAAGAAAGCTCCGAAAGTGGAGTCAGATGAAGAGGAAGATGAAGAGGAAGATGAAGGGGAAGAGGAGGAAGAGGATGAACCTGTCGCAGCCCCGAAGAAAACAACACCAAAGAAAACAACACCAAAAAAAGCGGCAAAAAAAGGCAAGGCGGCAACTGCAGGCTCCGACACCGACGACCAGCTGTACCAAGACGCAGAGGACTACGAGATGCCCATGCCGATGCCCATGCACACGCCTCGTCGTGGCTCTGCTGCGTCTAGCTCCCGTGCAGCTCCACCCCTCACTCGCGCGCCTCCGTCCATCATGTCGGACGTCGAAGACGGAGTCATGAAACTCAGCCTTGTAGATCTGATCAACGCTGTCAACGGCGCACCGCGTGTCCATGGCAACCCGAACGCTCTCACCATCGATACACTCAGCCGCATCTTCCAAGAGCTCAAGGTTGCCGACGACGCATCAGTCATTCGCATCAACATGAATGGTGCAAATGGTTGCTGCGCATGGGTTGAAGGGCGCTTTTGCAAGAACTCGAGCGCCACGGCAAAGGGCAACTCTGTTTACTGCAATGTTCACTACGGCGCTTTCCTCAAGCAGGCCATGAAACAGAAAGTTCTCGTCGACGCTGAGCTTCCTCGCGCCAATTTTTTTGACCATGACGCCAACAAGGAGATTCATCTGGCGTGCTGGCCGCAGGGTCGTGCTGTCTGATCTTTGTTTGATCTTTGTTTGATCTTTTGTGGGTTTTTTCCGCACTTGCGTTTTCCCAGTAAACAACATTCCGACACCTTTCATTTGTGTTCAGAAAAAGTGACGCAAAAATAGAAAAATGATCGTTATGTTCAGTCAAAATGTCTGAAGAACTCAATGCGAGCGTCCGCTTTTGCGGCCATGAAGGCTGCACCAGCACTGAGATTGTTTCCGTTGGCTTTTGTCATGAACACTGTCGTGATTTGCATGAAGTTTGTCGCTGTTTCAGGGCGGTCGTCTGTGACATCGCCCTGACAGCTGAAGCAGCCATCGAAATGCTCGACGTTGACAACTCAGAGGCGACCAACCGCGAGATTATGGCCTCCGCTGCGTTAGAGCGTATCGCGAAACTCACGAAAATCAAAAAGTCCCACATCCCAATGTGACGTCTAGTAGGACGGCGGCGGTCGAAGCACGCATTGTGGTCGAGTCGTGTTTTTCTTCAAACAAGTGTTGTTCAATAAACAAATTTTCTTGTTGCCATAACACTTCCGGTGCGCGTGCAGAAACAAAAAAAAACAAACAAAATCTGATTGGTCAAAAATTGCTCCTCAAAAAAAAGGACAGGTCTGTCCTTTTTTTCATCAGAAAAAACGGCACTCTTCTTCGTTTTTTTAATGAGCTCGAGCTCGTCCTCATCCTCGTCCTCTTCACGCACTACACAGCCCAGCACATTGCACGAGCAGGAACAAGCGCTCAAGATCGAACTCATCAAAGTGCGCTTGCAGCTGGCCAAGCTTGAATCGAAGACGCGCAGTGGCCGACAACTTTCGAAAAGCGAAATCAAAACCAACCGCCAGCTTCAGCGAAGA